CCATTTTGGGCAGTGTTGTTTCGCATCCCATGACTTTTTTTAATCGGATCGAGAACTTGGCCAAGACCCTGATGTTTAGATACATTTTAGTTGCGTTTGATTATAAGTTGACACGCATTTATAATGAAGTCTTCACGGAAAAAGACCAGCCATCTCTGAATGACTTAAGGAAGAATATCTCTGTGGTCTTTGTCGGCTCTCATTTGAACAGTGAGGGTCCCATTTGAGCCCTTGTTCCTGCCATTATTGAAATAGGAGGCATTCAGGTGAAGGATAAGCCGAATCCCCTGCCCAAGGATATTGATACGTTTTTAAATAAGTCTACCCAAGGAGCTGTATTTCTCTCACTCGGCTCCAACATCAAAAGCTCCACGATTAATCCGGAAATAGTTCAGACCCTCTTCAAGGTCCTATCAGGACTGAAACAGAACGTTATTTGGAAATGGGAGGATCTGGAGAACACACCTGGGAATGCGTCCAACATTCTTTATAAGAACTGGCTGCCCCAAGATGACATCCTGACACATCGAAACACCAAACTTTTTATTACTCATGCTGGAAAGGGAGGCATCACCGAGTCCCAATACCATGGAGTACCTATGGTGGCCTTGCCTATTTACGGGGATCAGCTCGGAAACGCTGCTGTTATGGAAAAATCGGGTTATGGCGTGGCTCTCGATTTGCTGACCATCACGGAGGATAGTCTGAGTGAGGCCCTGCTAGAAGTCTTGGAAAACGGGAAGTATAGTCAAGCTGTTGGAAAATTCTCCGCCCTGTGCAGAGATCGACCTCTAACCGCAAAGCAATCGGTGGTTTTCTGGACGGAGTACGTCTTGAGGCATCATGGAGCCCCCCACCTGCAGAGTCCGGCGGTGCATATGAGTTTCATTGAAAAAAACAATCTGGATATCTACGCTCTTTTTATAACAATTGTGGCATTGTTTGTTTTCTTAACCCGACTGGTTGCAAAATTTGTGTGGAACAAAATCCTGGGCAAGGTAAAGATCTCAGAGGCCAAAAAGAAACGATAAAATAAATTATTATTATAAATTATTAAAAATTTTGAGCTCATTTCATTACACACCAAAAATTTTAGTTTCAACTTGTATGCTTATATCTCTTCAATCAGAACACACAGAGCGGCTTACAGTCAATTTTCTAGACCACGAACCCTAAAACTCAAGGCCAATATATGTTAAAACAATGTATTTTTTAATTATTTACTTGTTGGACTTTGCAAAGATCGCTAATCTCCCGTTGAATGAAACACGTTATTTTCCAACTCCGATAATGTTCATTATTGCCCATCCGCTCCGTCACTGCAACTAATAAAAAGGCGACCAACCCGCAAAGTACCAGCCGACTGAGAGCGGTAGAGAAAATTACTCTCATCCTTAGTGCCGCTCTCTGCTGGTACAGATCTCCACAGACTTAAATATTGTTATAAATAAATTAACCGACTTTTTAAGTGTTGAAAATATGGAATATTTTTATTAAATATATATATCTTATACATATATTTATACACTTATTTTGTAAAAATTATTAATGGGGGAAACGCTTTGCCAAATATTGCAAAAATCACAAGTTTAAGGAATTGTACTTGAAGGAAACCTTTTGGAACTCTCTTAAATTTCTTTAAAAAACAAGAAAGGAAAGCTAACTTCGGACGGAGCCGAAGTTGATATACCCTTGCAGAATATTTTGTAAATTATATTCTTCAAAATTATTCATTTGATGCATTCTTAATACTCATAAAAAGTCCCAATTTCCTAATTTTAAAAACACCAAAGTTATGGCATTTTCAATCGTTCAGTTATATGACAGCTATAAGATATAGTCGGCCGATCATTATGAAATTTTGTATGTCGGATTGATTGGCCAAAAATAAAACCCATAGAAAATCCCAACTTCTTAACTTTACAAACACCAAAGTTATGGCACTTCCGATCAATCAGTTAAATGGCGGCTATAGGATATAGTCGTCTGATCCTTATGAAATTCGGTATGTCGGATTGATTGGCCAAAAATAAAACCCATAGAAAATCCCAACTTCTTAACTTTACAAACACCAAAGTTATGGCTTTTCCGATCGTTCAGTTATATGGCAGCTATATGATATAGTCGCCCGATTCGGCTCGTTCCGACTTATATACTACCTGCAATAGAAAAACAACTTTTGGGAAAGTTTCAAGCAGATAGCTTTAAAACTGAGGGACTAGTTTGCGTAGAAACGGACGGACGGACAGACGGACGGACAGACGGACGGACAGACGGACGGACAGACGGACATGGCTAGATCGACTCTCGTGGTGATGCTGATCAAGAATATATATACTTTATAGGGTCGGAAATGTCTCCTTCACTGCGTTGCAAACTTTTGACTGAAATTATAATACCCTCTGCAAGGGTATAAAGATAGGAGAATAATGCGTTGGAAATCAGCTAATTGCATAAAGAGCTTTTGTTAAGAGAATCGTCTGGAATTGAAGTGAACTCGATTAGCGAATTGGATAACTGCCAAATAGTATAGATTTTCTATATATAGCAAGTGGCAACACGGTTCTCTCCAGTTCATATTGTGATTTTGCCCGGAGAGGTCATAAGAAAAGTTTATTAAATGTTCGCGAATCGAAATGTACTTTTGTTCCTACTCGCGACAGTAGCTTCCATCCATGGAGCTAATATTTTGGGACTCTTCAGCAGCCACAGTCCCTCGCACCTGATACTCTACATGTCGGTGGCCAAGGCTCTGGCCGAAGCTGGTCATAATGTAACCGTCGTGTCGATGATTGAACCCAAGATTATGCATAAGGATATAACTCTGATTGTGATTCCAATGGACGAGAAACTGGAGCTCGTTTTGGAGAACCAAATGGTCGAAATGGCCAGGAAGAAGAAGTCACTCATAAGCACTATGAATCGCCTTCTAAATGGCATGGATGTTATGATCAATGTCCAGGCTGATTTGCTTTCCGATCCAAGGTTCCAGCGCATTTACGAGACAAAATTTGACTTGATGATATTGGGTTATTTTATAAACGATTTCCAATTGGGAGTCGCACACAAGTTAAAGGTGCCTGTAATCGTTAACTGGATGTCGGCGCCTGTTCCTATAATTGAACAGGTTATGGGTAATCCCTCGGAAATCTCGTGCCCCTTTTAGGCACTGGTGTAATGCCTCCCATGACTTTATTCAATAGAATCGATAGTTTGATTAAGTCATTGCTTTTTAAATGCATTTTTTTCGTGTTTGATTATAAATTTACTCGCATTTATAAAGAAGTATTTACAGAAAAAAATCAGCCCACTCTGAATGAGTTAAGGAAGAATATCTCCATGGCCTTTGTTAACTCCCATTTGAACAGTGAGGGCCCTATTCGAGCCCTTGTTCCTGCCATCATTGAAATCGGAGGCATCCAGGTGAAGGATAAGCCGAATCCACTACCCAAGGATATTGATACGTTTTTAAATAAGTCTACCCATGGAGCTGTATTTCTGTCACTCGGCTCCAACATCAAGAGTTCCGCGATGAAGCCGGAAATCATTCAGACCATCTTCAAAGTACTATCAGGGCTGAAACAGGACGTTATCTGGAAATGGGAGGATCTGGAGCACACACCTGGAAATGCATCCAACATTCTTTACAAGAACTGGCTGCCCCAAGATGACATCCTGGCCCATCGGAAAATCAAACTTTTTATTACACATGCTGGAAAGGGAGGCATCACGGAGTCCCAATACCATGGAGTACCTATGGTGGCCTTACCCATTTTCGGGGATCAACCCGGAAACGCTGCTGTTATGGAAAAATCGGGATATGGCGTGGCTCTCGATTTGCTGACTATCACGGAGGATAGTCTGAGTGAGGCCCTGAAAGAAGTCTTGGAAAACGAGAAGTATAGTCAAGCTGTTGGCAAGTTCTCCGCTCTCTACAGGGATCGACCCCTGACCGCAAAACAATCGGTGGTTTTCTGGACGGAGTACGTCCTGAGGCATCATGGTGCACCCCACCTGCAGAGTCCGGCGGTGCATATGAGTTTCATTGAGCTAAACAATCTGGATATCTACACTCTTCTTATAACGATTGTGTTATTGTTTGTTTTCTTAACCCGACTGGTTGCAAAATTCGTGTGGAACAAAATTCTGGGCAAGGCAAAGACTTCAGGGGCGAAAAAGAAACAATAAAATAAATTTGCCATGGTGTACCAGTAAAATATAATATTGAACTGTGTATTTACTACTGCTCGAATAAAAATAAAATGAGACAAAGTATTAATTAAATTTAAATATTAGTATATGCACTAATACTTTTATACTACAAAATTTCAGTTAATCACATTATACACCAAAAATAGTATTTTCGACTTGTAAACTTATTAGTTATCAGTCAGAACACACAGAGTAACTTATCAGCTGAGTTACTTTTATTTGTTTAATTGCGATTACTAAAATGAACAATATAAACGTTTTCAGATTAAAATACAGTCAATCCTCTAGACCACGAATTTGAAATATTGAATTAGTTACTTGTTGGACTTAAATATTGTTATAAGTAAAATAACAATTTTTTTAAGTTTTAAAAAGATAATAAAAATACTCCATATTTTTTTTTTTTTTGGGAAATATTTTTATTTGTGGATAGCAAAATTCTTTAAAATTGTGAAAAAATATCAATGAAGAATATCGTTCTTAAACAAGGCTTTGTCAAATATTACAAAAATCACAAATTTAAAAGCAATTGTATTCGAATGAAACTTTCTGAAACTCTTTTGAATTTCATTAAAAAATAGATAGGAGAATAATGCATTGAAAATTAGCTACGTCAAATTACTCCATAAAGAGCCGAGTCAGAGTATTAAAAGCTTTTGATAAGAGAACCGTCCGGAATCGAAGGGAGTCGATAAGCGAATCGTATGACTGGCAACCAGTTTAATTAACCTATAACTAGCTTACCGCAACCCAGTTCTCTTCAGTTTATATTTTGATATTGACCGGAGAGGTCATACGAAAAGTTAAATAAAATGTTTGCGATTCGATGTGTACTCGTGTTCCTACTCGCGGCAGTGGCTTCCACCCGTGGAGCTAATATTTTGGGACTCTTCAGCAGCCACAGTCCCTCGCATCTGATCATCCACATGTCGGTGGCCAAGGCTCTGGCCGAAGCTGGACATAATGTGACCGTGGTGTCGATGATGGAGCCCAAGATTAAGCACAAGGACATCACTCTGATTGTGATTCCAATGGACGAGGAACAGGAGCTCATTTTGGAGAACCAAATGACCGAAATGGCCGGTCAAAAGAACTCACTCGTCAGCACTATGAATCGCCTTCTAAATGACATGGATGTGATGATTAAAGCCCAGGCTGATTTGCTTTCCGATCCGAGGTTCCAGCGCATTTACGAGACAAAATTTGATTTGATGATATTGGGTTATTTTATAAACGATTTCCAATTGGCAGTCGCACACAAGTTAAAGGTGCCTGTGATCGTTGACTGGATGTCGGCGCCTATCCCCGCTATTGAACAGTTTGTGGGTAATCCCTCGGAGGTTGCGTACGTGCCCATTTTAGGCACTGCTGTATCGCATCCCATGGGCTTATTTAATCGGATCGAGAACTTGGCCAAGTCTTTGCTTTTTAAAGGCATATTTTTCGCGTTCGATATTAAATTAACACGCATTTATAAAGAAGTCTTTCCGGAAAAGGATCAGCCGTCTCTGAGTGACTTAAGGAAGAATATCTCCATGGCTTTTGTCGGCTCCCAGTTGAATAGTGAGGGTCCCATTCGACCCCTTGTTCCTGCCATCATAGAAATCGGAGGCATTCAGATTAAGGATAAGCCGAATCCACTACCCAAGGATATTGATGCGTTTTTAAACCAATCTACCCATGGTGCTGTATTTCTGTCACTCGGATCCAACATCAAGAGTTCCGCGGTGAAGCCGGAAATCATTCAGACCATCTTCAAAGTACTATCAGGTCTGAAACAGAGCGTTATCTGGAAATGGGAGGATCTGGAGAACACACCTGGAAATGCGTCCAACATTCTCTACAAGAACTGGCTGCCCCAAGACGACATATTGGCCCATCGGAAGACCAAACTCTTTATTACACATGCTGGAAAGGGAGGCATCACCGAGTCCCAATACCATGGAGTACCTATGGTGGCCTTACCTATTTTCGGGGATCAGCCCGCAAACGCTGCTGTAATGGAAAAATCGGGATATGGCGTGGCTCTCGATTTGCTGACCATCACGGAGGATAGTCTGAGGGAGGCCCTGAAAGAAGTCTTGGAAAACGAGAAGTATAGTCAAGCTGTTGGCAAGTTCTCCGCTCTGTACAGGGATCGACCTCTGACCGCAAAACAATCGGTGGTTTTCTGGGCGGAGTACGTCCTGAGGCATCATGGAGCCCCACACCTGCAGAGTCCGGCGGTGCACATGAGTTTCATTGCGCTAAACAATCTGGATATCTACACGCTGATTTTAACGATATTTGTCTTGTTTATTCTTCTAACCCGACTGGTTGGAAAATTGATTTGGAAAAAGATTTGGGGGAAGGCAAAAATCTCTGAGTCTAAGAAGAAACAATAAATTAAAAAATTATCGAACTAAAAATTAAATTAAGAACTATATTTTTATAATAAAAGAAATTGTACATTGTAATAAAATCATAATGAGAAACCACATATTTATATTATTATTGGATCCTTGTGTTCAAACACTAGTAATTGTACCTCTTTCATACTTTTTTACTTCATATGGAAATTTAAAATTGTATATTGTAAAATTGTTTAAATAATTTATAGATTCATGCCAATTTTCGGTTTAAAGATCCAAAAATTATTTAAATTAAGCTTACCATTCGCTTTCTTTTATGAGGATTTAAAGGTAATCGGAAGTCTTTTTATTATTTGTGGTTTTAAGCACAGATTTATCGGGCAGAACAGAGATAAGATCGTGTTTTGCCTGTTCTAACCAGTTTTTCTTTCGCATGAAAATGTTGCTATCAGAATTGTGATGTCATTTATAACCACATGTTAAAATACTCAAAATCATAGCCTCTCGAACAAACTCAAAAAAAAACGATTAGAGAAATGTTTGTTGGCAAGTCTTTTATTTAATTTAAAGCATTTAATCATGACTCAGGTCGCAGACACGCGATTCGTTGCCAGACAGAATTGTTACTGATAAACCATATAGCGATAGTGCAGTCCGTTAAGATAGTTTCGAGCAAGGTGTTCCTGATATGACCAGTCACTGCGGCGCAGCAAAACCAATAGAACCCACTGTATTTTATTAACGATTACTTAAATGGTCACTCGCTCTTTCTACATCTAAGGTAATACTATAAAAGCTTGTACTCAAAAATAATCGAAAGTTAGTCGGTTATTGAGAGTCCGTTCAGAAGTATATTTACAATGATAAAGTATACTACAACTTTCTTGCTGCTTGTATTGCTTTTGGGCACAAAGACCCAATGCAGTAAAGGAGCCAATATTTTAGGCATTTTTGGCACGCACAGTCCTTCTCATGTGATCGTTCACATGGCAGTGATGAAAACCCTGGCAGATCGGGGTCACAACATCACAGTGGTGACCCAAATGAAGCCCAAATTGGCGGCACATGAAAATATCACCGTGATTCTGGCACCACCGACACCGGAGAGACAAAAATTCATCAAGGAATATATGGAGGAAGTATCCAATGAGAAACCTTCCTTCTGGGAGACCATGGCAAAAGTTGTCGTCACGTCGGCAAATCAACTGGAAGGACAATATGAGTTCATGGTTCATCCCAATTTCAAGCAGCTCTACGAGAACCCACAGACAAACTTCGACTTGGTGTTTTTGGGTGCGATGGCCAACGATTTCCAACTGGGAATTGCCGCCAAACTCCGCTGTCCGGCAATAATAACTTGGGTGGGAGTGCCCTTGCCCTTTATGGACAGTCTTGTGGGAAATGTCAACGATCCATCCTATGTGCCCAGTGTGAATGTAGCCCTTGAACCGGGCCAAAACACCATGCAATTTGGCTTAAGATTGGGCAACCTTTTTAAGCATTATTTCTTGACCACTATCAACAAATTACTGAACTATAAGATGAATCAGTTTTATGAGTATGTACTATATATTATTGTCAGATTTTTATTGATTTTAATAGATGACTTGTAATCCTTTACAGACGAGCTTTTGGAAATGAATCAGATCCGAACTTTCCCACCTACGATGAGATGAAGCGTCGCATTTCCTTGCTTTTCTACAATTACCATTCGCCCAGCGAAGGACCCATCAGACCCACAGTGCCTCAATCCATTGAAATAGGTGGAATACAGGTGAAGGAACAGTCTGATTCATTGCCCAAGGAGCTGGCCAAGTTCCTTGACAATGCTGACGAGGGTGCAATCTTCTTCAGTTTGGGCACCAATGTGAATACCAATACCTTTCGACCAGACACCGTAGATATTCTGTACAAAGTACTGTCCAAAATGCCGCAGAGGGTGGTCTGGAAGTGGGAGGATCTGGAAAACAAGCCGGGTAATGCGTCCAACATATACTTCAGCAACTGGTTGCCGCAGGACGATATCCTGGCTCATCCGAAAACGAAACTCTTTATAACGCATGCGGGAAAAGGCGGAGTGGCGGAGGCCCAATATCATGGTGTACCCATGGTGGCATTGCCCATTTTTGGAGACCAACAGGGAAATGCTGAGATCATGACTAAATCAGGCTTTGGCCGATGGCTGGATATTCTCACACTGACGGCAGAGGAACTGGAAGAGAGCATCCTTGAGGTGCTGGAAAATCCCTCTTATCGTGAGACAATCGGAAAGTTCTCCACCCTCTACAGGGATCGTCCTTTGACAGCCCGTCAATCGGTTGTCTACTGGACCGAGTACGTCTTGCGTCACCAGGGAGCCTATCATCTGCAGAGTCCCCTCATCCACATGGATTTCGTGGCCCGCAACAACCTCGATGTTTATGGAGTAGTCCTCATTGTCAGTCTGGTTGTCTTCTTAATACTCATTGTATTATTTCGTTGGGTATTTCGCAAGGTTTTTAAAGTTGTGCGTGGCCACAGTTATCGCAGGAAATCGCCGCAGCTTAAAAATAATTAATCACAAATATATAATCACTGTGTATACGCAATATCATTTAATATTATGAAAATCAAAATTGAATGCACTCAGCCGTTTCAGTTATCAGCTAGTCTAGGCGTATTTTTAAGAACACCTTTTATTTAATAAATATTCATTAATAAAAATATGCCTTGTTATTGCACATTTTTTATAAGGAGTTCCCTTGAAATAATCCGTGATTACGAGAGTATAGGAGGCCGAGTTAAAAAAAGATAAAGCTTTGCCGGCAAGCATGACTCAGTATAAAACAGCCGACCATTGAATTTGATTGTTCACAGGCATATATATGTATTATATGTATATGTAAAATCTTTGAGTGGTAGAGAAATACAAGTGCCTTGAAATTAATCTCTTGCAATTTTCGGTATCGCAAAATCGTGACGATTACTAAAATTTATTTAGTTATCAATTCCAAGAAAAGTATACAAAAAATAAGGATTAATGTTGAAATTCATCATATATTCGCTTAGCAATAACTTATCAAAAGCCTATGCTAACTGCAATGAAACTTAAACGCAGACAGTGAGTGACCTGCACTATATTTATACTGATGACATGCACCTTACACAACCCGGCAATTAATCAAATAACAACAATGATCCCCAGACCTAGAACAACACTCACCTAACAGGTTGCTCCCACATTCTCCCACAGCGATTATTTTTAGAAGCCTCCCGCTCTGCGATTCTCAGATATTCTCTCTATATAGAAACTATAGCTTCGCGTCATTCCGATTCGGTTCGGATTCAATTCTCAGTGATTCGAGTGGCTCCGAGGCAGCGCGTGCCGTACGCGTATTGTTTTCCAAATTTGTTTTGTATTATTTAATGGGTTACTTGGGTGTCTCTATATAGACGAGGTATTTAGAATATCTATAATTGTTGTGTTAAAGTGATCAACGGAGAGTGCCAATTCAATGAAATAATAGTTAGCCCCAAGTTGACATTGACAAAGCGACAAGGTTGTACTTTAACCTATGTACTTGCAGTCAAAACAATTTGAAAATATTGACTGTGGTCTATTTTAAGTGCACGTTGGATTTTTCTGGTTATTAGTGACTAATAAATGTATTTAACAATATAAACATGCTTCAATATACAAAAAGAGTTAAGCACTTGTTTACTAAAATAATGAATCTGACATTAATAACAAAATAAATTATCCTATATATATATGTATGTAATCATGTTGAGAATACTGATAGTGGTTCTTTTAAATAAGCAAAGTGCAAGGCGCACTTTTTGGTATGATTAAATGTTTAAGAAGAGAACAATACAAATAAAATATTCATAATTTTTAGATTTCAATTTTGTAAAAGTTTATTTATTAACTTAAAAATGATTAGTTTTTTAAATAAGCACAAAAGTTTTAAAATATTGATAGCGGTCTTTTCAAGGTTAATATCCATTATTGGCAGCTAAGAGTGTCTTATAAATTAAGTGATTTAAACAAAATATTAATGTTTAAAGGAAACGTGTACTTTACTCAGGGTACACGTAATAACTGATTTTGCATTAATAAGATAACTATAATTTGGCCTAGCAAACATTTTGAAATACTTGGCTCCCCATTGAAATACATATATAATTGCAGATTAACGGTCAAAAGAAATCTTATCAGTGCGTTATCGTCCAAACCGAATGTGTATAAGATAGTCGCCGGCTGCTTGCAACCCAATCAGTTACTCTTTGTACTTGGACTTGAACGGAGCTAGTGATGACTCAAAATAGGAGCACGTGGATTGGCTGCAGTTTGGGCGGACTTCTGGTCGCCCTGCTGGCCCTGCAGTCGATGCCCCAGGAAACCGAAGGGGCCAACATCCTGGGCGTCTTCACCAGTCACAGTCCTTCGCATTTGATTATCCACATGTCGATCCTGAAGACGCTGGCCGAGAAGGGTCACAACGTGACCGTCGTCTCTGCCATGCCACCCAAAGTGACGCACAAGAGCATTAAACACATTGTGGTGCCCATGAGTGCGGAGGATGAGAAAATCCTCAGCGACGGCATGAGTGGAATGGTCAGGGAGAAGCCCTCTATTTGGACCACAATGAAATCGATTTTCAGCTCGCTGTCCCTGCTCATTGATAGGCAGGTGGACGTGCTGGAGGATCCGCGCTTCCAGGAGCTCTATCTGAACAAGGGCAACAAGTTCGACGTGGTCTTCGTGGGATTCTTCTTCAACTCCTATCAGGTTGCTCTGGGTGCCCGGTTCAATTGCCCCGTTATTGTTTCCTGGTCGGGCCCACCCATGCTGATGGTCAACGAGATGCTGGGCAATCCGGAGCTATCCACCGTTCCACAAATGCAAATTGCTGTGGCCGCCGGAAAGCCCATGAATTTCAAGCAAAGGGTGCAGAACTTTGCCAGCACTGTTGGTTTTAATGCGCTCAATCTCTATTTGAACCACAAATACAATGGGTTCTACAAGTAAGTAGCTACCACTAGATTAACTCCCAGATAGAACTAAGTTAACCCCCCCTCTTAACACTTTAGGCGACTTTGGGGCAATGACAAATCAATGCCCAGTTTTGAGGTGGCCAAGAGGAATGTCTCGCTGGCCTTCTGCAATGGTCACGCTATCAGCGAAGGACCAATCCGTCCCAATGTGCCTGGCATTATTGAAATCGGAGGCATCCAGATCAAATCCAAGCCCGATCCTCTGCCAGAGGACATCAAGGAGTTCTTGGACAAGGGCAAGCACGGTGCCATCCTCTTCAGTCTGGGATCCAATTTGAAGGGCGAACACATCCAACCGCATGTGGTTGAAACTATTTTCAAGGCCTTGAGCAGCGTTAAGCAGCAGGTGATCTGGAAGTGGGACGACACCAAGAACACACCCGGCCAGTCAGCGAATATTCTCTACAAGAAGTGGCTGCCACAGGACGATATCCTGGCCCATCCGAAGATCAAGCTCTTCATCAACCATGCGGGCAAGGGAGGTGTGGCGGAGGCCCAGTACCATGGAGTTCCCATGCTGGCACTACCCGTCTTCGCCGATCAGCCGGGAAATGCCGACAAGCTGGCGGAGAGTGGATATGGCCTACAACTGCCACTGGCCACCCTCGATGTGGATGAGTTCAAGGCGGCCATCAAGGAGGTCATCGGAAATCCCAAGTACGCCGAGAAATTGAAGGCCTTTTCGCAGCTGTATCGCGATCGTCCTCAGACTGCCCAGGAGTCGGTGGTTTACTGGACGGAGTACGTGATCCGTCACCACGGTGCCGCCCACATGCAGAGTCCTTTGGTCCACATGAACTTCATTGCCAGCAATAATCTGGACATCTACATCATAACCGCTTTGATCCTCTACATCCTATTCCTCATTAACAAGATCGTTTGGAAATTTGTGTGGCGCAAGTTTTGTGGCAAATCGAACAAAGCTTCTCAAAAGAAGAAGGTGAAGAAGCAGTAAACAGACTGTAATAGAATTATGCAAATTTTATACTTAGCAACGAATTGAAAAATTATAACATAACGATAAAGCGAAATAAAAGTGTAAAATACAAAAATTATTTAAATTGTTTCCATTACATTTTAAGGTTTTTAACAACATAGCCTAGAAATTCTTCAATTCTACAATTAAATGGAACACTAGCCTATTATCAATATGAATCGACGAATATCTTATCATAAAACTATCGTTATCACCGATTAAACCAGCTATATTCGAGTGACGTATTTAGCTTGCTTTATAAAATTTTTGCTGAGGACCAACATTCAATGTTAATAACAGTGACAACAAATAACCGAAGTAGAACAACATTTAGTTGGTTGGTTGGTGAGGTAGCTCACACTCTCGGAAAACTATTATTTACTTACTTATATGACTCATTTGCTCTCCGTTTTTGATTCCGACTTTTTTTTGCATAAATAATTTGTTTGTGCTTGGTTTACCAAATTAGTTGTTTGAAAATTACTTGTTTAATTTCTCATCTGTAAAACATTTATTTATTTCTTTTTATTATCAGAAATTATATATATTTACAATTACTTAGATATTTTTATTATATTGCTAGAATATATACAAAACATATATTTAACAATATATTTAAAACATTTATTTATTTGTTTTTATTATCAGAAATTATACATATTTACAATTACTTATAGGTAGATTTATTACATTTTTAGAATATATACAAAACATATATTTATTTTTAAATTTGAAAACCAAATTTCACCATTGAATGAATACAAAAATTCACCTCATGGGAGAAATATGTCCATATGAAGCTAAAGTTTATGTTGGTTTGTGTCTCTGACCATTTTTTTTTTAGCGTAGACTTAACCCAAAAGTTTTTAAGAGAAATACGTATTGTTCATAAGTATAAGATCTCCCAGTCAAAACTTAGTGATTACTTTTGTATTTTATTTAAAAACATATATAATCCTATATATATTCTTCTTAACAAATTATACATAGACTGGTGACAGTGCCATATGACATTTTCCACTTTTAGGGAGATTCGATGACCTTGGGCCTGAGCTGATCGGGCTTCTCTTTCTGGTTGGGTTCCAGAGTTCCACAAGTGCTGACATCCTGCAACACGCGGCACGTCTCGCTGGCCAGTTCCTCGGGATCCGCCACTACATCCTGGACTTCCTCAATCTGTCGCTGCAGATCGGGAACCTGCTTGCGAATGGCAAATTCACCCACACCCAGTTCCGCGTGGATGGTGTCCATTAGATTGGCCAGCAGGAGGCTTTCACTGTGACTGAAGTCGTCGCTTTCGTTGCTGCCCTTCAGGATGCAGTTCCTCACCTCCTCGGCCTCGTAGCACATGCCCAGTCGATTGTGGTAGTGGGTGGGTGGCACCTGCTTTCCACCCGGTAATGGGAACTCATAGTCCACCTCCTCGGTGATAAGACGTGTGGGACACCAGTAGTTGTTCATCTGGGAAGAAAGAAATGAATGCATATTGCATTGAATGGACATCCCTTATTACTCACTTTAATGGACCCATCTTTGCCATGGATAATGGCTTGATTGCTAAGCTTCTTTTCCGAACTGACCTCGATGAAGGCCCTCTTGCCGCGGGTGAAACAAAGTTCGATATCGGCGGCCACGTCCACGTGGTCCGCGTTGACCTTGCCACTGACCTTGAGGCAGCGGGGCACCTCCCGAAACACCCAAAGTGCCAGCTGCATGCCGTAGACGCCAAAGTCACTAGTGACTCCGCCGTAAAGTGAGAGTCTCCTAAGATTAATTAGATTCAAGACCAGTTAAGATAGATTCGGCTAGTAGGATACACTTACCCCTGGGAAACGGGCAATCCCAGAGTGCAGTGGACATGCTTCAGTTCTCCAAGACGATTCCGCAGGATCTGGTGCCGCAGGTAATGATAGGCGGGCACGCATCTCGGCCACATTCCCTCCATGAGGAAGAGACCCCGTGCCCGCGCCTTCTCCAGCAGCTTGGTCACCTGCTCCTCCGTCATGCACAGCGGCTTCTCACACAGGACGTGCTTGTCGTGATTCAACATCAGGTGGCACAGTTCCGAGTGTTGCGGATTCAGCGGCGAGATGTACACAACGTCTGAGCTTAAACAAAGTGATAAGAAATAGGGGCTCAGAAGATATAGAAGAAACAGTTTAATTAATTACATTCAAATGTAAAATAAAAAACTAATTTATTATTTTAAAATTTGGATCATAGATTTTAAAAGGCTTTATTTAAAGATAGGTTTTGAGAAAATTTCGAAAAATTACTTATCCGCCATGAGGGTTTTAACAAAAACAATTTACATCACTAAAGTGAAATAAAGTTAATATTTTTTTCGTATTATTATATTTTATAATTAAACACAAATAAACATTACCAAGTATAGGAAAATTAAATTTTTAAGTTCTTCGATTTAAATTTAATAAAAGATAAAGACTTAATTTAATTTTAATTTTTATGACCGAACCATTGGTTACAAATTCTCTTAAGTTCGTAGATTTAAATTATATATATATCCCAAATAAATTAAATAACGAAAAAAAAAACAAAATTACTTATTGCCAATGTGAAATGGTGAAAAATACGCCATGAATAAGAAATAAATTGATTCACTTTGCCAAAAGTAACATATATGGAAACTCACCGACATTCGGGCACTTGGCCAGATCCTCGAAGCTGGTGTACACGTTCTCCACGTGATGGCGATCGGCGAAGGCGAGGGCGTGCGACTGGTAGGCGGCCACGCAGGACACGATGCGGTGGTGCTGCTCCGGAAGGACACTCAGAGCGGCGGCAAAGTCGTCCGCCATCAGACTGACGGGCGCAATGCCCCAGCGCAGCGTGGGCCCCTCGTCCACCGCCCACTTGGCCTCGCCCTGCACCACCTTTGACCCCGCCTTGGACTCGGTCTTGGCGCAGGGAAACCGATTGATGTGCAGCTCGCGGGGGCGGGGTCGCCACATGTTGTGGTCGCCAATGTCTCCTCCAACGAATCCGAATCGGCTCCGCCTGCCGTCCGTCCCGCAAGATGGGCGTGTGGCACGGCCAGTGGGCAGGCGATCTGGGATGTGGAAGGGGTTATGTTACTCACCGTGTACAGAGAAAACTGCACTCGGAAAAATATATTTATAAACATAAGATAGTGCATTTTTTTTAAATTATTCATTGCTCCACTAGCAGGTGAAAACGAAACCAAAAATTGGAATAATTTTCCTAGGAGAATATTATAAAAAGGAGGTTACAAAAAACTTGTAAAAAAATATTACTTTCCTTATTTAAAAATATGTTTAGATAATTAAAATATTTTGGGTCTTTTTAGTTTATTCTGCAGTTGAGAGTTTTACCTTCATTTTGACGATATTTATTAATATTTTATAGCGATTGAGAATGGCTTTTCTAAAAGATTTTATCAAGAAATGGCTAAAGCACACTGAAGTATTTTGAGATAAGTAAAAATAATTTATTTCGTTCTTAATCAAATGAAAAATGTTTTAGCAATCATTGTTTAATAAAACTTAATTAATTTTTCATAAACAAAAACTTTTCTTTTAGCTTTATTTGATGGAAACAAGCATATCTTTTTCGTGTGTATAAACCGCCAGTGGCGATCGGTGGCAAGTTTGTCGCGTAAAACGCATTTCATTCATACAATCGAGCGCTTTTCCACGAACTGGCGAAATTGCGGGTGTTGGATTTGGCCGCCGGCAACCGGTCCGGACTCCGGGCCATCCGTGGACCATCTACGTCGAAAAGCGAGACGACGGGCGCATTATGTGGCGCTGTTTAGTGCGTCAGTTCCTCCATAATTAGTCATATTTGTTTAGCATCACAAGTTGTGAATGACTCGCTGCCGTTCGTTGCAGCTCAGTCAGGTTTTGTTTGGCCGCTTGGATTTGTTTTTTCTGTTGTTGTCGTATTGGCCTGGTCCTGGCCAAGTTGGCCATGTTGGGACCTGCCTGGGCTGCGCACTTTGCGCTTCGTTCTGTCCGCATTCGAATTTCACTTTCTTTTTAGAAACTAAGCATTGGACTGTTTGTGTATTTATCACCGGAGTACCTGCTGGATGGGTAGCCTCACTTTGGCGAGTGGTTGTACTTTATCAGCAGGGAGAAATCGATTTAACAATATTTTGCTTACTTTCGCCATAAACATAATTTTAATTGATTAAAAATAAATTTCAGAAGCAAAGTGTTAAGCTTCAATTGAAACTTTTATAAATGTATATAGCTTTGCTCATGATGGATAGCAGTTTTCTCGTCCCCACTTTAATGGATACTGTCATAAAGATACTTTGCAGCAATATTAAATATAGTTGTAAATATTATATTTTTATGATTTTTTAAAAGCCTTAGGAAAATTAAAGATATCAATAGGCGTAGCCGGAAGAAACCATATCAGTAGGTAGGTATCGATTTAATTTGATAATTTTAAAGTAATTAAACGTATTTTTTGTAGTACCTATTTATTATCCTCTATTCTAGTAAAAGAGCATTCGGCATTCGATTTGTCTTAAGTAGTTGTTGTCACCTTTCCCGGCTTATTTCACTTTTCAATAACTCGAGTGCGTGCAACAATGTCCAGCGGCGAGTGTCCGCTTCTGTGTTCGACTGTTGACGGCGCGTCCCAACAAAAAACAAAAATTTGTTTATCTAATTAGCAATGCACCGGGCGACGTCCGCGCGGGCAGCGCTTTTCACCTGATTTGGCATGCATGGCAGGCGGTGCAAGTGGCAAGGCGATGGCCGTAGAAATTGCCCTAACCCCAAATGCAAAGCGATAAAAGTGTGTGCGAGGCGCGTTGTCGGTTGGCCAATGAACGAAAGTGTTCTATGGGTGTGCAGACGGTCCAAAAACCGAAAACCAAAAACCGAAAATGAGAAAACAAACCAACTCTCGCCGAGTGCCGGAAATGTCTTTGTATAAGCCAGTGCAAGTGTGTATGTGGGTGAAATTATGTGCCAGTGAAAGGTTGCCTAATTTCTGTCATTAAACAACACGGGCACGAGCAGGACCCAGAGGTGCACTTGTACAAATTAGTGCAAAATTTTCATTAATTAATAATTTAGATTTTCTAGAAACAAGGTATGCTTAAATATTCTATTGTTCTTTTCCATCCAAGTCCAGAATTTATATTTTTCCCCTAGACTTTCATAGTATCTTCCCCAGATCCTGTTACATATTGAGGATAGCTTAAGAAATATGAATTAATACAAATATTTTATAAATTGAATTCGCTTTTTAAATTGATTTGTGACCAAAAATGAGAAACACACAAACATATATTTAAAACAGCAATTGTAAGACTTCCCTATTTTGTGTTTTACTGATTATTGTTAATGGCAATCCTTAGTTCCAATTTGGTTGGTATCATACTAAGAACTCAAGTTATATATTTAAAAAATGTTTTGAAAATGACATTGACTATTATTTGTAGTGTGATGCCATGAGGAGACTATGGGGCAGAAGGAGGGCGACAAGAGCTGACAGCCGGAGCACACAAATTTGCCATGCGTGTGTCTTTTGATGACTCTTTCCCGAGAGCGACGACACGGCGGAGACGACATGTTCATTAAAGCCGTGGCCGCGTCATCTTGGTCCCCCAGTTGCCGCCGGTTCCTCTGGCGCACCGACAAAGCAAATAAATACTAAAATTTGCATGCCTGCAACATAAATCGTCGCAAAATATTAAACAAGTCAGCAGCAACAGTTGAAATCAATAAATTTATTGATACAATTTACACGGCTGAGTGGGCTGCCAGATAGCTGGCCGCATGCAACCCGGTCGCATGCAACACACATGCGCTAATTAAGGGGGTTCCCAGTCGCAGGCGGGGGTGTTTTGGCAAATGCTGCACTTGAGATGGCGCGATGGCCTTGCAAGTGGCCACAGAAACAAGTTAACGAGCCTGGCCAAATGACCAACTGACTGAGGAAACTCAATTGGTGATTTAGAGGAGGAACAAATTACGGCGGGGGGATTAACGCCGGTACAGCGAAATGATTTGCAATGATTTGGTACTTACTCTGACTTGATTTCATCGTATACTAATTTACAAAATAAATTAAATGTCATTTGATTTGATTTATTAACAAATGATGATTGTAGTGTCTGGAAATCTTGTATTATTTCTTTAAACTTAACATTTTTGAAATATAAATCAGTAAGTTATATTATTGTCACCCCAAGGTTTGTAATTTATATATTTTAATCTAAAACAAGAAATTAATATATAATTTTGATTTATAATTTACTAGTTTGGAAGAAAGTGTTTTTTAATCAATTTTAATTATGATAGTTTGTTCTAAGTGTTAAAAATACCATAAGCAATTGCTCTTTATTTCCAGCAGCTTTATTTAGACAGTTAGCCAAAACCCTATTACTTCTCAACAAAAACTTCCGCAAACTTAAAAAGAAAGTGGAATGATTGCTAAACATTTAATATTCTGTAACCATAGATATTTAAGAGTACGCATAGATATTTGCATATTTCGCCATTCTAAGTTGTGAAAGTCATGTGTCAAGTTCGTTGCCAAAGTCTTTTGAATTGCCTTACGTTTTTTGTTCGAGCTTTTTGCAACATTGCCACTTAATTGACACCTTCAACATGTTGGGAGAAAGGGGACAAAGGGAGGCTCTGTGGCCAAGCGACAGCATAATCTTTCTTTGACTTTTTGTCCGGCTGACGAGTTTCGTATGCATGTTCGTCGGCTCACTCTCATCTTCCCCTCAACTACGCACACGCCCAGCAGCAACAGCAACAGCAACGCCAATTGACAGCCAGTCATGTCATGACTATTGCCAATTGTTTTTGCTGCCCAAAGCATTTAACATATTTTACGATTCGTTCGCCGCCAGTAGAAATTTATTTAGCCAAAAGATTTTCGGTTTTTATGCAACAGGTGGAGGCGAAAAGCGAAAGTTCAAGAAAGCTGGAACAAAACATTCTTGCCCGGCAGCAAACAAAAAACCAATTAAGTGTAATTCAACTTATTGTGAGTAATATAAACTTAGGTGAAAATATAACCCACCGTACTGATTTATCTGTGTAGTCTTAAAATTTTTTAAAGGTTTGCATTTCAAAAATGTAATGGTTAAGGACAACATCAGGTAAAATTCATTCTTACTATAACAAATTTCCTAGCAATAAATGGGAATTTATAATGCTTTTGGGGACCTAAATGCAAAAAAGAATTCTAGGATCTTAGGCTTATATTCTAAAAAAAGACAAACATAATCAGAGTTCTGGGCCAACAGCGGCAACATGTTGCAGGTAGTGAAAAGTGAGTCTGGCTTTGGACAACGGCAACAACCATCGCCAAACAGGCAGCAACAAAAGCGAAAAGACGACAACTTTGGTGACGAAGCCGGCTGCGCAGTTTACTTAGACTGCGACTGCGACGCGTGTGTTTATGGATTCGCTTTGGCCAAAAGCGTTGGTCAAAAGCGATGCGACGGCAGCAACACCACGAAGACAAGTGCAGGCTTCGCTTTTTAGCTGGTTCGTTGTACCTGCAATCTCAGTCGCAGTCGCTGCCACCGTCGACGTCTCAGCCGCTTTTAACAGTTTCGAATTTGAGTTTTGGCCAAGACCACGCGAAATCAGTTAACAAACGGACGCGTTTTGAAACGGATGCACTATTGGCACTGGCGAAGCGAACCGAAGAAAACCTGAAGCCCCTGAAACTCTGGCTCCTCCATAAAGATCCCAGGTCTTGTCCCAAAACCCGAGGCCGTGCGAATGTCTTTCGGTTTCGACGGCAGAAGCTCGAAGAGCTGCTATCTTCATCGGTCGCGCTGGTCGTTTAAAAGTGAAATTTACTGAATGAAAAGAAATGTCTTCTGGCCAGCCTCGCTGTCTGGCCGTGTGGCTTTGTGTTTGATTATTGATTTGTGACAATTGTCGGCAAGGAAATGACTGCAAATTAGTTGGCAAACAATCGCCGCCTCGAAAGGATTAAAAAAAAACCAACAGATTTTAAAACGCTTATTCGCGAGATCGTGGATATATTTGTTCCTGTGCCAGTGGCATTGAATGGTAAGCCGATTGGCCGGAAAAATAAGGTGATGTAAGATCCTGCTTAGATTGTGTAAGCCTGTGAAAGTAGGAGAACAAATCGATTGGAAAAGAAATTACCCGAATATACGCGATATTTTAGGTGTTTCAAAGGTTTATTAAAAGAGGATATGGTATTTAATATTAAAATTTATTAACATGGGCGTAAGGAATACAAGAAATCAAATCTATTTTATTTACTTGGAGTTTAAACTTTAGACCATAAAATATCGTTTGAAAAAAGTCATTAAATAAAAATAAACGACCACTTGGCTCGATAGTATGTTTACTAAGTTTAACATCGAATAAGCCTACGTGTCATCAGAAAATCCTGATCATTGTTCATTGTGATTTGTGTTCATTAAGCAATAAAGTTGATCATTAAACAACGTGATTAATCATTGAGGATAATGTTAACGTGATTTCAGATGTTTTTTTTATTGCTCAATAAATGTATCACAAATTGACGTATGTACACATTTAACTTTTAGCTATATGATATTTCAAAGTGCTGATTTTACAGAAACATTTAACGACCTCGAATAGTTAACCATAAACGAGTTGTAGGAAGAAACAATATCATAAAAGGATTTAAAGAAAACTGTTGAACAAATTCATTTTCACCAAAGTAAAAATGTTTTCTTTCCTTTTTGGGATGTACGTTTGGCTTAGTTTAAGTAAATAAGCAAATAAATAAAATCAAGCTGTGTTCATATCAGTTTAGGAACAGCCAAAGTAACATTTCACTTGCAACACTTGGTCACGATTCATTGTCTATGGTCGTTTTCACGCATTTTCCATCAATCAACTCTCGGTTTTCAATGGTATAATCCACGACTGCGGATGCTGCACATAAATTCCACCTTTCTTCGCCAGCGAAATCGAATGTTTCTTCTCTTTTGCGATCATGCATCTTTGCGCAAAGAATTAAGACGCTGAATGGAGTTTAAGCTGGCGCTTATGCCGACGAAAAGTAGACAAACAAACGGGCATCACTCATACGCCGTGTGTACAGAATGAAAGATGCGATTCAAGGCAAGGAGAGAAAGGGCAGCCACTTGATTTTCCAGGCACTCCCGGGCCACTCGGCGCATTTATCTTTCACTTAAAGTGAAGATGACATTCTTTAAATGAAATTAACTGCCGGCAACAAAACACCGAAGCTGCAACTGCTGATGCATCTGTTGATGTTGCTGGTGTTGCTGATGTTGCTGAGGTTGCTGCTAATGTTGCCGCTGTGGCAGTGGCTTCTGTGGCAGCTGCTTTGGCTGCAATTAGTATTTGTCTTTGGCTAATACGCTGCCATGTTGGTATGCATCTCTGTGCGCCAGTTTCTTGTTGCTTGTGTTGCTGCTGCAGGTTGCAGGTTGCCGGTTGATAGTTGCTGGTTGTTATTGCCACTGCTGCTGCTGCCGCTGCTGCTGGCATAAAAAGTGTCGCGCACTTGAATGGATATTTGGTCTCTGCTTCGGTTGTTTGTCTATTTATTGGTCTGTTTGCTTGCTCATCGGCTTTTTATAGCTGCCTTTTTACACACATTGGCTTAGCCGTCCACTTAACAGCTGTCGCTTCGAGTGCATCTCTCACTCCATCTCCATGTCGCGGTGTTTTTCGATCTCAGTGCCTCCACTGGTCTCCTCTGGAGCCTTTTGGGTTCCATGTTGTGGGCAGCGTTTGAGTGACTGAGTGCCGGCTTTTAAGATACACCGATCGAAAGTGCTTGGAATGCATTTATGATAGGGGGCCATCCAGCTGATGCGTTCATATAGTTTTGACATGGCGTGGGTTTTTCGATCGTTGGCAATCGGAGGGTTCGAAGGCCTGTGAATTACTTGAAAGTTGTGGAATAAAACGCTCTACTTTTATTGCGACAAGTGTAATAATATAACGCCTAAAATGATTTCAAAACGAGTCCTTAATCTGGTTAAAACATAAAAAATTTAAGAGCGTACTCTGGCTTATTAGTTGTGAAAAAATTAGAAAGATAAGATTATATTACATGAACATTTCACAAATTGATAAAAAAACATTATGTTTTAAAGAATAAATATTAATAACTAATAAGTTTCATTTGTATATTAAATACTAAATAGGCTTCTTAATTAATTAGCTCTGAAAAGTATTTTTGGTCTTTGTATTTCACTAGTTTTGGATTAAAAAAAACCCTTTAAAAAATTTTTATTTTTTTCCACATTTTTTGGATAGATGATTGCATAAAATACATATAATTTGCATATCAACTAGTCACATCATACTTAACTTCAACACTCACTTAGCGAACAACTCATTTCTCTTGTCATGTAAAGCCAATAAAATTAAATAACACAGAAATTATGCGTAATTAAAAGCATTATGTAAATGCAATGTAAGACAATAAAGACAATTAAATAACTCACACGAAACGAGAGCGACCAAACACGTTAGGCCTACCACATAAAATTGCAATAATTTCGGTAGAGGAAGCGGTTGACCAGTGGAAAATTGGGGGAAATTGTGTCCATCATTAGTGGCCAATGGAAAATGGTTTTTCGAATAGTTGACCGGGCCAAATTATATTCAATTGCAAGGCCATCATCACCCCGCCCACTTTTCTTGGCCGTCGGCGAATTTTATTTGATTTTAATTGCCGTCATAAGCGAGATGTTTGCCATTTAATGGCTTTATTTATGCGTGTAGTAATCAAGTTAATTTTTACGATTGCCGCCGAGCGAGTTGCAGCAACAACAAACACCGTAGCAGCAAGCCGGCAAAAAAAAATCACAGCAACCCGTAGAGCTGCTGCGAAATAAATGCAAATTTTTTTTTATGATCAAAAAGCACAAATTTCACTTTCGATGGGAACGAATTGCGCGGCAAGCGCAGGCTGAAAAGAAATATTCGCAAAAAAAATACAAGGAGGGAGATGATGATAAGAAGCCCTTAGGACATATCTTCGAGAGGAAATGCAGAAGAAAGAAAGCCAAAGAAGAGGAGCCGCCGCCCACCCAGGTCGCCGATCTTCGGTCTCCAGGGAGTTTTCTGGTCAGTCACGTTGCCCCTCTGCCCTCCGCCGCACAATGCCATAAATTATGAATTAATCGTATCAATCTCTGCGATCAGGGAAGTTGTCGCTGGACAGGAGGAGCGTCTTAAATCAGACAGAGACTTTGTTTAATGCAGAGTTTGGAATTTTGTTATCAAATCTGTGGATATTGTTATATCCGTTACTATATAAATATTATTTGTATTAGGTTTGCCAAAGGTATTATATTCTTTTGGATTGTGAATTGTAATAAAAAGTATTCTTCAACAATCGCGAATTTTTATGCTCACAATAATAAAATTGTCTTGTTAAAAAAAATTGTATATTTAACATATAAAAAATTTAACTAACTCTTTTAGTGATTAATATCTATCAAAAAATAGTTTTTCGCACTTTAAATCTGTTTTAGTTTGTTATATTTTGTATTAATTTGTTTGTTTGTTTTAAGAATCTTTTCTCAAAATTTATGTTTTAATATTTTACTTAACTTAAGAAAGTATTCCTTTTTTTACGAAGGTATCCTCTATCTAAGCTTTTGTACATCTATATTTAAATATATTTGTCAATGTTTCAAGTTCGTGTCCTAAGACATTAGTTTCCCGTTATATGATCGTCCTAAAATTTCCTATTTTTAGTGAATATCAGCTCTATCCTCGCCTTTTATATATCCTCTTCATTGATATTCCCCTAACCCTCGTTAAAATCCGATTTGTAATATCAATTTACAATTTAATACCTGTTCATTTATAAGCCGTGCTGAGTGAAAGGTTAATTTTCTTTACTCTTTAGTTTATATTAAACTGGCATTCCATTTTATGATCATAACTAAAAAACTACCTGAATTTTTATAGCAGCTCTAAATTAACTGGTAAGCAATCTGGATAACAACCTGTTAAGTGAGTGCAATGCAACAACCGCCAAACTTCCTCATTCACGTCCGTTATCCAATAGTTAAGAATCAATTGCGGTGGCTAAAAATTGCACAGATCAAGTTCGGCGTACACAATCGATGTGGCTATTAAATCATCAGCGAGTCATAACCGAAACTGAACAATTTAACAAAATTCCAGATAAGACGTGAAAAAAACCCGAGAGACCGATCAACGAACCGAGCCAAACGATGATTAGTGAACGCCACAAGAGCCGCGATTTGGTTACGATACTTGGTCTGCTCCACCTCCTGCTCCTCGGAGTCGCCTCCGGCCATGTGATCGAGGTTTTGGCTCAATCAACAACCGCATCCACATCCCAGGCGCAGACGGAGACGGAGACGCAGACGCAGACTTTTCAGGCTTTGGAGACCAAGACCAAGACGAAGACGAATGCCAGTCAGGATGGGGCTGGTCTGACGCCCGGTGCGACAACAGGTGAGCGAACAACGAACATCAACCGCAGCGAAATGAAAAATATGAAAGATTTGCACTTTGATTTTGTTTCGCCAACATAATTGGGTGCTTGGGTGCGGAGAGTGGGCACTATTTTAATGGCCAGCATTAGGAGATCAAACAATTTTGAACGCAATCATGCGAGGCATTTTAATGCGAATGAAAGTGAAAATCGTCTGGCAACATTGTTTCGTGGTCACAGGCAATTATGCAAGGATAAATGGGATACAGATGCATGTGCTCGATTGGGTGGGATTGGAGTGGCTCCGAGTAAAGTGAGCTACCCAGTGAAGGCAGCGCGCGCCCACCCATTATGTTATTGAAAGGAAAGGGCAAATCGACCTTGTAAGTACCCTTAAATATTATTCAGAAAGAAGATTTTATCTGTCCAGTTCTTTGAAAATTTCTTTTCGGATAAAAAAAATTGCTTGCATTTAAAAATTTAAGTGCAAATGTAATTTAAATAACAAACTCATATTCTACTCAAATACATTAATATTACTATTTGTTGTAAATGTTATTGATGAATTTTTACAAACAAGACAAAAATCTGCTTTACTTTTCATAACATTAGAATAGTAATCGTAATTTCTAAAAAAGGGAATATTATTTAAAAAGAAATAAATAGTTTATATAAAAGTAATATTTGAAATTTTTAAAAATCTTTTCAAAATAGTTGTCAAAAAAGGGGAAGGTAAAAGATATAATATAAATCAATAGAAAAAGATTAAAGAAAATATAAGCTAAAGAAAATCAATAGCCTTTTGGGTAAGCGTATTAAAAGCCAATTGCCAGAAGGAGATCAAGATGCATGAGTGGCCATTTCCGCTTGTGCCAAGTGCATGTCCTCACGTCGAGGAGCTGGGAGCTTATAGCTCCGCATGCCTTCGCAACCGCTCAAATGGAAAGCGATTTGTCTGGTTTTAGCTAATAATTTATCAGGCCTCCGCATTCGCAGTCGTCGCCTTCGCCGCCTCTGCCATTTATTTTTCCTCAGTCCGTTGATCAGTCAATCAAGCAAAGCCAAGCCAAGCTAAGCCAATCCGACCCGAAGTCCAAGTAGGCCCAAGTGGGTCCAATGCGACTTTGTGTCGGGCTGTCTGACTGTTTGCCGTGTTGATTGCCTTGGTCGTGGCCCCCACTGATCAACGCCTGCCGGCGAAGGTGCCTCCAAGTGCTGGGTGCCAGGTGGGCGTTGGAGCTCACAAATTTTGGCGGCTTGGCCTCTGACTCTGGCTTAATTAGGAGCCACATGGCGGGGAGCTAAGCGGCTCATCCAATCCGGGGTTGGGGCACAAGCGTCGGGTTCAATCGACTGGAGCTCCAATCTTGCACACTGTCCGCGGGCATTAAAATCAATTTATGCAAAAACTGCTCAAAAGCGATCGAAGTCGGATAGAAACGAGGGAAGTTTAATAAGTATCGAATGTTTTCTCATTAGGATTATTTTCTATGGTAACTACAGTAGTTTCCATTAAAAAACAGTGACATTTGTGACTCTTTAAAAATTCTAGAAACACAAATTAATTGCATTTGGATATTTTTATTGTAACCATACGTGGTACGTTTTAGTATTCATTGTTAGGTTCACAATTCCTAGACTAGTTGAATACCTATACCAACCTATGCAAGCACTTTCCTATCTTACAATAAGTTATGTGTATTTAAAAATGGGGTACAAAACAAATTAACAAACAATTTAACAATTCATTAAAACTATAAATCGTTGAACTCCCCACGTTTTGAGCAACCAGGATGCCGACTTGGTCAAGTGACGGGACAAAAACATTTGTTAACACTTTAACGAGTTATGATTTGGCCCGACTCTGGCTGTGGCCATGGCACATAGCTCCTAGCTCCTAGCTGGATCTCCATCTCAGGTGCCTCCCGGCCATTTGGGGGGCAATTAAAGCTGCACATGTAAAAGTAAATTGATACGGCACTCAATCATTTATCCCGGCATCTTTTCTTCCACAGCCCCCAGGCTGGATCCGAACAACAACAACGAGTGGCGTCCCCTTGGACACGGAGATCCCCTGCAAAAGGACCCCACCTACGACTACAGTCCGCCGGCCTTGGATCGAGTTCGCTATTGGGCGGAGAACAACAGCACGGGACAGAGTAATCCGGAGGCCAGGAAAAAGGAGCTACCGCCGGAGGTGCTTCGCAATAAGACGAAGAGCGAGGTTCTGCTTCTGGGCGTGGCCAGTGAACGGGTGAGGGTGCCCCACTCCCATTCGTATCCGCCAGTGGGCTTAAGCCAACATCAGCAGCAGCAACAACAGGCTAAATATGCAGGCATCCGGAGAAGCTACTATGCTCCCACTCAACAGCAACATAGCCAACATAGCCAACATAACCCACAAATGCCACAACAAACCCAACATATTCCACCCCACTTGCATACCCAGCAGCACATGCCACACACCCATTTGATGCCACCACCCATGATGATGATGAAATCGGGTGCCTCCCCCGTTCCTCACCTGGAATATAGACACAGCATGATGGCCACAGGGGCACCCACCTCGTATATGAGCCTCAATTATATGAGTTCGCCAACGCCCAAACAGGCGATAACCTCCTCTGTGATTTACCATCAACCAGGGATGGGTCACCATACCTCTTTGTCGTCCTCAACGCCTTGGATAACCAGCATGCCACCACCACATCGCTTGAGTCACTCAGACCCACATATCCAGGAAACCATGCACAGTTATAGCTTTTCGAGGCCCCATCACCAGCAATCGGTGAGTTACTCGCCCAACTCGCTGCCAGGACTTCAAGGTGGACCCAAAACAGGTCTAAGGAAACCCTGGCTGCATGAGCTGTTGCAAAAGGAGGTGGTGGTGACGTCCAAGCCCAAGGTAAAGCCCACAATGCCGGCTACCAAATATCTGATGGGTACGAGCAAGCCACATCACCCACTGCCACCTGTTGGTTTTGGCATTAGTTCAACCCGCCCACCGTTTACCTACGCCCCAGTGACCTTTGTGCCTGGACCACCCACCGTAGTGGTGCCCACCGTGGCCACCAGACAAGAACTGCAGCCGGAGGTCTACATCACACCCACTCCTCAACCAAGTAGCTCTAGGTTTAGACCCATGTTGATGACCAGCACAGCCACCGTGGGAACCACTCCTTCGACCACATCGACGACTTCACCCATTTATCAACGTACCAGCAGCACACCAACCAGTAATCGTTTGCTGATCCCCCAGACGAGCAATCTGGCCCAGCGACCCACCGTGGCTCCTGCTCCGAGTGAACCCACCACCGACTCGCTTTTCTCCCACTACAAGCAACCACCGAAACCCCTACTAGGACCCATGTACCTCATCATCGAGGGTCATTCGAAGGTGAAGACTTATGGCCAAAACGAATTGGATCCACATAGTCCAAAGATAGTGCCGGTTATCTCGAAGAGGGAGCCAGTGGTTAGGATAGCAGATCCCAATGAGAAGCGGGGAACGGTGGAGTCCTATCAGGTCAAACATTTGCACACGAAAACCACGCCCATGACAACGACGACTACGACTAGCAAGCCCTCAACCACGAAGCCTTCGACCACAATAGCGCCGGAAAAATCACCTGTTTACAGCACTACTAAAGCACCGGTTAGCAGTACCACTAAGTCTACTACAGCCAAAACCACCACAGCCAAAACCACCACAACCAAAACCACCACATCCAAAACCACCACAACCAAAACCACTAAGGCGACAACGACCAAAGGTCCAATCAGAAGCACAACTCCTTCAAATCCACCACAACCAAAGCCAGAATCACCCACTGATGTTAATGATCTATTGAGCCTGCTGGATAATATGTTTTCAGATGCCCATGAGATCGCCTCATCCACTGGGACACCTCCATTGGCCACTTCCACCACGAGCACCGTGCTGAAGCCAGTTAGTACCAAGTTGTTGCCCCAACAACCGGAACCAAGGATTGCCAGTAATGCGGGAAACATAGAGAGTCTGCTCGAAGATGACACCCATGGAGATGATGAAGCTGGCGAAGATCCAGGGTCACCGATTTCCACTGAGACACCGCCGCGAGCAACGCGTCAGGTCTTTGACTATGATCAATTGCCAGAGTCACGGATTAAAGAGGGGGTCACCGATATTATGGAATACACTGATGATGAGGAGGAGCTGGAGCTGGAGGGAGATGATGAAACGGCCACCGATGGTGAACTGGAAGATGAGGAGGAGACGGAGGCAGATGAGTCACAAAATTTGCTCAAACGAATAGATCAATTTGTGGATGATGTCGACGATGGTGAAGACGATTTGGAGGATCTAATCGAAGGTCTGGACGACGGGGAGATCGACGAAAGGCGACAGCAGCATTAGCCCAAGATAAGCATTTTTCTTAAACTGCGCTCTATACCAAATCTATCAGAAACTTTTTCTCACGCCTAATACGTTCTTGTACATAAGTCAGCTTTAATTGAATCTGTATTTATTTGTTGTTAGTTATTAGGCCCTGCTGGCATCACAATGTGATTGCATTCTATACCCAATATAATTCGAGCAAAGAGTTTTCGTTGTGTAATTAAGCATTAAATTATTGAAATTTTCTTACGTTTTTTAGTTATTAAGTGTGCAATAATTGAAAAATAAATGCGAAAATCAAAATAAAGTTTATGTCGCCATCTATTGTGGGGATCTGTCAAGAGCGCCACCTGGTGCTCGGTCTTCTACGTTTGTAAGCTTTTTCCAAAAATTGGAAAAAGAAGTAATTATTTTAAAATTCAATTTATGAAAATAAAGAAATGGTAATAAATTAATCAAAAAATATAATATGGTTAAACGGTTAAATTACAATGTTGTGTCACCATACAAATATTTAATTTCCAAATCATTTTCAAGAATTTTATTTTGACAAAAATGTAAACATTCCATAAACAGCGGACCACTTTTAAAAAATTGAAAAACCTTTAAAAACATGGGTCGTTTTACTTGTCTCCTCCACCAAAGCTTGTTTTGGTTTTTCATATTAAAAAAGTATACGCCGCGTGTCACATTGAATGACTCAAATCACATTTTTTAACATACAAGAAATCTTAAAAATCCAATGCAACAAGTTCAAATCAACCGCCAAAAGTAGAAAGCTCTTTCCAGTAAACATCGATCGTTCACCGCTCGATAGCGATAACATAAATGCTGAACAGTGTTGGCATCATTTCGGAAAATGTGTATATGATGGAAAAAATTTATGAAGCACACCCATAAACAACCTATACTTTTTTTAAGGTAATTTTTCTAAAAATGTGTTGTCTAGAGTTAACTTTTCCTAGGTTAATTTTTGTAAGGAAAATTTTCCCAAAATATATTGTCTGGGTTACCTTTTTCTTTTTGTCTTCTTATTTTTTGGATACAGTACCAATCTTACATAAAACAATCAATTCTAAATGTTGTATATATGGTTTTATTGCCTGATGCATTTTTCCCGCTAAAAGCAGCTGTTTCCCGCTAAAATTCTGACATCACTGCCGTCTGACCTATCGCTCCACTTTGTTTATTTCCAATTGGATTTTCCAAGCGCCAGTTCGGAACTCGCCGTCGAAGAGACAACAACTCGCTAATTGGATTAAATTGTTTTCAAGGTGTACTAAACTTAGTGACAAAATAATATATTATTAACAAAAAATAAACAATAAAATACGCTTCAAGTTCACAGAGCTCAAGTGCGAAAACTACATAACTCAAGATCAAGTGTGAGAGTTTTTTGTGCGTTTTGTTTACGCTGCGAAGCGATCTTCGTTCTCTTTCTTACTTTCGCTTTTGTTTGGAGTTAAAAAAAAGAGTAATGAACTTAAACGAATAAGAGAAGTTTGCGAATGCAGTTGTTATAAAACGGAAATGTGTTTCAGTTTGACAAAAAGAAAGACAAAAGCTAGAAGTGAACAAACACGTGCTAAGTAATTTTGTGACTCAAAAAGCAATTAAATTTTATGATAACAGCAGCCTAGGTGATAAAAAAGCCAACAACAAATCGTATTGTATAGAAATCATAAATTAGTGAAACTATCTCCTCCTACCCTTGAATTGAATGAGCGGTAATAATGCCTATATAGCTAAATGTGTGTGCATATATTTGCTCGATGTCTATATAACCTTGATCCGGGCATTGCGACTCGGCCTGAAAAAAAAAAACATTTCCGAAATGTGGCGTCGTCTCCAACAAACAGAAAAATCCAAACAGTAAAAACCAAACAAACTTCTATGCCAAAAAACCGGTTCACTTCACGCCGAAAACCCAAACAGAGAATACGTCTGATCAGAGATAAAAAGTGCCAACGAAAGAGAGAGTATGTGTGACCTGTTGGAAAAACAAATTCCATTCCAATTAGAAATTATCAGTCGCACGGCAAATGTCAGACTACGGCTGATAAGGCCATTGTTGTTTTCTTCTGATTAAAGAGCAGCCGGCGAATTTTCGTGTCTTTTTCCTCTCGATATTTGAGTTACAGTCAAACTTCCCTAATGCTAACTTTTTATATTCTACAACTGAATATGGTTAGAAATTATAACAATTTATAATATAACATTTTTAATTTTATAAACATTTTAGTTAATATTTTTATTTTATTTAAAATTTTTTAAATTTTTACATTTACATTTATTTAAAAATACTCTAAAGACGCCACAATTTTAAAGTTCGACTTATAGAATTTCGACTGTAATTCCTCTGCATCCGTTTTACATTGTAAGGGACAGGGAAATTGTGATTAGAAGAGGGCCCAGCTAGACATGTCTACCCTGGCAACATGATAACGAGGGGCTTATGCAATCTTCGCGTTTATGAACCGCAGCATTGATAACCTTTATCAATTGCCGGTCGATCGGGAGACGCTCAGCGTTACAGTTGATGGATTCACTTGAATTACTGACCTACTTTGATCGCTGCTATAGGGAGTTCTTCCATTTAAAGTGACAAACCGGTTCGGGCAGTAATTATCCGACCAAGTACAACTGAAGTGTCTGAAATATTTGTAAGATGTTAAGGTCGGCCTAGGCTTTTACATTACCGCGGGAGTGCATTAATTATAAATTAACAGTGAGCACTAGGCTGACAAACCAACATCAGTTAATGATGCACCCCCACCTTAATCGGTTTAAATTTAAACTCAAAGTTCAACAAACTAATCGTCAAACCGCAGCGGCAATTCGATTCAGGTTCTGTTCTCTTTGCCCCATGCGAGTTATATATCCATTCAAACAGCAGCGGCCAAAATAATAGCATTAATAATAATACTTTAGTGATCTGAATATGTGTTCCCAATTCGTAAATAAAAAATCATTTAAAATCTTTGTTTGAACAATATTGTAAAATATTTTTTGGTTGTATGGCGGATTTTCTTATTTGAATTAAAAAATCTTGTAAAGATCTTTGCACATTTAAGAATTGATTAACCATATTTTAAACTTGTGAATGTATTCATTTTTGAATTTTGTATCGGACGTATTTAAACTCAAAAATGATCATCTCTGTTGGACTCCATTGTATGTTTTTTTACGCGGATGTGAAATATATAAATTTATATGCATTTTTTACTGTATCTCTTGGAACAATGCATTTACATCTCGTACTTCTTCGGGCTCCCAAAGCCTGGCCATTACTCATCATTCTGTTGATGAGCCATGACGAGCTTCGAGTTCGAGTTCTGGATGACGTTGCGTCACGATGACTCGACTTAAATCCTTCTGCATGCAATGTACGATTGGACTATATGTATTTCTTTCCACTTGGATCAGTTCAACGCACTGAATAATTATGTAAAAGTTAGTGCTTGATGCCAATGGAATACTAAATGCACACTGCGAAACTGACAAGATAGCGATTCAAGAATTCTGCATTGTAAAAATTCCCACTCAGAGTACTTGCTAAATTAATAAAGAAAAATCTGTGATTTTTTTAATCTTAAATATTGCGATCTTTAATAAAATTGATAAATTAATTACTACAACATTTAGAAACCAGGTATTTTAAATATGACATTGAAACGCACTGTACGATCACTTTAAATTAATTTGTATGTGCATATGAGATAAGCAGCGATAGTAATCGAACTTTGATGTCAAATAAACAAGTCATTAAAAACTACTCAAATAAAACTATTAAGTACGACGGTTACCTCCATAAAACGACGTAGCTATTGTTGGTCAAGAATTCAATCCGCAATCCTGAGACTTCGTCATCAAAGTTGTTTGCATATAAAAAATGAAATTATAAATATTTGATAATAGCTAGAGCAGCAATTTTCTAATCGTATCTTGCTACTCGTTGTTTGTTATAAACAAGTTACGTGAGTGCAAATCTCTAAGTAGAATCTGATATATATTCAAAAATAGAATTTGCAGATATAGCCAACCATTAAAATTGTCCGGTTTCAGAAAATCAATTAATTGGGTCAGATGAATGGGACGGGTGTCTCGCAAAAGCAGGGTATGATTTTTATTGCGACTTTTTTGCCCTACCATTTGAAGATCATCCAGTTGACATGCGATCTTGACTAAGGTAGGTAATGTCAAGTACGATCGTAACAACTTTGCAACTGGTTTTAAACGACACAAGTGAGAAGCTGTTGACTTATAGATCAGGCAACAAAACCACATTATAATTTGTCGGGTTCAATGTCTATGCGAATCGGTATCTGATTACTTAATCAGTAATTTCATATTCAAATGAACTTTGACCGCAATAACTGCGTGAATCGCTTCTGGCTCTGTCAGGACCCATTTATTTGCAAGCACTTCATAATCTTCATGAAAATGACGTTAAAAGTACTTGTACTAATTTCCATTCATATTGGAATAAATATTGTTTCAGCTGTTCTTATCAAAAATAAGATAACCCTTAATATTAAGAAAGGAGTTGTCATATTTGATTAAGACATCGTGTAACCTAATTACCCTCATTACATGTTATCAGAGTTGGGTATTTGTTCAATGGATTATCGGCTAAAGTAAAGCCTTTGGAGATTATAGCCCCTAACCATTCAGAGTTATTTCTGTGTCAAAATAAAAGTACTTGAACTCTTTATAAGGGAAACCAAAACAAATCTTATCGTTCTATTACATTTTTTATTGCAAAAAGAATGTGCGATAAGCAAAGACTAATCATCATAAATTGAAATTTTTTATAGACAGGGGACAATAACTATTAGAACAGAATGACCACCAATAAGGATCCCCAAGATAAGGGAGCCGGCAAACCAGAACCGACCAAGAACGGCGGATCTGGTGGGGTGGGAATCATGAAGCGCTTAAGAAGATCAGCTTCTGCTACAGAACACAACCTGAGCAGCCTGAGGAACCGCAAGTCAACCCAAAATCTTTTCGATCAGCATGGCAATCCCATTGATCTGCGGCAGTATCGCAAAGTTTTGGATAAAGATGAGAATGGGAATGGAACGAATGGATCCGAGAAGAAACTGAGATATAGAAGAACGCAAAGTGTGACTCGTGCAGAGGAAATTTCAAACAAAGAGGAAAAACAGCGAAAGGCACAACCTGGAAGACCGTGAGTAAAGAAGATTTATCTATTAAAAACCCATTTAAATGTTAAACCTTTTTTAGAATCCATCGACCCCGAGATTCTCTGTTTTCTTGGAGCTCAGGCTTTACCAATTTTACAGGACTGGTTAACTGGGGATTTCTACTGCTGTGCATTGGAGGTCTGCGATTAGGTCTGGAGAATCTGCTCAAGTAAATATGAAGGAAATCTAATCAAAAGATAAGTTCTGACATACATATTCCAATTTCTTAGATATGGCATTCGCATTAACCCCCTGGACTGGTTCTTTTTCATCAGCGGTCACAATGAAGGCGAGGGTCACAATGCCCTAATCCTGAGCATTTGTGAGTGCCCATATCCCACAGATTAGCCAGCCCACATTCTTAATCCGTAAAATCTCCCTCTTTTCCAGACTCTTTGGTTCACATTTCCCTCTGTTTGGCTGTGGAAAAAGGTCTTGCAATGGTGAGTACTCACTTTGATAGCATCTAACGCCTAATTTGTTCGGTCGGGACTTGAACCACGTTATTAGCTTGAACATGGTTTAATATGCTAAATTTAAATAATATCGAGTTATTACTAATATATCGACAATTTGGCAGAATTTAATGAAATTTATAGGTGTCTCTGACAAAAAACGATTTGCTACTTTGAGTTTACTTTTACTTATTTAAAGTCAATCAAAAAATTAAATTACGAAATTTTTAAAACATAACTATTTATTGTTTACAAGACTTACAAATACATAAGATACAATTTTTTAATGACAATAAACCGGGCATGCAGTGAGTGATCAAGTACGATATAGATTAGAGTGCGAATGTATGGCGAGGTTTGATTGCGATAAATGAGCTTGGAGTCATTCGTTTTCTTAGGCAATCCGTACGCCACTCTGATCACAATATTTCTGCAGTACTTGCTTATACTCCGGCTCCAGGGGTGCCAACAAAGTGGGTAATTCTCCCGCTCTCGATTGCGCGAACTTGGAGAGCGAGGTGGCCAGAAACTGGCGGGCATCAGTGATCTCGGCCAGGTGATCCTTCTGGTTGGGCTGAGCATGGGTGAGTTGGGCAAAGGCCACTTGATAGCCAGCATCAGGATCCTCTGCCACGCCTGCAGACTCTCCTATTTCGAGACCCTTTAACTTCTCAGGTGGTCGCTCGAAAAGATCGATGAGAGAATGTAGCAAACGTGGCCAGAAAGCACTGTACTGTTGCTGTAACATTTCAGGCGTCTCAGTGAGCAGTTTCGTGACACCCACCGCCACCATTTTTCGATCCTGTTCCTTAGGAACCTTGCCCATTTCGGTGATAAACACCCGATCCAAAAGCATACCAAACATGCCTGGCTGTATCTCATCTATCATCTGAGCCAACTGACCGCCACTGTACTTGATCACATAGAAGCTGAAGAAGACGATAATTCCGCTGATGTACTTCGGAGTCTTCGAGAGAGACAAACGCTGGAAGAGCAGGCCAAAGATCTGACGAAGATTGGGTTGAATTTCAGCGGCGGGGTAGTAGGAAAGGAGATTCTGCAGCAGATAAAAACCTTCATGGTCGTTAGCCTTGGAGGCTATCATCTTCTGGAAAATTCCAAGTATTCCGCTCTGCAATAACAAATATATGAAATTGGAATCAGTAAAATTAAACCTGCGATACCCCCATAAGTTTACTTACCAATTTACCCAAGGCGTGAATCTGAGCTGAACCCTGCTTAATGAAAGCAGAGATGAGCCGAATCAATGGTGTGACATTGCCCGTCCGATCCCAAAGAGCAGGAGACAGCAAGCAAGGAAACAAGGCCCAGTAGGGCTCCGGAATGGAACCAGAGCCCTCGCGCACTTCCAGCAGCACGGAAAGCATCTGGAAGACGTAGGGCATAAATTCGACAATATCCTGCTGTAAGATGCCTTGGAAAACAGGAAACAAGGCCTCCTCAAAAGAGCTCACAGCAGAGGCATCGGCCTGGCAAACAATCCTGTAGAGAAATGTAATTATTAAACTACTTATAATGAGGACATTTGTGTTACTTACTTGATACAAAGAGCCAGAGTTTCGAAGAGATAGTGATTAAAATTTGGACGAGAAGGATTCTTGGCCACCTGGGCAAGAATCTCGGTGAGCCGGGGAAGTGCCACCCCCATAAAGGGCATAGAGGCCGATTGCAAAACCGAGAAACTGCGCATAATGGCTAAAATGATATTTGTTAACTCAACCGAAATGGATATATTTGTGTTTCAAACTCACCCTTCATTACATACTCATTCTCTCCGGATCCTGGCAGAGAGAGAGTGGCAAACAAACCGCTGACGAGTTGAGTGGCGTGAGGACCCAACACCTGTGGACCAAACACGATCGCATTGCTAGCATCGCGCATTGTGAGGATCTTCTCCACGGAACAGGCGGCATAGCTATGAACCACAGGGCTTTCGGCGGGAAGATGTCTGATAAGCTGCGGCAGACAGTTGGCCAAGACCTGGGGACCCAAAATGCTGCGGAACACCATTATATACTTAATAGCCGCGGCCTTAAGAACTGGTATTTCGTTAACTGTCAAGGAAATGAAATGGTTATTAGATTAATAGATTATAAAGATCGATCCACTTACTGTTGGGTCTCTCCAGTTCTGGAATAATTTGTTGAGCACAAAATTCTGGAAGTGGAACCAACTCCGAGGTCTGTGTGATGCCATGCTTTTGAGTCCCACCTCGAGATGCCCACGATGTGACCAAATAAATAGCCGTATCCTTTGACCGCCAATTGGCAGTCGGATTTTCTTTGTACTTGGTCAGCAATATCTCCAGATACTGGCCAAAGATCCCGAAGATCTTTTGCTCAAAGTTAATGGATAGAGTCTTTACCAGATCGCAGGCCGCTCGACGTCGTGTATCAATATCTGAACCTTCGATGTCCCTCCGAATATACTCCTCCGGGCTGTCCTCGAAAATTTCTTCATCTGAAGGCCGGATGTCCAGATTGGGAATGACAACTTTATCGCAGATCTGCGCTAGTATCTCAGGGTTTTCGAAAATGTTCTGATAGTGCTGACGCTCAGCCACCACAGAGAGGAATTGCAGGGCGTGGGAAACCAACTGCAAAGGAAAAATACATGTTTTAGAAAATACATTAAAATTTATTAAATAGTGGAATAAATAATAGAAGCAGCAAACTTTTTTCTCACCGCATCGTATTTGGTTTGCAGGCTGGTCTTGACCAGCAACTCCCAGACTGCAGTTACGAACTGCTCCATAAAGGGCTTGAACTCCTCGTCGTATTTCTTGGCATACAGGCAAATATTCTCGCAGACCTGCGCGCGCAGATGCTCCAGCACACCCGCATCCTCATCATCGCCAGTGCGCAACGATGGCACATCCGCTGCCAGCTGCTGGATAAACGCTCCCATCCAAGTGTTCATATTGTCCTCGAAGAACTCGGGCAAATCTTGAGAGTTCAGCGAAAAGAACACCTTGTTTACCAGCACAAGAGAGCCGTAAATGACCTTCAGTGCCTCGGCATTATTTTCGTGGACCTTGGTCAGCTGCATTGTGGCCTGGAGCAAATCAGTTAGAGGTTTCGCCATCCGATCCAGTACGAATTTGATCTCCTCCCACAGAGCCTGCGACTTGAACTCAAAGCGATAGCGCTTGAAGAGCGAATGTGCGGTTTGCAAAACGCCGTTAATGACATTGAAATCGCCTGAGGCAAATCTCTCCACCATCTCGTCGATGAGCTGCGGCCATTTTTTCGGAAAATCATGCTTGCCAATGATACTGACCGCGTCGCTCAGTTGTTTTTGCAACGCCACCGGTGAGTGGAGCATCAGCGTTACGATCAGGGTCTTGATGGTGTTCCTGTCACTTTCATGAATGCGATCTGGTCCATCGCTGTCCAGGTGGGCCGCCCAGTTCCGCTTCACATAGTTCTTGAAGGCAATGGCGCCCGCCACCCTCGTGGTCATGTCCATTTGCGCTTTGTCTATCAGGTTGAGAAGCAGTATGGGATAATTTTGCTGCAGTTCCGTAGACTCCAAGAGTTTTTCGGCTGAATATTGAGGGGAGAAAAATAGTGCATATTAGAAAACCAACTACATACATAATATAATACCTTAAAACATAAAACATAAGACTCCGCGCGAAGAAAAAAAAATACTTAAAAAAAAAGCTTTGTTCCTTAAAAGCTTATAATGGTTTATTGGAATGAACGTTCCTAATAAAACACAAAAAAGGAGCCATTTATTATTTTAAAGAAGGAATCTTGGCACGTGTTTTAACATTTCTATAGTAGCTAAAATATAAGAACTTTCAATTTAAACAGAGGACTTAAAACGCAGAGTACGGACTTCGGCTTACAACATTCGGTTGGAAGCAGTCATATCAATATCAGATAATCTCTGCTTTGTTCAGTTAAAATGTGTATTGATTTCACAATCTTGCGTAAGTCTGGAAAACGTATAAAATCCTCCAATAGGCTTAAAAAACCGTATTTTTTTAAGCGTCGCCAATAATCATTTCCCGCGCACATACACAACGGCACCCCTACACGCATGTGCAGCTGTGTGAGTGCCGTCAGCACACGCATTCCCACAGACACACTCACCCGGCCGGCGGACATTCGGATCGGCGCTCAGCGTCTGCTGTAAATAACCGGCCAGCAACTGCAAATTCGCCTCTGTCACTTCCATTTTGGGTCTGCTCTACTTTGGGGTCCCTTTCGCTTTAAATTATATCACTTGCGAGTTTTTCCTCCAAACTGTTCCAACATATAATGAAATCGCAAATGGCTTTTCGCACACAATGCTCACAGATCTGCGAATGGAACTTGGGTCTGGCTATCGCTATCGATTCGCCTAGTGATGGGAGTGATTGCCGTTACTGCCCATCGATAGATTCAGAATTTAAATGTGAAAATTTATGTGAGGAATTTAAAATAGTTTTATTTGAAAATAAATTTCCTTCTGATAATTGGATAGAATTAAGCTTAGGATAATATTATTAAAGTGGCGATTCTATTTCTATATTAGTTTTAATACAATACCAAATTTAATCTTAAACCTCAAACTATTTTTTAGGAAATCATTGCCGAGGGTTTGGGCATCTTCATTCAGGTAGTAAACATTGTTGTGCTTGTTTGCCTGCCTGTGGTCACCATTCACCTTAAAGGACATGCTTTCAGTTTGAGTAAGTACAATTTCTCCAATGATAAAAAAGGTTTTTTCTACTTCTCAATTTTTGTAGTGGGTGCCTCAACTGTTTGCTTCTTTTACTCTGTGTTGTTCTTGAAACTCTGGTCCTATGTGCAGACAAATATGTGGTGCCGTCAGACTTACTACCAAAAGAATCCCCGGGAGCGACGACCCAGCATTACTTTGGCCGAACTGAGTAAGAAATGTTAGCACTAACTTTCATTTCAAATTCAAACTATTCTTTAATTGGCATCTAGAAAATGGAGTTTTGGATGGAGGTGAAGAAGATGAGGACGTTTCCAAACTGGTGCAGTATCCAGATAATCTCACCTACAGGGATCTCCTGTATTTCCTTTGTGCTCCCACGCTCTGCTATGAGTTGAATTTCCCACGCACCTCTCGCGTGCGTAAACGCTTTTTGCTCAAGCGTTTGTTGGAGGTTGTGATTGGAGTAAATGTGGTGATGGCTTTGTTTCAACAATGGATAATTCCATCGGTTCGGAATTCTCTGATTCCGTTCTCAAACATGGATGTGGCTCTAGCCACAGAGCGACTCCTTAAACTGGCGGTTAGTAAAAGATTTTTTTTTTAATTCTTGAGCTCTATATAACAAATTTCTAATTTTAAAGTTACCAAATCACCTGTGCTGGCTGTGTTTTTTCTACCTAATGTTCCACTCCTTCCTAAATGCGGTGGGTGAGCTCCTGAACTTTGCGGATCGAAACTTTTACTGTGATTGGTGGAATGCCAATAATATTGATACGTTCTGGCGAACCTGGAACATGCCAGTTCATAGATGGTGTGTGCGTCATCTCTATATTCCAGTGGTCCAAATGGGTTACTCCTCGCGACAGGCCTCTACTATTGTCTTCCTGTTTAGTGCTTTCTTCCATGAATATTTGGTAATAGCTAAAAAATATTTATCTGTACTTATTTCTTATTTAAATATTTTAAATGTTTTAGGTTTCTGTTCCTCTGCAAACTTATAAGATCTGGGCCTTTATGGGAATGATGGGTCAGATTCCCCTCTCGGCCATATCAAAAACCATTGAGAAACGTCTGGGACCCCGAATGGGCAACATAATCGTGTGGGCTTCCATTATTCTCGGCCAGCCTTTGTGCATTATGGCCTACTATCACGATTATGTGGTTCTGCATTTTAAGAACTCACTCAACGGCACCGACTATGGCAGTTAGATTTTAGAAATTATTTTTTTGGTGGAATACCATTGGAATATATGCACCGGTCGGGTCCGTGTACTTTTTGTAATTTATAAGCCAGAATGCAAGTTAAGAAGAAAACTTGTGATTGCCACTATACAAAAAATTTTTGTATAACTTTTGCACATGCATGTAGTACTGATAAACTCAAATAGATTGTTATTGAATGCATTTGTTAATGAATTTAAGTGTCATGTAAATAAAACCAATTTTAAACTCATTGAAATGTGTTTTAAATTACAATTAAGAAGAGTTTTTTTTAATAAAATTGGTGTTAAATTAAAATAAATATTAAAATATACCCATAACGATATTTTATTTAAAAACTTTGGGTACGCAAAAGTTCCACCCCTTCAATAAACGACCTATCGATAGCCGCCCGTCGGATTCGGTCACACTTGTCCTCAGCCAAGCCAAAACAGTGACATTTTTTTCGTAAAATTCGGGAGAAAATTCTCGACCATTTGCAGCCCAACAATTCGCGATTTTAAGTGACATTTGGCTGCGAGAATACAGCGCAATTGTGGCCCCACAATCGATCCAGTTAATACGGTAACAGCCTCCAATAATTCGCCAACTTTTTGGTCGGCATTTTCGCGACGCCCGGCACATACACGCATACACATTCGCCTTTCTTGGAGAGTGTGTGTACATGTGTGCCGCCGTCTGATTAGTTTGCGCCTGTGTGTGTGTAGCTCGTGCTGGGGTCTGAAAATTTTTCCTATATCGCCCGCTGCATGAGGCAATAGTTAAATAAAAGGGTCAAAATAAACTACATCAAAAAATGTTGTTAATTTCCAGAACCCTTTGGCGAAGCCATCAGCGCCTGCAACTGCAACAACAACTCGTGCACAGTGCCTCCAGTGGCGGTTTATTGGCCGAAAAGCACATTCGGCATCGGAGCACCCCGGATTCGTTGGTTTCGGCGCAAGAACCGGCTGATTGTGGTCACGTAAGTGCTCGTGATTCAGATCTTAACCATGAGAACCATCCATGATTAATCCTCCGATTCGGTTTGCAGATCATGAGTGGCAGATATCGCGGTGGCGGTGGTGGCGGCGGCGGAAGATTCGGAGGACGAGGTGGCGGCGGCGGTGGCTATGGAGATGGTGGCGGCTACAACGACTTTGACAACTACCGCGGCGGCGGAGGTGGAGGACCCGGCTTCAATGACAACTTCGGGCCTGGTCCCGGGCCAAATCCCTTCAACAGTAAGTGGATCCCTAGACATTCCAAATGCATGGGAGTCAATTTAAGGTAGACATTTTATCTGATATTTCAGAAATCAAATAGAAAATTCCTAAAAAAAGTTATTTGACTAAAATCATTCTTTAAAACTTCAAAGAATTATAAAACTCGGAATGTTTTTAAACAAACATTTCATTTGAGTTAAAAATACATTTTCAAGGATTTAAAATTACTTTGCTTTTATAAGCCTAATATTTTAATGTAATAATCATTTCAAGATTATTCTATATAATTTCTTGATAATATGTCAAATCATGGAACTTATGGAGTTTATGCTGAATCATACATGAATTAGTATAGTTTATTCTGAGTCAGACATACATATTTGTTGAATCGTAACAGCAAAAATGTTTATTAATTGTAAAAAAGCAAAACATTTCTAAGATAAAATTATACAGAAATTAATTTATGGATTTACGTAAAGTTAGCTCTCCGTCAAACTTAATTTATAAACGATTTTATTGTTTCTAGTGGGTGGTCCCAATATTTCCGGCAACGATCTAATGCAGCTGATGAGTGCAATGGCCAGCAACTTCAACATGAACTCGCAACCTCCGCAGCCGATGCGCCAAAGTTGCGGTGAGTTGCGCAATCACCACTGCGGATTATTTGTCGAGCTGTCCGGCAGGCTGATCAAGAAGCGGGTGAACCGCTTTGCGGAGTTGCGCGACCGCAACGGTGGAGCGTGCCAGCTGGTTGTTCTGGAGGACAAACATCCGAGGGTGGCGCGACGCATGAACAACATGCCCGAGAACACCACCTTGACCATTGTGGGTCTGGTGATGCGCCGGCCGCATAATTCATGCAATCAGACGATGCCAACAGGCGAGATCGAAGTGGAGGTGCAGGACATCCTAAATATTCACTTTCCAGCCAGCGGCACAAAGAGAGCTGGAGACAAACGCACATACAGCACTATGGTGCAGCAGCAGAGTAACCTGGGGATCACTAGCACCGAGTACAAGATAGCCAGTAAGTGAGAAAGTCTCTTAAATGTTGGAGTATTGTATAAACTAACTTATCTGAAATTCTTTTACAGAGAACGAGAACATATTGAAGTATTTTGAAAATCGCGATCTCACCTGCAACGATCTAAGGCGCGACGACGTGGGCAAGACAGTGACGCTGGTGGGTTGGATTCCCTCTACCAAAAACAACAAATTTTTGCAGCTCAAGGATGGCTATGGCCAGACGCAACTGATGATCGAAGATCAGTCGGTAAGTACTTAAGGATTATTTTCTATAGGTGCATCTTATATAAGCCAGTTAAACAATGACCTTAACGAATTAATTCTTTTTTAGCTCAGCGACACATTCCTGTCGACACCAGAGCAGACAGTTATCCAGATAGTGGGCAAAGTTCTGGGAAGACCCAAAGCCAATATTAATTTGGTAAGAACTCAAAAAGCCAACTTATCAATAAATATTTTACTGATTAAAGCTCCTTTAGAAATACGACACTGGTGAAGTGGAAGTCAGCGTGACAAGCGTAAAGATCCTGAACCCAGATGATGCCTACGATGGTCCCATCAAGGCCAAGGAGAAGCAGCAGAAGTTATCCATCGATGATCTAGAGGCTGAAGAGGCTGCCGCCGAAGCATCGGCCAATCTTAGCAGCAACAATGGAGAATCAAAGGAAGACGGCTCAGAAGCAGCTCCCATTGCCAACAGCTCAGCAATTGCAGAGCAAAGAGTGAAGGTCGCGGATACCAACAAATTCGCCGATCGCACACATAATTGCGGTGAGCTAAGCTCCAATGATATTAACGAGAAAGTCGTTATCTGCGGCTGGCTGGAGTTTCAGCGGATGAACAAGTTCTTTATACTTCGAGATGCTTATGGACAGACTCAGGTTCTCCTGTTACCCAAAACACAGGGTCTTGAGGAATATTTAGAAACGGGCGTGCCCATTGAGTCGATTGTGCGAGTGGAGGGTACAGTGATCCCTCGCCCAGCGGCCACCATAAATCCCAAAATGCAAACTGGACATGTTGAGGTCGAGGCAGACAAGGTCGTTGTGCTCAACCCAGCAAAGAAAAATCTTCCATTTGAGATCCGGAAGTTCAATCGAGCTGGAGAGCGCTTGAGGCTGACTCACCGTTATCTGGATCTCCGCTTTAATGATATGCAACATAATCTTCGCCTCCGATCGGCTGTTATTATGAAAATGAGAGAGTATCTGATCAACTATTTGGGTTTCGTTGAGGTGGAGACACCGACTCTCTTCAGAAGAACACCAGGCGGCGCCCAAGAGTTTGTGGTACCTACTCGAAAAGCGGGGCATTTCTATTCGCTCGTGCAGAGTCCCCAGCAATTCAAGCAGATGTTAATGTCTGGAGGAATAGACAGATATTTCCAAGTGGCTCGATGCTACAGGGATGAAGCGACACGTCCGGATCGTCAGCCGGAGTTTACCCAATTGGATGTAGAGCTGTCCTTTACTAGTCGGGATGATATTATGCAACTTATTGAGGAGACACTCCGTTATTCCTGGCCCAAAGATTTTCCCCGGTTGCAAACACCTTTCCGCCGTATTACTTATGAGGAGGCACTGGAAAAGTACGGCAATGACAAACCGGACACACGCTTTGGTTTCTTGCTGAATAATGTCTCGGAAATCGTTGAGAAGAGTGGTGATTTCAAGGAAAAATACGAAGATCTCGGTGCTTATGCCATCGTGGTGCGGGCCAGTGAAGCCTTTTGGAATGGAGCTGCCCGTAAGCATTATGAAAGTCTGGGCAAGGACTTCAAAGGAACGCTGTTCGTGCGCAAGTTCGGTCCGACAAAAGATGTACAGGATAAGCTAGGCAAGCTGCTGGGCGAGGAAGTGGCTAACGAGGTCGCCGAGAAGTTCGACCTTGAAGAAAACGATCTGCTCTTCCTGGGCATTGGAGCTAAAGTGGAAACTGTGAGTCACTACAGTCTTTTGTTAACATTTTTTTGATTTAACTATTTGTTTTGTAATCATCTGCTTGCAGCGCGCTATGTTGGGTCGCATTCGACTGGACTACCACGATTTCCTGGTCGAGAACGCCAAGGTGAAGAAGCCAAATGACTTCCGGTTCCTGTGGGTGATCGATTTCCCGCTGTTCGAGCGAAATCGTGAAACCAACCAACTAGAGAGCGTTCACCATCCTTTCACCCTACCGCACAGCGATGATCTGGATAACTTTGCCACCAGCTGCGAAAACATGGAGAACATACGCTCCCAGGCTTACGATCTGGTACTGAACGGCCAGGAAGTCGGCGGCGGTTCTATTCGTATCCACGACCGCGACATGCAGCACTTTATACTGGAACAGATTCTGAAGATTCCACATGATCATTTGTCGCACTTACTAAGCGCATTGGAGTCCGGCTGCCCGCCTCATGGTGGCATTGCTTTGGGCCTGGATCGTCTGATTGCCATATTGTGCCGCGCGCGATCAATACGCGATGTGATTGCATTCCCCAAGTCACTCAATGGGCGTGATCCGCTCTCTAACGCTCCGGTTCCCATTTCCGACGAGGAGATGAAGCTCTACCACCTTTCTGTGGTGGAGGAGGAGGAGGCCAGCACAAATAATACGTCACACGAACAGGAGGACGACGATCCCGACCAAGAACGAGCTCCACCCTCCCCAATGTCGGCGACAAGCGATTCTGAGCACCCAGAAATGGATGTGGACATCAAGGCGGAGCCTGAGGAGGGCCCAGAAAAGGAAGAAGTGGAAGCCGCCTCTGAACCAGCGAAATCGCCAGTCAAACCGCCAACAAAAGCAGCAGTTAAGGCAGCTCCCGCCGCCGAAGTCCCCCCACCAGCTGAGCCCGTTCCACCAGTGGCTGCCACGCCGACCAGAGCCAAACGGGCTGTCAAAAAGAAGGTCTAGAGCGGGGGTTCATTAACATTACGGATAACGGATTAGCATTTTACGTGTAAGCTCAGTAGTCAGGACGGAAGATGTCAGCAGGCGGACCAATCAGTCAGCCATACACCAACCAGCGGTCGGGTCGGTTCAATTGAATGACAGTTACCCTTTTATACACACAGTTGTATACCCAAAGGTTAATATATGTACCCACCCCGGATCTTCTCAACGGACTTCAATACCAGACCATAGAACGTAGGAAAACCAAATTATACACTTACATCCCGACCCGGCTGCCTACATTCTACAAGTCCATTTCTAATTAAAATGGCAACAAATTTATTACAATTTACAATATATACAAAACAGCTTGTATTCGGAATTGTTTAATTATACGATGCTTGAATTACAGTTTCCAAAATTGAATCTGATTTGAAGTCATCGATTGCGCATGATCGATGTCCACATTCAACGAAATATTATTATTAACATTAATTTATGTAATAGTACAGATTAAACTGAAATTGTATTAAATTGAAAAAAAAACTTATTGGAATTCAGCAACAAAGTTAATATCTTGTACAAGAATCTTCCGATTTTACAAACATAAACAACCAAAAGATATGCTGCAAGCACATTTGAAATGATTGTCCGATTTAAAACCATGAACATCCTACAAATACTTTGGTTTATGTCCTGCACATTTTATTCTGTTTTATTCGTTCTTGACTAAAATCTAATAAACCGCACAAAATTAATCCGCCAATTATAGAGGTCTTTAGTTTGCCAAAAAAAAAGGGTTTTTTATGAATTGCCTAAAAAAATAGGTATTAAGAACAATGTATAAGCATTGCATTTGAAAATATCAGCTTAAGTGACACTTAAATATTAGTAAGGAATGGGGGCAAGGAAGGGGTTCTAATAGCTTGAAGCATCAATTAGGGCTAATGCACTGTTGGCACAGCAAATATGTTGTTCTCCATGAATCCATATGTGAGATTTCTTCTATAATCCCACCAGCTGAGTGTAGGGGCCTTCGTACTCAACTGACGATCATCAAGATCGGCAAACTCCACAGGGTCCTGCTCCTCCACAGAATCGTCAGCGTCATCGTTTTCTTTCTGTTCCGGACTGAAGCTAGTCCAATGCTCGTAGGGATCCTGACCACTGGGAGACATCTGCAGGTTGTTGAAATTGGCTGCCAGTTTTCCGAACTGATCGATGTGATGCAGGAGAGGATCGACACCCTGATTGGGAGGCGCCTTAAGTTTCTGCGGCGGCGCTCGCCAATGTGGATGCTTTGCTCCCAAGGTGGGCAAGTCCGTCCACTTGCCCAGAGCAAATGGTGAACTATCGTTGGTGTCTATCATGAACATTCCCCTTGTAGTGGGCCGTATATTGTCCCCAGCCTCCAGAAGGAAATTCGTTGGGGGGCACATACCCAGTAGATATGATATATATCCACTGCAGGCCCATCCCCAAAAACCTTTTGGTGAACGGATAGATTCTAGGAAGTAGGCGGGAGCCCGTTGATGACTGCAAGCAAAGGAATCTGAATAAGAAAAAAACATGAATGAAGACATCTTTCCAGGAAAAAGAAAGACTCACTAATTTTCTGTCCACTACATCCCGGTTGCATGATCCCTCCATTCATATAAAAATCCGCATGACCACATCTTTCCATTTTTCCCTGAACCAAAGCATTCGTGTGTATCACATCCACATAGCTGGCATCACTGGGATCCAGTTTATCTGCATTGCCAGAGGTGATAAAAAGAGGCATTGCCGGATCCAATCCCGTTATCCTTGGCAGCATGAACGAGCTTAGATTCCGGGCTATATAGTTGGGCACCTGAGCCCCCAGTGAGAAGCCAATCACGTGGATATCCGTATTACCCGTTTCCACCAATCGCTCCACCAGCTGGGCAGTGCAGGTGCCAGCATGTTTGGTGTTATGAACCGCACTTATATAGCAGGGTCCTGGCGACAGGACACTCCAGTCAACATAGATAATATTATAATCCGCCTTGGCCAGGTATTCTAGAAAAAGAGGTTCGGCTTATATATTTGTTTAGAAATAGGAATAGAATAGTACTTTCCATAAATACAATATATCTGTTCAAAATTATTTTCGTTTGAAACAATAAAACTTATTTTTAGAACTTCGAAAACATTAAGATATATTCCGGTTGGGACTCACCCTCTCTCATTTGCTGTAGTGGATGCAGAAACATATCCGAGTTGTAGCCATGGATGATGATCTTCGTGGGATATCTGGGATTAAAGTAGGAGTCAGTCAGATTAGATTTCTCCTGGGACTCGTCTATATGCAGGCACTGCCTATCCATCGGATTGTGACGTGTGTAGATGTAATACTTGACATCCGGATCGGGACAACTACGACCTATGGCCCATTTACAGGGACCGATGGTGATGTCCCTATTCGAGGGGGTTGTTGTAGTGGAGGGTGTGGGATTAGTGGGACTTAAACCCTCTGTGGTGCTCTCAACCTCGTGAATTGAAATAGGTTTTTGGCTAAGAAATCCCTTACCAAAAGCTTCATGGCTGCAACTGGCTGGAAATAATCTCTGCATAAATTAATCATCACAAAAATGATCGGTTTTACCTAGCAGCAGGCAACCAATGACATAATGCAAGTGCATCTTTTCAGCTCTCTTGTAATTCAATCCTCTGTAAATACTCAGCAGTTGCAGTTCCGATTGATTTAAAATAATAATTGAAAACCAATATCTTTGCCAGTTTCTTGAAGCGCTGGGGCTGAAAACGTTGGAGAAACTAAAGGCCGGCTGGCCGAGTCAAGTCGATTTTGGCCAAATTGTAATGAGATATGCAAATGAGTGAGTACTTTAGATGGTGTGAGTTTGAGCGCAGTTATAAAGTGAGAGTTGCGGGTGGAAAAGTGAAACCGAAATGAGATTAAAGCTAAGGAAAAAAGTGTCATGAGTAAACAATTCCAGAGGGGTTTATAAAATGTGAAGAAAAAACAAAAGTGTTTAAAGTCCCTGACTTTGTGTGCTTTATGAGCTGTGGAAAATAAGGATGTTAGTGCATTTTCAAAACGCAACAAAATCTTTTTCATAACCAAAAGAGCTTTATGATTTGTTTATAATTTCGGGGATAAACACATAAATGCATTTACACAGCACTCATTCACTCAACAATAAGCACTCAAAGAAATATATACACTCACCTACGTGATTGTGGTATCAATTATCAACGTTTATTGAATGAAAACTTTTTGTCGTCATCGCAAGCGATCTTGGCGCACGTACAAAGGGGAATGTTCGCAGGTCTTTCGCATTTATAGGAATCTGGTCTTGCGAATAATCTTGTACCATTATTGACTCATTCTCGTTTTGAAGACCCACATAGATAACATGGAATATATCCCGACCCGGGTCAATGAAAGCAAACTTAAATGGGATTTGTAATTTCCTTACGTGGGGAAAAGGAAAATATACACATCATATATCTTCATAAGTGGAGCATGTTTTATGGTCATAATGTGGTTAAATTTGAGAAGAACAAACTTTTAAACACTTGCAATATTATTCTCAATCACACATATGTGTATTTCTGCTAGAATAGTTTTCTGGAATCGCTTTTCATGCTTTTTCAATTTATTACCGGTACGTGTGTCTAGAACGCCCACGATTCTTTTCTCGAAATCCACTCGCAACCAAACCAAATATACAGTATTATATATATGCATGGCAATAAACTGCTCTATGGAATGTCAAACAAAACAAGAATAAATGGTTAGATGGACGGACATTTTCCGCCTGTGTCTTTCAAATAGCGACATGTGCGCCTTGAATTGGAAATACTATTAAATTAAAATATTAATAGCAAACCCTCATATGTAAAACCCATAAACTTTTAAATAGATTGAGAAAGATTGACATTTGTATTACAAAATTTTAAATATAAATTTTACAATTAACGTCAGAATATTTTTGTGGTATTTTGGTGGTCCCACCTCGGCCAAAATTCTATCCATTCTGACCATAATTTTTAACTTTATGTTCCTATTTAAACACCAAAAATATCGATTGTATTTTGGACAAATTTTATTTTATCGTTAAAAGAATACAGTGTTATTCGCAATTGTTGATCATGCATCTGGACGAGGGATTCATAGGTTTTCCGGTTGTGCACTTGAAAGCGTCCTGGAATTCAGGCATATTCATATATCCCCTATTGAGTTGTGCGGCAAAGATCTCCGTCTGGCGATTACAATGTTGCTGGGCCACCGCATAAAAGAGCACCTTCTGCGGATCCAATTCAAAGAACTTCAGTACAAAGGTCTCGGCAAAGGCGAATCTTTCACCCTGGAGCCAGAAGTGATAGTCCCTGAGAGATGCCTGAAACGATCGATGAAAGTGAAAGATCTCCCCGATCTCCTCCGAACTGAGTTTTCGATAGATAGGAGCTGATTCCGCATCGTAGTTTTGGAAGGATTGCGTTTCGAGGCAATCCATGGCGGTATAGCGACCATCGGTGTCCAGCAGAAGTCCGGATTGCCTCCAAAGTTCCAAGCCCTGGGTGGCATAATAGTGATAAGTCGGACGATGCAAAGAAAGCAGCACAAAATGGAGGAAATGCCTGAGGAAATAGGCGGGCTGGTTAACATCCTCCTCGTCGACGTAGGGCGATTCAAAGCTATGACGTAGTTGAGCCCTTCTAAGGAGCAGGAGATTTCCATGAAATGAGTTATTGACGAAACCCAAACCGCTGTAGTTTTCATTAAGTTCGGTTATATTTAGGTAGTTTTGGGCATGAGCGTGAAGGATGCGGGCCACCTGAAGCTCCTTTTTTTCCACCGAAGCTGGCCACAGATGACCAAACCAATCTCTTCTGGACAGACTGGATCTTCTTAGCTTCTGAAACCGAGTTGTATGGAGTTGATAGGAAGCTAGAGCCACTTCCCTACTCAGATGGGGATTTAAGACATGCCACTGCCAGTATTCCGAATGCAACAATCTCTCGAATTCCTCTGATACTTTATAACAATCCGGATACCGAAGGTGCTCCTTGGCCTGCCACATCACATAGTTGTAAACTATTCGGGGTTCGGTTTGCCTCAAAACATCCCAAGCCTGGGTGATCTTCTCCACATCTAGGGGAAATTTTCGAGCTAACTCCAGCTGTTCTTTAGAGAAGTTTAGTGCTGCAAAAAAGTGTTGAAAATATTCTATCGTGTTTTCATCTAGCTGGAGCTGCTCTTGTCTAGGACTGGGAGTGGTGGTCCTGCCGTTTCTTGTCAAACTCCTAGTCAGTGGGAGTTCTCCCCTCATTCCGCGACAAAGAACCCTCATCTCATGGGCTATTATATGGGATATCTGATGATGGCGACCCTCTAAAACATCCGAGAGGCTAGATTTGAAATCCTCCGTACTCGGACAGGGCAGATCCTCCATTGGACTCACATAAATCGTGTCCAAGGCAAAATAGATGTTGAGTAGAGTCGGTAGACCATGAGCTGCCAGTTGAGCCGATAGGACAATCCAATTAAGCTGCCCATTAAGATGTCTTCGCTCCCATTGATGTCGGAGAAATGGCCAAGACGAGAGCACTTCTGCATTTCTGGCCAGGAAGGGAACCTCATCCAGGAGACGTTCCCAGTGGGACTTTAAAGGAGTTACACTGAAAACATGTCTTTCGTCCCGCTGTCGACATTCCGCATAAAGTTGAGAAATTAACCTTCCAGGTAGGGTTTCAAAATTGCCAACCTGAGCCGAAAAAAATGTCATCCTATCCTGTTTGTTATAGAGATAAGGTGGCAAAGTTTCATCTGGATCCTCTTCCAGTGCTTGGTCAAAATTTGCGCAAGCGTGAGCATAGAAATCATCACACGGATCTAATGAGTTATTCTTAATCTTCACCAACTGTTGCAGATTGCTTTTGTATAGATGGCTAAAGAACTGGCCCGAATCGACCTCTGAATCTGTATTCGATTCCACTTCCTCAACCGATTCCTGTCCATTCTGAGATCCCACTATATGGATTACAATAGCGAGCAAAACAAACTGAAGATTCCGGCACATTTTATTTATATTTTATTGTGGTCCGCTCGTTTGTTTTGTTTCGCAAAAACTGCGCAAAAATTTTGTTTTACTCGGACTTACTCTCTAATGAGTTGATAAGCCACGGAAATTGCGGATTGAGCTATATATTGTCGATTCTATCAAAGTTCTCCCAGTTCTCTTTGCTCTCGTTGTAGAGCTCGCCTTGACCTTAAAGATCTTTGCCAATCCATTTTGCCTTACATCGTCATTGACAAAGTGAACTCTGTTTATGGATTAATAGATGCTTTTGTTTATTTACAGCGTTTCAAAGAGACTCGTGTAATGTTTATAAACATTGTAAGCAGGGAAATTTAAACTGAAGGAGACGGTTTTTTTAATGTCGGTAAACTATATGATAGTGTTAGGAATAAATAACAGAACTTATTAGTGCGAAATTAACATCACAAATATCTCAAAAATCATAAATCTAAACAAGCTTAGCTAAGTCTAACAAATATTTTGCATACGCAATGTGGTCACAGCTGCATTAGCTCGAATAGCAAAACAAAATGTTATTCCATTAGGTTTATTCTTATTTTTCAAGCAAAGATACATATATTTCTAAAAAAAAAATGTTTCGAGCACAAACAATTTTTTTTTGACTCTTGTTAAAATTGTTTACAGTTTTTTCTACCAGCTCAAAGTTCTCATTTCAATTTCATCAATGTTTTGGTTCAACTGAATGAAATTTCATCAACTTTTCATAATTGTCTTGGTCATTATTTATATATATATTTTATGTCAGGATGTTCCGTTTTTGCCCCCATTTGCGCATTGCATTTTCAAATTGACTTAATGACAAGTGTCAGCCTAGGGAAAGTGTATGTTTTTTTAGAAAAGTCAAGGACCCGAAACGTGTCACACTTGTTTATGAAAATTTTGGGGTGGTATTTTTATGTCAACTGACGATATTCTATGTGTGATTAAGGTATTACCATACCGTGCATTTATCTATTTTAGTTAGATAGGTTTTGTAAATTTACGCTATTTAAGCTGAATTTTATTTAAAAAGATCAAAGATTTTTTCATGCATCGCTAGTTTCCATTCAAAAAAACTTTTCGATCTCATGCCAAATTTTAAACTCATGTTTCTAGTTCCTTTGCACTGGCGGAAATTCCAAAAAGCTGTCAATAGTGTGAAGGCAAATCTTTAGAAAAATGGAACGAACTATATACTAGATGCCTGAATTATTTTTAATGAGCTTATTGTTATTGTTGGTGGTTTGGCTTCAGATCCGGCCAGCGGCTGCTCAAAAACTGTCAAAATGTGCGCCGAATATTTATTTTATTTATTATCGATGTTATTTCTACGCGACTTTCCAAAAAGTCTGCACTTTCTGCCCTGGTAGTGGCATCTCATTTTGGCCAATGGGACATAATATTTGTCTATATATCCATAAGCACGCATACACGCACACGAATCTATATTCACTTGTCCGATTTGCTCTAGCTGCGTGTGTGTGGGTGCTTGCAGACCGCGAAGTATTCATCTATATCCCATTTTGTGGACGGGCCAACGATTTTAGTTGAGCCAAAGGCTTTCAGAAGTTAATAACACAAAATTGTGTCTTCCCCCAGCGGACAAAAAACAAAGGTAAACCAGGCGAAAAGGTAAACCCGAAGATCCCAGTCATATGCTAACAATTTTAATATTAAATAAATCGAATTCAAGTGTGCCGTGTTCGTAAATATTTCCTCACTCGTGTTTTTTCAATTTTTATTGGAACCGGTCCAATCTATAAATCTGGAATTATTTCAATCTATATAGACATACGGTTCTTTGATTGCTCTATCAGCAATACAAAGAGCCCAGAACCATAAAATATATATAACCAGATGTATACAAAACCAAAAAGATTTAATATTTTCCATATGGCTTTGATATCTGTCGACTTTATATAAATATCTATACTTATACGTTTGGATATTATTTGATTAGCTTATTTTAAAACAAAGTCAAATGTGTTTCGCGAGAATTTATTGCCACCTTTTTTATGTTTCTATCATATTAAACTTCTCACGCGCCAAATAAAAAAATATTTTGGGTATATGTTATGCGATAATTTTTCAAAAATTTTTTATAATCTAACTCTATATATATTCAAAAATTTTTCTGCAGCAAAACCAATCAATATGAGCGAAGCCCGTAACCTGTTCACCACCTTCGGCATCCTGGCCATCCTGCTTTTCTTCCTTTACCTCATCTACGCCGTCTTGTAAAATGTGAGTGGCAAGATGAAGGTCCTTAGAGCAGGATATAAGGTAAGAAAATATGAATAAAAAGGTTAGACATAATTATCAAACCGTTTAAGCTAATAAATGCGTTAATACCTAGTTATACCTAAATAGAAGGCGGCTAAATATAACATAAAGAGCACAAAACCTCTATTAAGTTAGGAATATCCAAAAAATATTTTTTTTAAGTAGATCATGGGTAAAATTCGAATTACCCATTTTCCCATCGAATTTATTCGAGATAAATCCACATCAATCACAAACCTTGAAATGCTCATTAAGTTCAAAATGTGCCATAAACTCAATGGGGCTACGTGATGTACCCGATTATTCAATATTCTCTCATTATTGGGAAACGTTTCAAGCAACAAATTAGGCAAATCTACATATTTTCTTGGTTAAAAGTAAATAAATATGTTAATCAAACAAACAGCTGGAGAAGAAAACAGCTCAAAAACCAAGAAATAAATAAATAAAACATTTTTCAAATGACAAGGTCCAGTCGGAAAAAAGCAATTTGACTAGGTGCAGTCCAGCAAATGAATAATGTACAAGAGACAGAGAATAGATTGGCTAGAATCGCATGGAATCCGAATATATATTGCAAATATACAGACAGAACTATATACATATATATAAAGCTAGAAAATATTTGTGCCGCGTCAAAAAATATGAGCAACAACTGGACTCCCATATGTATATGAATTTTTTTATATATCGCCCATATAATCGGATATATGTGGGTGCGTGCGTGCGCCTGGGCAATAATTCCAAGCGCTGGCCAACATTTTGTGGAGAAGTGGAATTCAGATCGGAAAATTTAGTTATTGCACGCCTTTAGCTACGAACGGTTGGAAATCTCTCCAAACAAACAAGAAACCCATTTTTAAGTGTGTGATTTGTGCCTGTCGATCGATCAATCGCTTACCTAATCCCGTATTATACCTTGTAATCAATATAGGAGCCAGCAACCAGAACAACAAAATCAAAATGAATGAGGCCAAGAGTTTGTTCACCACCTTCCTCATCCTGGCCTTCCTGCTGTTCCTGCTCTACGCCTTCTACGAAGCCGCCTTCTAGGCCCATCCCAAGTCACCAACCCACCCATCACCCATCAAGGATAGCATACATGTTGAATTTCAATTCCAAGCCGCCGGCCATCCCATCATCTTGTGGCCCGGTGGAGCTTTTAGGACCCTACGCGTTTAAGATGTTTAGCATTTAATGGATTTCTACTAGTAACCTAAGTCAGGTAAGCAGACCCCCACCCCCCAACCCCATCAATTAATTCAATTATCAGTCACACACATCAAACAAATTATCGAAATATTCCCTCATTGGCTAAAAAAAAAACGTTGACTAAATTTTTTGGCACCCATTTGGCAGCTCGATAATAAATAGATTTTCCGTTTCTATTTTTTAACGAAAACATTTGACATGGCCCACTAAACACCTTGCATTCGTCGCTGGCCCCTTTCTTTTTGGGAACATTTAAAATCATTTTCACAGAACATTTTCCGAATGTCGAAACTTTTTGATTCCAAATTTTCAACCGAAAATATCCGCCCTAGTGCGCAAGCTAAAAAATGTTCAAAGAGACAGTTTTTTTATGGCCAGAATTTATGATTGGCCAAGGTGGAAATTATAATTAATTTTTATTAAATGTTTTCGAATAATTCAGTCAGGATGATAGATAAACTTGAAAAAGCATTCGAGTATAGCAGTGGTGATTTAAAGAAAGGCATATCTGCTTTTGAAATCCCGCCGTGAGTTATTTTTTCGAACCAAAAATAAATCTTAAAGAAGATTATTTTCATTTAAACAAACAACGCAATGCCCGCTATTGTTTATGCCAATGTGGCCACTTTAACAAACAAAACAAAAAAATATATATATGTACATATTTATCAATTGAAAAGGCATCATGTCAGAGCAAAACATTTATTTGTATTTTACAATCAATAAATCGAGTGCTTTTATAAATTGAATTTTGCAAATAAATACTTGTCTAATGCACATTTGCAGATGACGTCAATGCCACCAGCTGCCGAAATCGGAGGCTCGCCGATCATGATGAGCACTTTGCTGATCGATGGTGAACCCCTGCTAAGTGGTAAGTACCATTAATTACGATTCCCTGGGATGCGCTCCAATTAATGATTTCCCTCAACATTTCTCCGTTTGTTTTTTCGCAGTGCTTCGCCACATTTCTTCTATCTTTGAGGCGCTGCAAGATCGATCCATTCGGAAAACTCTGCTGCCGGCCTTGGCGTCATCTGCTCTAATCATAAATTTTATTTTGTGATCTAATTATTTTTGTTTGGCAATGGAATCTACTTAGTTTGCAATTCATAGACCATGATGTACAGTATAAGCAAATTGAGAACAACAGCAGCAATCAATGTGAACAATCAATAATTGGTTATTTCATTGTTAAACAACAAATTTATTTCGCATTCGTACTTTGTAAGACATACATAATGTATAACTGCATTTTACTCGACTTTTCTTAAATTACTTGTGAATAACAACCGCAAAAAAATAAGCAACAACAACTGCAGGAATAAAAACAAAAACAAAACTAAAGATAGTTTTTTATTTTAACATTTAAAAAATAATTTGATTTTGATGTGGGGACTCAAAAAAAATAAAGGTACCGAAGATGACTTCTATTAAGCCTTTTTAAAATATTTTATTCCCTTGTTCATATAGTTGTAGGTCAATATATTTAACGTCAAACATAGTTGTTTGAATTCCATTAAACATAATGGAAGCATACCTTTAGGCTTGAATAGATTTTAAATCGGTTAAAATATCTTATTACCGGTTGCATATTTAAAATAAAAGATTTTACCATAACAAATTTAACTAAGTAAACTCTTGGAGACAAATGCAATAAAACATTTTTTTAATGAAAAAATAATTTTAATATCTTAAATTAATATTTTTAAAAAAATTATTTTCTCTTGTGACTTTTATCTTTATAATTCTTATTGTAAGGCTTCCAATCAACGGATAATAAATAAAACGTAATTTATTTTAGTGGACTCCATAAATAATTCCGTCATCAGAAAGGTGCAAGTCACTTACATAGTCGCCGTTTCGCATTGTAATGTCAGTCTGTGTAATGGGTGGGCAGTTCCTCGAGAGATCATTTAAGTACTCGGACTTCATTTGCATACCGCATGCAAAACGAGGCTTTTACCTACTGGCCAAAGAGATAATAAAATAGCCAAACGCAAATCATATAAGTTTACAATGTCCAAAACAAGCGAAAAGTGCAGGCAATGAAGCGGAGACATTGTCGGTCTTCTCTCCTGACGGCTTCCGTCTGCAGTTGGCCACTTTGCCATTTTGTCGGTCAGTAGTTTCGCGCGCTGGCCAACCGGTTTCACGGCTAAAACCGTCCAAACCCCCCTCCTGCCCCTCCATTCCACCATCGTCGAATTGCAGTGGTTATGCAACCCGGCAGAGTTTAATGCATTTGGGCAATTGATTTTGTCAGCCGGTTTTGGGTCGTGGTTTTATCTTTTATTTTATCTTTTTATTTTTTCATGGCTTTTGTACAAAGTTATTTTCTAGTATATAGTTTAAGCCTTACGACTACAAACCAAATATTTACATGACTCCTAATCTAGCTTAACAAGTTAAAAAAGCTTCAGTTTCTTTTGCTTTTGCTCGAGGGCCTCGATTCTCAGGCGCTTGAAGAGTTGATGTCCCAGGTATGTGCGAATCGGCAGGGGGGCCAACTTCATGAAGGCATACTGTAATAGGAGAAGATTTTATTTGATATATTTTTCAATTTAACAAAAGCCAAAGTCAATTTAACATTTTCTAAATCCCGATATGATGTGCAAAATTTATGAAGAAATTAATTATTGTACAGTCCTGAGGCTCGAAATAATTTGGAAAGAAATATTTGAAATAAATGTATTATTGTAAAAAATTTGTATAAATAAAATTCAATATAGAAGACAAATATCTTGGGACAACACTACGTATGGGTAATTTTTTTTCAAAGCTTGCTGTTTTGCATGTTACTTAAGAATATTTTTAATTGCTCGATTTATAGGTGCCTTAAAGATATACAAATACACACCTGTATCCCGTGAGACCAGAAACCGTTCGTCTCACTCGTTTTTCCCAGTGTAAAGACGGCGGAGCGGGCATAGGTATAGGCGTTGGGGAAAAACAGACCGCCCTGCATCACCCGATCGGCGTAGGCGTTCATTTTGGTTACCACAAAGTTGGGCATCAACAACTGCACATGGATGTTGTGCTCGGCGAGCTCCAGTTCCAGGGCTTTGGAAAAGTACGTAACGAACTTTTTGCTTGCCGCATAGACAGTCATATTTGGCAGGGGTTGCAGTTCCGAGGAGGATCCCAGGTTGACAATGGCTCCCTTTCCGCGGCCAATCATCTGCGGCAGGACCTTTCGGGTCATCATCGTAACCGATCCCATATTGACGGTTAGGAGATCCCACAGCAGGTCCTCCGACACAAGGTCAAGGCTTTCGGGATGTTCGTACATCATGCCCACATTGTTAACTGTAAGAAAAGCAGAATTTTATATTAAGAATATTCAGAAGCAAAATAAATCATTTAATTTAATCTGCTAAGATAGAACGATAGCGTTAGTTTTGTTTTGTGAACTTAAATATCTTCTTATAATATTCTGTATTATAAACTTTAAATTGAAATTTAAGAATTCTTAAGTTATACTTATTGAAATAAAAAATGATTAAAACTTGTTATAGGAGTTCAATTGGTTTTATTTGGTACCTACACACATTTTGGTTAAGTTCCAAACTATATCACAAAAATTGTCGTTCAAACATGGTCATGTTGATAAAATATTTTTTATAGAAACTCATATCAGGGTTGCAGTGCCAAATAAATTAACCTGACCAAGATCAATGTCAACTGTTATCAGCCAAAATTTTATGAAAACTGCCTTGGGTCGTTCGCAAGGTTGTCGGAATGTAAATTGCTGAAGCGCGTCAGAGTCTGAAGCGTTTATGACTCTGGTCGGCCGAATAAAACCCCAACAACAGCGCATCGCCCATGTACTTGAGCATCGCCTAAGCCACTCTTCGCCTCGCCAATAGACCAAAAACCAGAGCCATTATAATTGCACGCAATTATTATTGTTTGACATTGGCAGCCGCACAAGAAAGAGTCACAAAAAAATAAAAAAACCTAAACATAAAGCTGCTACTGTTGATAGTCGTTTGCTGTTGACAATGATGAATGTATGAATTTGTACAGTAAACATCGGTTAATGATAACAACAATGAAGTGGAGTGATGACTGTAATTAGTGAATAATTAAGCAATTTATTTAAAAATTTAAAAAAAGGCTAATAGGTGATAAGTTTATAAACTCTGACAAAATATCATAAGAATATGTATTTATTTAAACATTACTTACCCAAAATGCCGACATCAATTCCCGCCAGTTCCTTTTCGATCTGATCGTAAACCTGTCGTCCCTTGGCAAAATCCACAGCAATCCACTTGGTTTTCACTTTGTACTGGCTCTCTGAAAAAACATTTCGAAATTAAATAAAATTGATGTACTTGTTGGTAGATAAACAACTCTTACCAATCTCATTGGTGACGGCAATCAGCTTTTCCTTCGTCCGCGAGATGAGCACCAGGTTGAGACCCTGACGAGCCAGCTCCCTGGCATATTCCTTTCCAATGCCATCGGTGGCACCCGTCACAACTAAAGTGAAGGGAATCGAATGAGAACTTGATGAGTACAGGCCAAGGTTGCCAAAAGTGGCGGAAATCACATTTTTACAATTGTGCAAAAAAAGAATAATTGAATTTTGAATTTATAAATTTATATTATAACTTATTTGATTTCTAACAAAACTTATATTTGATTGAAATAAACTACAGACAAAATAAATCTAAAACTATTTATGCAATAATAAATTTTAAAAACGATATTTAAATATTTAAACTAATAACACTTCAAATAGTTGTACATGACTCTCGTAAATTGTTTACGTCAATACACCAGCTAAAAAGAAAAATATTTTTCAATGGGGAAAGGAGTTTCTAATAGATATTGAATGATTTATAACCATTTCAAGCTATATTTTAAATATTTTATGACAAATTTCGTCACTTTCTTTCGTTTGCTTATATTTTTAGCAACTGAATAAAGTCAAGACCATCTTCAAAGACCTTTTCGAACCTAACATTTGCCTGCTAATTAACCCGTTGCATTCGACTGGGCCTCTTTTAATCACATCGCTAGTTGTCGGTTGTTGGTTGTTGGTTGCCGAAACCTCAGCAAATATCTGAATGGAATTGGCCGCAAAGAAGCACTCAGAAGCAAACCGGCTTGCGTGGCAAGAGCTGCAATTTAGCCACTGGCAGCTGGTTATTGGTTGCCAAATATTTGTGCAATATCAACACCGGCAACAGCAACATTTAGGAGTTACAATGGCAAAACCAATCGATTGTTGCGCTTGCGTGCTGCCCAATAATTACGAATTCCGTGTATTTTGCGAAGACTTTTCAGCTCGATTGGTGAATAATCAAAACTGTTTGAAAATATCCATAATTCAATTACGAAAACTATGCAGAAGTCGAGCACTTGTTGCCTTTGAAGGTCACCCATTAATTTAATGATAAAAGTGACAGTAAAATTCACAACTGTTAGACCACGAAGAGCAGCACGAGACTCGAGTCAATGGAAGCGAAATAATTAAATTAAAAAGCAAAAACAAACCGAACACCAAATGATGAATAAACGAGAAAATCGCAAGCCGGTTTGTTTACGAGTTGAATGACTTTGTGTGGTCCATAAAGCGAAATATAAACAAAGCAGGTTGTTTGAATAATTTGGTAATTATTTTGGCAAATCCTTCGATCACATGTATATGTAAGTATAAATAAAAAAAGAAAATTTTAATAACTTTGATATTCCTTTATTTTTTTGAACTCGCTTTAATGTTTAAAATACTACTTACTTATTTAGTTCTTGATATTTAATGACTAAGGGACTATGAGGAACTTTTAAAATGTTTTAAATTATAAATATTTGTAATATCGTTCAACAAGTAAGAAGTCTTTCAAAACATATAGTCTTTAAAGTTCTTCCAAATTCTGCTTATCATGATGATTTTCTAACTGTGATATTAATGAAAATCATTATGACTACAAATTTGTTATCTTATCTAAATTGGATTTTCTGACCTCCTTGGTTAAAGGGTCCAATAAAATGTCAGGTAAGTCAAAGTTCTGTCTTCAAAGATTTATTTAACTATAAATGCAATCAAGTACAACTGCTACCCACACTAAATAGCCCTTTAGATTAACTTATCAGAAACAAAAAAAAACAAATCTTGTTAAATACAACAAAGATTAATGATAAAAATGAACACACGGTATTCCAATTTAAACTGAGCATTATGAGCTATTACTGACATTTATTTTATTATATTCAATTATTATAGGGATAGTGAATTAGCTAATGACTGACAATTCTATGGGGTTCTGTGTGTTTCTCCATATAGCAAAACACTCCCTCAAGAACTACGGTAAACAATTTGTATATGTGACAGTGAAGCAACGAAAAACGCAAACCTCAAATATTGACAGACCCCTGGGGCTAAAGTATGCAAATATTGGACTGCATAACATGAAAACATATAGTGTATAGTGCGGAATGTGGGGTACAATAGGCTTTAAGATCAAAGATCAAGACTTACCTGCCCATTGGCCGAATTTTTCGACCAGAGTCTTCGGCAACTGCGGCTGGAAGTAGGGTTCCAGGACAGCCTTGATGATACTGATCAAGGACTTTAGGTTGTCGTACAGAAATGCGGCGATAGTCAGGGAACCCACTATATAGATTGCCGCCGAGATCAGCTGCCAAATGAACGCCATTCTTAGCAGAGTGTATATGCTCACTTCCAGAACTGGCTGCATGATTAAGAGAGTTCTCTTTTTATAGTCGAAGAAGCCAACTTTCAGTTGGTGATAAGAGCAAATTGAAGGGATTGTGGAAACTATGCTTATCACTGCCCGCTGCTGCTGATAATTTATTGTTTCGTTTGGTTTTACTACAATAATGTTTTCTAATCACCCGACTTTCGCACTATCGCGCTGTCTGTCTGCCTCTTTTTTTCCGGAGGCACAAGTTGCAGGTCTGAGCGTCGATCACGCACTGAACACTTGGAAATGCGGCTTCGTATTTTCGGACTTTCGGGTTTCGGTTTTTCTGTTTCGGATCTGGTCTTTAACAAGCAACAGTTGTAAATAAACTAACAAAAAAACGGCTTACAGCGGAAAGGCCACTGCAGTTGGGGCTCTTTTCCGCGGCTTTACTCACTTTTTGTCGGTTCATTATTTCATAAAATTTTATTTTTAATTTTGTTGCCTTTTACTGCGACCTAAACATGTTGAAAAACTTCGTGTCTTGGCCGGGTTAATTATTTGACATTTAATTGCCGCGAAAGAGGTGACCCTTTCATACTCTCGGAATTTTCACCCGCGCTAAGTGCATAATTAGCTTACTTGCGGTGTAGGACTAATTGCAAACAATTAAGCAAAAAATGCGTCAAATTGTCTTTTGTCATGCAATGATCCCTGGTAATCTGATATAGTTTATTTGTACATATTTTCCATTACCTCTCTTTTTGCATGTCGCTAAATGCTTTTGGATTAATACAGTTTTTAAAACAATAATTACTGTATTACTTTACAGCAATGGTTTCGTGATTTAATCATAGTATAACAACCAATTTTTTATATTAAAAGTTTAAAGCAAAAATTTAGGAAAAACTAAAATTTTATTGTTTTTTTAATTATTTGAATTTTAAAAGTATACATTTGTATAAAAATTAAGTGCCCTAAAAATGTTATATTGTTGAATTAAAAAGTAATACTGATTTGTCAGTATTTTATTTGCTGGTACTTTATAAATCTGGGAATTCTATACTAACCGCCTTCTTTTATCTGTCATTTTTGTATACAGTTGCACTTTCTTATCTTTTACAATTTCATTACCATAAGTTGTTCTAATCAAGTACGAAACAAAATAAAAATGTAAGTACCAACAAATAAACAATAAGATCCGAATAAGTTAAAAAGTTTTCGGTTACGAAAACGTCATAGGTGATTTGGGCAAAGGCTTTGCTAATGTATTAATCCATTTGTTTCTATAACTAACTATTAAAATAGTAATTGAATTTAATGACAATAGGAAATGTCCCACAAACTACTGAATACTGGGGTGTAAATATCTCCCACAATTATAATAAATTTAGTGACGATACTTTTTTTTTAACCTTAATTTATTTGCGACACTATATAAATCAAAAACTTAAGTAAATACGAAGGGCACAACGGTCATCGCATACATAATACACTTTTCAACTTGTTGCTCACTTAGTTCTTCTTTAAATGCTGAAAGGCTTTTGCCAAATTTTATCGACGGTTAAAACTAAAAGCAACGTTCCACAATCCGAAAAATTAGATCTTGTGTTACAAAAATTAATTAACTTACGTGTAGACGAACCAAGCAATTATTGTTTCCAAACTCAATAAATAAAATCAATACTTGAGTAAAGGGCTGCCGGCTGTCGCCTGTCGAGCTGAATATTGATTTCAGACTGAGGAACATGGCGGGAGAAGTTCTTCAACGAGGAAGTCGAAAAGCTTTCTAAATGTAAATAGTGTTGTTGAGTTGCCTGATTTAAAGCTAGAAGTAACTAATTTGTAGTATAATTCCTGTAAATAAAATAAAAATGACAATAAAACTTGTAATAAAACAGCTTTTAAGACCATTTGTTTTTTTAATTTAGTTTGTCTTATTATTAATCAATTAATAAACAAAATAAGGAAAAAGCTAAAAACATTATATGAAGTTCGAAATTTCGCCAAGTATTTAGCAAGGTCACGAACCACAAACCCAATGTCGAGTTACAAGTTCGCCTGAAAGTGTGCTTTGTTTTATTTACAAAGCTAGATATCTTTTAACCACTTCCCTGCTAAATAAGGGTCATGATTTAAATAACAATACACAAACAATAAGAAAATATATAAACTGGAACTGATAAATAAAGCACAAAATAAATAAATGTAAATTTATATATCCTTGCCGAAAACATGTAGTACTGAATTTGGCCATACCGGGTGTTAAAAAAAAGTCACCCAAGTGATTTTCAAACTTACGCTAGTATATGGATAATAATTAAAGGATTAAATCACAAATACGATTCCCACTGTTAAAAACTTGTTATTTAATTCTTCATGTAAATGTCCATATTAGGAACAAATTTGCTTCTACTTAATTTTCCTTATAGAAAAGTTTAAAGCCGACATAGGTTCGAACACGCCAGGTTAAGGCAGTACCCACTGCATTTTGGATTTGGTGCCACAGGTAGCCTGTGGTTTCATCCACTTCGTCCCTTAGCTGATCAACTGCACTCTGGGCATAAGCCGCAGCCGATGGAATGAACAGACCGCCCTTCATGATCTCCTCGGAGTACGAGTTGATCTTGGTGACCACGAAACTAGGAGAAATCAGCTGCACATGGATGCCAAATGGCTTGGCCTCGTGATACAAAGCCAGGGTCAAACTTCGGGTGTAGGCCTTCGAGGCGGCATATAAGGCATCAAACGGCATGGGCTGGAGTTCTGATCCGGATCCAACATTCACGATGGCTCCCTTGATCTTAGCGGCCTTCATCCGCTGGAAGAAGAGGCGGGAAAGCTGCGAAACGGCCACCACATTGGTGTCGATTAATTTCTGGGTGGCTTCCTGGCTCCATTCCAGCAAAGACATGGGTGTACCGATTCCAGCATTGTTTACTTGAAATAAACGATAAGTATACTCAATATGACTTAGAAAAGTTGTAAAATATCAAAATTGACAATTAATATTTAAAGATTATACTAGTATAATTTATTGAACTTAACTTACCAAGTATAGAAATGGGTATATTGGCGGTTTCCTTGTCTATATGCTCGTAGACCTGCGAGCCCTTTGTGAAGTCAGCTATCACAATTTTTATTTGTACACCGGAAAAGCTTTCTGTCGAAAAAAAAAATATATAAATTACTGGTAAATAAATTAACTTGGACTCTGGTATACCAGATCCATACAAAATGGAAATGATAGCAGGTTTCTAAAACCTTTCACCTCTGTTTTGTAATCTCAGAACCTGTCCTAATCTCCACTTCCTCTTGACATACCGATTTCCTTAGCCACCGCCTGGAGTTTCTCCTCGTTTCTGGCGATTAGGACGACATTGATGTTCTGGCGGGCCAGAGCCTTGGCATACTCCTTGCCAATTCCATCGCTGGCTCCCGTGACAGCAGCCCAATCTCCATAACGCTCCTTGAGAGTGGGTCTACTATCGCTAAAATACCGACTTTTTACCAATTTGTACGGCGTTCTTAGCTGCTCGTAGAGATAAGAGGCCAGGGCATAGATGCCAATAAACGTTAGAAACGTTGATAAGGCACAAAACATGGTCTCTATTTATTTCCTATTTTTAATCGACTGCTTGAGCAAAGAATTCGTGTGTGCGATCAGCTGGACTCTCTTAAACGGACTGTGGTTACGGAGTAAATTGCACACTTTTCGTCGCTGAAATTAGTTGATATACATAAATCCATGACCAAGCCCAAAGATTACAAAGTTATTATAAAGTGTGTGACCCACAAGTATTTCGGTTAATCACTTAAATTATGGTTAATGGTTCAACTTGCTATTTGCCTAGAAATTGTTAAATTTAAAAGGTGCATCTATCTTTTTGGTTCTTTATGACTGCGGTCACAGATGTTATTCCAATTAAAATATTCTAAATTGTTTCTTTTAATTTGCATTAACAAATCCGCAAAGTTAACCTACTTTTTAAATTTTAAGGCCCTACGATTCCCTTAAATATGATTATCACTGTTTAAATTATATTTTTGGCTCTTTTATTTGTACTTTCATACTTTTAAAATGTTACTTCTGCTTTTTCATATCCGACATTTTGCCGAAGATCTTAGTGGCGGTATATGTTCGCACACGCCACGTAAAGGCGGTTGCCACAGCATTTTGGACATGGTGCCACAGGTAACCCGGAGTTTCCTCCACTCCGTCCCTCAGCTGATCAACTGCACTCTGGGCATAAGCCGCAGCCGATGGGATGAACAGACCGCCCTTCATGATCCGACTGGAGTACGAGTTGATCTTGGTGACCACGAAGTTGGGGGAAAGCAGCTGGACATGGATGCCAAATGGCTTGGCCTCGTGATACAGGGCCAGGGTTAAGCTGCGGGTGTACGCCTTGGAGGCGGCATAGTAGGCTCCATAGGGAAGGGGCTGGAGTTCCGTTCCAGAGCTAACATTCACGATGGCCCCCTTGATCTTTGAGGCCTTCATCCGCTGGAAGAAGAGGCGGGAGAGCTGCGAAACGGCCACCACATTGGTGTCGATTATATTCTGGGTGGCTTCCTGGCTCCATTTCAGCAAAGATGTGGGTGCACCCGATCCAACGTTGTTCACTGTTCAGTAGATTTAAAATACAAATTAGTTTATACCGAATAAAAAAGCTCTGATCCTTATGTTTCTTAGTTACCTTTTTTTTTTTTATTTGTATACTTTTTAAAAATATATAGATCTTAAAAAAAATTTTAAATTATTAGAAACAATAATCTTTACTTACCAAGTATAGAAATGGGTATATTGGCAGTTTCCTTTTCTATATGGTCGTAAACCTGCGAGCCCTTTGTGAAGTCGGCTACCACGATCTTTGTCTGCACACCAGATCCGCTTTCAGCTGTAAAATGTATTCATCACTTGTATTAGAAACTAACAATAGACTCCAATAAAATTCTTGTATACCGAATCCCAAATTAGATGGCAATGCAAGCATGTTTACAAACAAATTAAATACAAAGCTGGCAACAAAAAATCCATTGCATGGCATCAAATCATAATTTTCACATCAGCTTTGCGTGTTCTTTAAAACTGTCATGTTCTTTCAAAAAAAAAAGTATATAAAACACCATCTAATGGGAGCAATCACAGACAATTAAAACGGCAAAAAATGCATAGCTAAATTTAAAATGCAGTAATCATTAATCTATTACCACTTCATCTTTCGGGCTAGAACAAGTAAAAATTGAATTTTATTTCGAAGTTCTTAAATTTATTTATGACTAAGAAAGTTAATAAATAATTTGATTGTCATGCAACACCTTTGATAACAACTTTTTTAATCTGAATAACTATCTTAATCTCTTCTCCTCTTGACTTACCAATTTCCTTGGCCACCGCCTGGAGTTTCTCCTCGTTTCTGGCGATCAGGACGACATTGATGTTCTGGCGGGCCAGAGCCTTGGAATATTCCTTGCCAATTCCATCACTGGCTCCCGTGACAGCCGCCCAATCTCCATAACGCTCCTTGAGAGTGGGTCTACTATCGCTAAAATACCGAATTTTCAGCAGTTTGTACGGCGTTCTCAACTGCTCGTAGAGATAAGAGGCTAGGGCATAGAAGCCAATAAGCGTTAGAAACGTTGATAAGCAACAAAACATTTCTGTTTTTATTTATTTCCTATTTTTAGTCGACTGCTCGAGCTGAGAATACGTGTGTGCGATCCGGTCGACTCCCTCAAACGGACTGTGGTCACGGAGCAAATCGCACACCTTTTGCCGGACAGGGCTCTGAATTTAAATGACATGCATAAACAGAAGTGCGAGCAATCAAAAGGTGTTCGACTTGCCGTTAACAGTGCGCCCAAAAGATTAAAATGTTATCACAGTATGTGCGAATCGCGATTATTTCGATTAATCAGTTTTTGTGTGCCTAATGGCTTGACTTGCTGTTTGACTAGAAACGGTCAAATTAAAAAGTCCCATCTAACTTTTTGGGTGCATTACACTGCAAATTTGGTGTGCAAGGTCGTGCTTTAAGGCAGCTAACAAGTGAAAGTGGCAACTTAATTTCAAAACTATAAGAATTTTTACATTTTTTTTAAGTGCAAGGAAATTATTTATTTTTACTTTAAGAATATAAGTGACATAAAATTATTTCAGCGAAATATGGTTTGAAATGGAGAATAACTTTCACATCTTTATTATGTCCTAAATCTATGTCAGGAAAAATGAATGCTCATTTAAGTCTTAGATAAATTTAGAAATAATTGAGATGTGTATTTCACCATCAGGCATCTCGGGAGTCAGTCACCTTCCAATCCAACACACCAGCCATAGATGACATCATTGCCCTTTGGACCTTTGTTCGCCAAAAATGCACTCTACACTCTACAACACACACACCACACTCGCACATCACAATTACCGCCTTGAAGCGGCATTCATAAATTAGGGAGGGCACAGAAATGGCATTTTACAAAACGCTAAGTACACACACGCCCCTCAAACCGTCGGGGAATCCCCTTGATGTCCTTAAAGTGCTGACTGGGAGTAAGGAAATCAGGAAATGCTGTGAATCGAACTGCGGAACAAGAGCACGACATGGGTTATATATCAACCATGTGTGTCGACAGCCGGGAAATAGGGATGAGTTTTTTGGCTGCTAGCAAATCCATTTTGAAAAATATATTTCCTACCATTTTTCCTCGTTTTTGGCTGCCGCAAAAACCGCATTTATTCAAGTGTCAAATAAATTCATAGTTTTTCGGCCCCAAAAAGAAAGGCAAAAGGCAAGTCGGGGGCGTCGACTGTTGGCGTCGGCCAACTAATTAAGTCGAATGGTTTTAAGGCCAGGACAGAAAACCGCCAGAACCCATTCGAACCTAATGGCAGCCTGGAAATATGCAGCGATTTTTGTGCCGCACACAAGCCAAAAAGTATTTAGCAATTTTTAGAAAATATATACGAGTGTGTGTTGCAAGTGAAGGGGCAACTTATGCTAATCACATTTAATTGCTTTTTAAGCGCACTTTCTGGCAGTTTAGCTAATTAATGTGACTCACACGCACTGTGGTTATGGATAGAGAACCTTAAATTTTCTAGAAAGTGCAGTCGAGAGTTTAAATAAATAGCCCAGTATGGCAAAAATATTGCAAGCGAATGGCGCCAGTTTTCAGTTCATGGCACATATGCCAAGATAACAGGCTATCCAAACAACTCAGGGAGTGGGAGTCCAAACTGGCGCAGTCATTGTCAAAAAGTCAAGCAATTTGAATTATGCCTTGCAATTTGTACATCCGTTTTGACTTTGCCCAAAACACTGCGAGTCCTTCTCTCAAGGAGTGGGATATGTCCTCGACTTCTTTTTTATATATGAGGGAAATTATTGTTTGCTTTGTTTCGCGATTGCCGCTGGCGGTTATTCTATTTTTATTCATATGACTATGAGCCAACTCATGTAATGCTCATTTTTACAGATTTTTATTGTGGTTATTATTGCATTTAGTTTGGCCAAAGGAGTGGGAAGTCAAAATATTTTGTTGGTTAAAGAACTTTCAGCGAATTGTGGAACTAACAAATAGTAATGTAATGTAACGTAATGTAAGTCTTTTAGAATTTATTACAGTAATATTGTGTATTTATTATACTTATTTCTCACAAAAAATAGTTTTAAATTTTATTTTCCGTTGGGTTTAAGCATAGGAAAAACTTGTTAATTTCATAAAAATTAGTTAGTTAGCTAGGTAATTACTTAAAACATACCCTTTAAAAATTAAATACATAATTAAAAGAGGATTACAATTTAATGTAATATTTCTAACATCTCTTTAACTTTCCTTGCATAAGTTCTTGAGACAAGGGATATAGATATTAAAGGGTCTGTAAAATTTACTATAATCAAACCATATCCACATATACAGAACATCCCTGTTCTTGCACTCTATTCTCCTCTAATTCCCCCAATTAATTGTTGTGGCATTCATTTGTAACGCTCTCTAATCTCTGACATATCGTTAAAGCGCAATGCTGGCACCGTTGACTGCCGACTGTTGACTAGCAGGATGCTTAAGGATGTTTATGTCAGGCACTGAATTTTAAGTAGCTCCAAAGGAGGCTTGGCTTGTCGCATCGGGAAAAAACCATGGCCGCAAAAAAAGAGTTGTGAAGTGAATTCGTGACAGGCAGAATGGAGGAGAGATTTCCCTTTTTCTAGCCATCAAAAGAATTCGCCCCTTAAATGGCGCATGAAAATTAGCAAGTTGTCTGTCGCCTGCCATTATGCGGCACACTTTGAATGGCATTACTACAAATTTCCACTCTTTTTTTATGTTTAGCCATTTGAGGCTAAAGGATTAAACGGTTCTGTAGTCAACAGTTAATTAGCAGTTTGTGGTTATCGCAAAAAATGTTGGCTTTTGTTTTTCGAAGGAGCAACTTTTGGCCATAAAAGTGCAATCAGCGGTTAAGTTATGTCCAGGATGTGGGCTCATATGTCCGGACGGCACCTGCAGGCGATATACTGGCCATAAAAAATGACTAACGATTAAGCCAAAAAGGAGAACAGGACCCAGGACGACAGGCAGCAAGTGTCGTTTTGAAAAATTCAAATCTCGTTGCCAATAAAAGCCAATAAAACTCGTAAAATAACTCAAACAAAAAGTGGGTGGAAGAGCCGTGCTGATGCTGCTCGTTCAAGTGTTTTGTGTCGCAATGTTGCGGGTGGCCATAACCATTGAGTCCCGATTCTTGCGGGTTAAAGTTGATCTGCGGAGTTCTGCAGATGCATTTAGTTGCTTTTCCAGCTGCACACTGCCACAAATAGCAATACATATTTATAGAGAAGCTGGGAGGTGATGAGGGGGAATACAAGCGGTGTCATCGTTCCCATGACCGAAAATAGCTTTGCAATTGGATGTGGCGTCTACACCTGTTGGGAATATGTCGGCGCGGCAAATGCTCAGTCTTTTGTCATTATTAAGTTGTACGAGAAAGTGCGGTTGTTTTGCATGTTCTTAAAGTACTTTTTGGCTAAACAAGATGGTGATTAAAATGAACATATGCAGGTACAAGTGTAGAAAAAAACTTAAGGTAATTCTATATTACATATTGATGTACAGAATAACAATATGTTATTACATTGTGATATGAAATACCGGTTTTTAATTCATATTTTATTTTTGTATATCTAATATTTGTGTTTTTTATTTAGAATAACGTATTCTGTACAAAAAAATTTGTATAATTTATAATGGAATCAAAATATTTCATTTTTAATTTTTCTTGAATGAAAGAGTAACCTTTCAAATACAAATTATTAATCTATTCATGTAATTTTTACTTTGACCAAGAGTTTTTTAATATTTAACCAATTTTGTTGAATGTAAAAAATGTAATTTTTTCGTAACATAAATTTTTTAACTGTCACATTGACCACTTCTAAAGACACCTTTTCAATTATGCGACCAGGATTTGCATCAATCACGTAGTCTTTGCTGCCGCTTGCCAGGTGGGGCACAAATCACAGCATTGACAACGGTGAAACTTTCACAGCGACAAGTCCACGATTTTGCCCTGGTTTCGCAGAAGCAAGTGAGGTATCCAACTATCAGATCAGGCCCCTATGAAAATCAAAGAAAAGCCCATGCAAGACCCAACTGAATGCAAATGACGAATGTTTTCGCGTAATTCTGTGATTTTCCACTGCCTTTCTGCACTGCATAAAAACGCATTGTGAATGCAGACGAGTCGGCTGACCGACAGAGTCAACAAGGCAAATTAAATTAAAATGCGAATGGTGTTCGCCTAAGCTGAGGTTCTCCAATTTTCAGGGGGGAGGGGGTCTTGGCCATAGCCCCCTGCCGCCTCGATGGCCGATATTTGAACTGCATTTTCTGGTGCTGGGCAGACAATTCCTGGCGCTATCGCGATGCCAAATACGCGGCCAGGCAAAAAATCGCCGACAGCGACAAAACAAAATAAATATATATATATGGAGACAGAAAAAGGATACAATTTCTTGGGGTGGAGGAACGAATATTCAAACGTTTTCGCATCCTGTCAGAGGATGCCAGCAAGCGGCAAAAACAATTTCGTACATTTAAATGCCAGCACATGAAACGGAACGGGATGATTCCTTCTTTATGGCATCCTCATACTCGAGGTGCTTTTTCCAGAAAGAAAAATACTGTCTAAAGCGAAATGTCGCTTTTGTCTTGCCCTTCGTACAAAACACATAAATCTCGGCATATGTGCATTAAATTGCCATCCCAGATCGGCTAAAGTATTTCCCCAAAAAACATACTTTAATTGCCACTTCAATTTTCAATTGTTTTTCTATTCGTTTAACTTGCACCTTCCTTGGCTTCTCTGTTCAGGATGTTCTTCTGTGCCACTGCTCGTCTGTGGACAAACTTAATGACCTGAAAACATTTCGATAATGTGGGTGACTCTTCATTGTCTCCGCTCGGCAGTTTGTGCGGGCTTAGGAAATTATCAACTCAACGCCTTTAGCAAAAACCTAAAAACGGATGGAAGGTAATTTCCAGGAAAACGATTAGAAATTCCTGTTGGCAGTGGAAAAAAAGGGAAGAGCCAAACGATTTTCGGGCTTTAAGGGGCTTACAAAAAGGAGTGAAAGATAAGGCTAACAGACTAACATATTAGGCTAAGTCTGCAAAGGTTTCGATTGCCTGGGTTAAGGATTAAATTCTTAAAGATAAGAATGCATGAAAGTCATAAAGTTTTTTATTTGCTAACAAATTGCTTAAAGGGTTAACATAAATATTTAATATTCATAATTTGAATGACGTTAAAATTCTTAAAAAGAGTTTAAGCGTTTCTATTGAATCGGTTATTCTAACCGAACTTTCGCAACTTTCCCTTTGTGCATTCACTTACAAAGTCCTTCGGATGGCACTAAAAAAATACTGCGGTTTTTCAGTCAAGGCAAGTGAACCCTTTCCATTCAACTCCTCCTCTGGTGTCCAGCAATTTGGCAAAAACCGAGTGGAGGCCACGTGACTAACATAACCAAATACAGTTATAGCCATCGCCGTCTCGGTGAGCAAGTGCTCGAAAAATGTTTTGTTTGGCAAAAATCAAGATGTGTGGCGTCCTCTCGCTTTTTGCTCCCATCCTGATCCCCTGCCCCATTTTCCATGGGCTTTTACTGCCCAGTTAGAAGAACTGTTGGCAACAGTGAAGAGATGCTTAGTAAAGGGGGACGGACATGTGTGTTCACTAGGGTGGACTTGGAAAAGTTATGTGGGTTTATTGTCCTGATTAAATTTATATATATTTAATATTATAAAAAAAGTTTTAATTGTTTAGTTGTTAAAAACATATTTGGCTAATTTCTTAATCAAATAACTTTATGTATCAATTTTGTTTAATTTATGAACATTATACCATTATTATAATAACCGAAAACATGAAACATAAAATATGAAAAATAAATATTGCTCATACGACATGTATTTCAAACCATCATTTTTAAAACAATTAATTCCTTTCAAAATAACTCTTGTAATAACTCTTGTCAATAAATAGATGTTTTATCAACTGCCTGATTTACAATAAAAAATTTACTATTTTAAAGAAAATAAATCTGAGATCCACCCTACCGTGAACTCGTATGTTTATCTTTGGCCTGGCCTTTGTCTCGCTGAAGTGATGCAGGAATTTGCAGGGAAAGTGGTTTGGGGATCGAGGCTGGCGTTGTTGTCCTTTGGCGCTATTTGGGCAATAAATAAACGTTTAGTTGGTAGCGGAAACAGGGCGACAGCAACAGCAGTTCCCCCGATTCGGGGGTGTGGCCGGGATGGAATGGCATTAGATGGCCAGATGGAGGGCAGGATTGGCTCCGGAATCCGGAGGAGAATACTTGTTTTGGCCTCTGGCAGCACGTGCTGCTGCGGTCAACGTGTGGCTCGCATTGTTGTCACACTTTTTGCTGCCGGTGGTTAACTGACTTCCCTTCTCTTCGACCTTCGCTCTTTGTTGGGTGGAGCCCATTAATGGCCGCGTAATCGGTGCTCAATTAACACACACGGGTGTCAGCCCCCTAGAAATACACTCAAAGAATTTTGTTTTGTTTTTCAAATTTTAATTTTAAATGACCACTTCGTAATATATCCAGAATATGAATCAAATGTAATTATTAAATGTACTTCATCAAATTATCAATTCTTTTTTCTTACTTTTAAGAAATTTATTTTAGTATAGAGTTGATAAATATTCATGTAATTAAAAAATCCGATCAATTTATTCCTTTCTAATTTTTTTTTGTGTATAGCTTATGGTTTTAGAATACCTTTATTTTATTACATTCAATTTTGATTTTTTTCTTATTTCTACATTTAGTTTTAGGTAGATTGCCTATAAATATTAATGTATAAAAATGCTTAAATTTTTGTCAGTGCTGCTACAACATTGTGGCCTTTATTTAACATGCATTTATTAGAAATTTATTAGCACTACTTACAATTTTACATCGAGATTTTTGCTTTTCACTTGCATAAAATTTTTACACTGGCGCCACTCGTTTCATAACTCAGACAAAGTATCCACTCAGGATGAGAGCGTATGGCTGGTATAGCGATCCTGTGGACTGGAGAAGCTCCTAAGTCCACTTATTCTGATTGGCATCGATGTCCTGTGAAGATGTGTCCTTGCATGTGCTAAAACCTGTTGACCATTTGCATTCATTAAGCTCAAGGAGTTTTCCAAGGGCCTTCCCTTTGGCCCTTCAGTCGTCAAGTTATCCTTTCTTCCTTTGTATTTTTTTTTGCACTTTTTAGTGCCTTATTTAAATTATAATTTTATGGCAGCGTTTATGCTTCTGTCGAAAAGCAGTCATGTATTTATATATCTCTGCCAGATCTTCTGGTTCCGCTACGAATTGCAAATGCATTCATAATTAGGGTGGAAAAATTGATTGTTGTCCTGCAGATTACCTTGCTTATTTTGGTTTCTTTCACAAAAACAATTGGCTGAAATAACAGCTTGATTAGTCATGAGAAGAAATTGATTAAAGATTCAAGATTATGGAGCCAATAAATGGTGTATTGGATAGTTTATGGAAATAACCTCATTGTATTTTTACGATGTTTACTAAGATTAAATCTTAATTATATTTAGGAAAATAAATAAATTTAAGGACTTAAATTCTTATTAATATTTATAAAAATGTACAACATGAGTTCCCTGTCAATTATTTCACATAAATTTTAACCATTTTAAACAATTCCTTATGTATAAGCATTCCTAAAAGTAAAGAATCTTTTAAAATTTGTTTCAAAAAAAGCCATGTGTTTTCCTGCTTTTTAAATTTTAAATATTATAGTTAATTTCATTAAGCCCATTTCCATATATATCTTTCACATGCCCCACGTGAAACCACGTGGCAGTAATAAATAATATAGTTGTGTTGTTTTTCGCGCCCAATACCGGAACGTAGGATGGGGGAATTCTAGAATATTTAAAACTCGAAAACATTCAAAATTACTCAAAAACTTTGAATAAGAGCGGTCAGAGCAGAGAGTCCGCAGCGGCAGAGGCAAACGAGCTCTGCCGCCGCGACGAACACTCGCCGAGGAGCTCACGAAGTGGCACGATTATGGCCCGAAGGGGGTGGGGGATCGCTCGCTTGGAGCTCCGCCAGTTGGGCGGGGGGTCGGGGGTCAGGGGGCGTTGGAGCAGCGGCAGTGTTGCCTGTGCCAATGCGGGAAGAGGCGTAGCCTTTGGACACTTAGAGAAATATTTTTCACAATCGGAAGTCAGGAAAATAGTACTAGCATAAAGAAATGTTTGCTATTGTTTATAAAAATATTTTACCAAATAGTAGCTAATTTTAAAAAAACTAATTTTTTGGAATGCAGTAAATTTAATTAAACAAAAAAAATAAAATTTAGTTTTTAAGGGAGAATATTACATAAAAGGGGGTAACAATTGCCTACAAAATAAAAATGTGGATGCATACTATTTGAAAATTGTTGGCTGGGAAATCGGAATTATAAGGATTTTAAATTTTCCTATTTTTAACCGAGAACTTTCTCAAGCAATGAAGGGTGCCGAATCGTTAGATAAACTTTATTATTTCTCAACTCAAGGCAGAACTGAGAATTTTCTGTGAGTGCATAAGGGGGGAGAGAGAGAGACAATGCAAGGAGGAGACCCCGACGACGATGACGATGACGACACAAAAAGCAGAGACGACTGCGACAAAGAGAACGCCGGAACGGAACGTGAACGTGAACATGAACGTTGCAATCGTTCGAGGGCCTCTGGCTCGCTTTTTGGCAGGCCGCACGGCCAGTCGTCAGTCAGTTGGCCAACAAACTGGTAGCGTCTGGTGTGGCGAGCCAACAAAAGGCTGGCAGGGCGGCCAACACCGGACCCGGCCCGAATCCAAATCGGAATCCGGGTCCGGGTTGTCCGGGCTGGATCCGCATCTACGGGCTGCACGGCTGCCAATTGAGCGGAGTTTGGGTCTCAATTTGACGCGTAGCCAGCCAAGAAGAGTGGCCGGCCAACAACAAAAACAGGTGACGCAGGATGTGGCCAAACGGCCAAAGGAGGAGGATGGCCAAGAGGAGGAGGAGGAGGAAACGCAGCGCACTTTTTTGGCCACGGTCCGCGTTTGATTAGCCAACTCAAACATCAGGGCCAAGATCAGGGCAATTGACAGCTCTCTCTCCATTTGGCACAGTCGCAGCACACACAGTGTTTTACGGTCACGGATGGGCCACAGTGGAGCCTGGGCAGTACGCAACACCTGACGCTGCCCGCCCGGATACTCACGTCCGTCTCGATTATACAGCAAATAAGAAAACGTAAATAAACAATTAAAAATATGGAGTATTTGCTCCGCAACTGCCAACAACAGCGACAACAACCAGTTGCTCTGCGGTGCAGAAGCGAGTGTGTAACAGTGTGTGCCTTGTGAACTGACCAACGTGCCAAAAGTGAAGGGAGGAGGTGGGAACTCTGGCTCGGACCCAAGCAACAAGAACAACTGCGATTTGGCAGGAGCTGATTGTTTCATCTGGCCAGGCTTAATGAAAGGACTCGTCCTGGCCACAGCCGCATGTCAAACGCAGTCGGGCAAACACCAGCGGAGCCCCAAAGGATAAGCATCGCCACAACAACGGAATCTCCACCGGAGGATGCACCACAAAAAATGTTGATTCTAAAATATTCAACCATGTAAAATAAACTAAACTAAACGTTACTCAAAGGACTAAGATCCCAAGCAGGAGCCTTACCATTAGCTCAACAAAGAAAACAACAAAATATTTAAACATAAAATAACTACATTTCAAAGGATTGTTCAACATCCTTTAAGAAAGCATAATAAAACTGAAACCTAAAATGACATAAAAATTTAAAATAAAAGTAAACAAACCTTTGACTCTTAATAAAAGTTAAAATATAGAAAAAACAAAAAAAAAATAAATACCCAAACTATAACTATTTTTCAAATAGTTAAATTAGTGCTTAATCCCCATATGAATCATAATCGCATACAAAAACTATAACTTACCAAACCTAAAATGAGCAAATATTATATAACCCCCAAAAATATGATGTTATATAGACATACCAACATATAAAAATAATAATGCAATAGTCAAATGGATTAAAAATAGTGCAATACAATACGTCTATAATCCAACGTCAAAAGTTTTATAACGCAACGATATTATTTTATAATAAGCACTTTCAAACAATTATATAAAATTTAAATCAGCGCGGGAAGTCTTCGGCATGGTAAAAGCATAAGATGTAAATCACAGCAAAAAAGAGAGGATAGATTAATAGCGAATGAAGAGAAAGGAGTGGAAAACATCTGAGCGCGGAAAAGTGCTGAAAATGGTGAGTAGAGGTGTGAAGTTTAATTTTCATTTAAATATGCATTAAAAAACAACTCCAATCTTAGTTTTTGTTTTTTAATTATTTTGCTTCTAAATCGTTTACAAAAAGTGATATGTCTTAATAAAACCCTTTTCAAATAATAGGCCAATCATGATTTGCTCTATAAACACACCTCATAATTATTAACCAAATAACAGCCTCCAAAAGTTAAATAACCTCTAGTCAATACCTCAAGACCCTTTGCCACATGGCGATAATCGCCCGCCAAAGGAGTGAAACCCCCCTAAACCCTAATACAGTAAACCCGCAGCAGAAGAACGCACTGGAAACAGCCTGGAAACAGCCTGGCGCCACATAAATAAACCCAAATGCAACACAGAAATGACAACGGGAATGCTAAATGCGCCGCAGGAGGGCGTGCCCGGTGAAGGACAACATCCAACATCTAGTCGGGGTCCCAAACGAATTTATAGGCCTGGCCAAAAATGTTAAAGAGCTCACCCACAACCAGAGATTCTCATACTCCAAATTCTGATGCTGACTGCTTATGGTTCAATGAACAGCCAGCAAGGATGAGTTGTCTGTGCTAGAAAGGGATTCGCACCCAGACTTTTAGCCAGACCAAAAACCCATCCATGCCCATTCCAAAAACCCGCAAGATGAAACGAAATTCATATATCAGAAATTAATCTCAAAGACAGATTTATTCTTTTATGACTGAACTCACATACGCATTGGGAAAAAAACATGCCAGAGTACATTGTACTTTAGACAATTAAATTTTGGGCAAATAAGTATTAATATGCCCTCGGCTTTTGTAGTTCTCGATTGGAGCCATACAATTGCGTAGTTTTATGTTGGATTTTCAAAATTTTAAATGCCCAAATTTATGAGCGTCTGCACTGAAGAAGAACGACAACAAGCTGCAGCAATCAAAAAGTTGTACTTAGAGATTTACGATCCATTAAAACAATTAAAAATCTACCCATTGCTCTGCGAGTAGTTAATTGGCCAGAAAGACAAGAGCAGCAGGAGGGCCAAAAATTAACACGAAATTTAATTGCCAAGGACTTAGAGCAGGACATTCGGGGAGCGAATTCCTTAATGTCTCCACATTAATTTTGTCTTCGCTTAGTTTTTTTGCTGGCAATGGTCGAACATTTTTTTGCAGCCGTTGAAAAGGAATTTGTTGACACCAACAATGTTTCGGACATCCTGGCAAATAATTCTCTTTTTTCTCGCCAGGAAATTGGCAACTACGCCAAGCCAAGTCCAAGGCATTGTGTCCTTTCCTCTTGACTGGCTGCATATGTCCAACAAAAGGACCTCTCTTCCGCCGCTGGTTACTGCGCTTTATCTTTGTTTCCGCCAGATATTCGATTCGGAATTCAAATTCCGATTCTGTGCAGCGAAAGGCTTGAAGATTTATGTCCTGCATTGATTTTATTGATGGCCGAGGGCCGAAGGCAACATTTTTAAACGTCCGCCAAGTCGAGCAATTAAAACTAATTGAATTGCCAGTGAGAAATTGTCAAAGCGACTTTAAATGCATATTGACGGCGATTTAAGTTGGACAGTTGTCCCTCCCCCCGCTGCTTTGTGTGTCGGCTTCAGACAAACCATAATTCTCAATGGCCTAGACGGGGCAAATAAAACAAACAAACAAATAAATCGCCAAATTATGATTTTGGCTAGCGTTTCCTTCTTCTCCTTCTGCAGTCATCAGCAGTGGAATAACAAAAAAATCCCCGAAGAATAACTTTGTCTGCCTTTGGTCCAGTCCTGTAATGATTTACTCTATTTGCATATTTTTGCACTTATAAAAATGCACAAACGATTTTTCATTTTCATTTTTCTTAAAACTTATTAGTGCGGCCCGCCAGCCTTTGAAATGTCCGCTTCTATTTTTTGCAACTTGGGCTTTCCTTTGCCTTTTTTTATAATGATGGTCAGAGCTTTGTTATTTATTTGTTATGCATTTGGCCCGCAACTTTGTCCTGCACTGCGTATACGTTATGTGTGAGGGTCGGGGTGGCGACTCCTTCTTCATTACGTATACGCCGCATTGTCGCAGTCTGCAATTGCCAGCGCCTACAAGTCTGCGGTGGTGATTCTTCTGATGCTGCAGTATCCAACACTTAACAAATTTTCCATCTTATAAGGATTTAAAAAAGAGTTTTTATTGGCTTTTTCAGAATGCTAGTCACTTATTAGGTATTTACAAAAATTAATACAAAAAAAAACTTTATTTTAATAATGATCATTCTAAAAATGATTTAAAGGCAAACAGTTAAGATAAAGATTAATCATAATTTAATAGGTATTAAATAAAATAATTTATATAAATTTTGGAAAAAGTTACAGGAAACATATACAAATATGCTATTGCTCTTTCCTTTAATCGAATATGGTTAATTCTTGTTTTAAGATATTACATTGTTAGATCAAATTCATAGTACTATCACTCCATTTAATAGTATTAATTTGTATATTAATTCATTTAATGTTTTTATTATTTAGGTGATGTTCATTGATTGACTTTTTGAGTTATTAATTTAAATTTGTATCCGTATGGGAAATATCCCATGATTGTAAGAGTATTCCAACTTCCCTATGATGGTTTTCCAACTCTTTTCTTATTGTTTTCTTTTTCCGCTTCCACCCTTTTCCTGTGGGCCTTTTCCCTATCCCATATTCCCTGGAACCCAAACGCCCCGGACATAAACATAAACAAACGCAGCCAGCAGTCGACGGCTTCTTGGCCGGGTGCTGCCAAGATTTTTGGCATCATCGTTGGCAACGCATCCTGTGGAATTCGAATCGCGTGTCTGGCGCGTGGATTGGGGTGTTGGCAAACGCCTTTCCTTCGGCGGGGTGGCGCCTCTAACTTGGCACTCTCATTATGATTTTAATTGCTGACGCACATTTTTGACGAGTTGCCCAGTTCGTCGCTACGTCACCGATTGTTGTTGAATTGGCCAAAGAATTCTTGGCCAGATACCAGCCAGCAGTTGCCAACAGGTGTCCAATTATCAATATGATTGTGTTTATCACCCACCGACACACACACTCGAATAAAACGAAATAATGACGTTTGATTGGCCTTGTGCAAGGCTGTTTGTCGTTGGCCAAATGTCAACGTCTTGTAAAATTTATTGGCCAATATTCAAGCAATTTTTTTTTAAGTTCATTGCTTTTTTGGTTTTTGGCAGCCAGTTAATATTTGCAGCCTGCCAATTTCTCGATTACGATTTTCTATTTATCTTTTCTCATTTTCGAGTGTTTGGTTCTTATTTTCGCCGCTGTTTTGATTGACTTTCAGTTTTCATCAGATTTCAGAGCGTTGACAACGCCTCCTTTAAAAGTAGACGCTGTTCCCTACTTTTTTATTTACAGATTTCCACTGCAGTTAATAAAAATAAATAAACAAAACATGTGAAGCTTTTTTTGTATTCATATAAACAGAGTTAAATGTTGTTCGTGTACTTTCATAATAAACAAAAAAATGCATAACAATTTTGCGATCTTCTGTTTGATAATTTTCGACGTAGAAAATGATTTTTTTGAAAAACAAGACTAGTTTTTATATACAAAGCAGTGTTCAAAATATTATTAGTTGACTATGAAAATTATAATAGGAAATGAGCTTAAAAGCGACAGATAGATAAGAAATAGAATTATACACAAATTTAAAAACCCATCATTTTTGTTTGGTATTCAAAAAAATGTATTTTATATTTGATATTTTATTGAAAAGGAAAGTAAAAATCTAAGGAATCGAAACCTCAAAATAATTTATTATGATGTAATATTTAAGGGAGACTGATAAAAAAAGTTAAGATGATTGCACAACAGCCTTTCTTCCTTACACCCAAATTAACCCAATTAAAAACTTGCCGTTCGACAAATACACTGCAGGCTAACTGCATCTCAAGGTTCATTTGTTTACCATAAAACACACACGCCGACGTGCAAATTAAGAAAATTCTAATTAAAGCTAAGAAAAACTAACACTAATTACAATTTGTGCCGTCGCCCTATAGACAGAGGCAAAAACACAGACAGATGGAACCCAAAAAAAAAAAAAGGAAAACGTACCACACATAAAATACGTTTTCGATGAAGCAACTGAAATAGATAAAAACGAAATATACAACCAGATGCATTTGTATCCGTGGCCGAATCTGAGGCTGTATCTCTGGCAGCACAAATGTATTAGTTTTGTCCACGAAAATAGAAACAGCGGCGACGCTTTCAACGCGTCTTTGCCCGCGTCAATTGCGCGTCATCGCAACTCAAAGATCCAAGAACACATAGAGAGCCAGTCTGAATACTATTTATATGTGGTATATAACACAGTCGTTGGACCCCCTTCCTCCGGCCCATTTATTTATTTCTTTTTGGGAGGTACATAAGGGCAGGCGACAGTTCTGCGCAATTTTCTTGGGCTTTTCTCTTTCGGTCTTGACGTTTTTATCGCTTTTCTGCGCCTTTCGCCTTCGGCTTCGATCTTCGGCGGCCCGCCCGTCAAGTATGTCCGAAAATAGCAAGGTAAATGAAAAATACAACACGGCAAAACGAGGCAAAATCAGCCACGAAACAAATGAAAATTCAAGCAAAAAAAAAATTAAGAATCAACGTTTAAGCAACCAAAATGCTGAATTTCGAATTTTTGGTTTCTAGAAAAAATAAATAAAAGCGATTTTCTCCCTCTGAAAATCATTGAAAAACAGCAAGAGTATATATATTTCCGAAACAACAAGAACCCCCAGAAATAAGAAAAATATAAGACAAGAAAATTTGCTTAAAACGTCAAAGACGTTTTGCACTTTTTTCCATCTATAGGATATGGATGTATAGTCCCATAATTCACATATAAATTTTCTTTATTAATTCGTTTCGCCTGCTTTCCGTATAAAGATTTTCGTCAAGAGGCTAGGTATTTATCATTAAGAAAATATATATTATTTTTGTAGATTTCCCAGAATTTATAGTCATTCTTCTAGTCAGACCTTTGGGCGATTTTAAAATACAAATTAAAATAATAAACTTTATCTTAAAGATTTAAATGCGTTTTAGGACTGAACAGACTATATTATATCAAACGCGATGAGATCATTAAACGGTAATTTACAAATCTGCAGAATGTTTTCTATGTTGATTCGAATTTAAGTCCCTATTACACAAAAATATATTATTTTGAATATTTAAGTTATAACAGCCTTCCATTATTAGATTTCCCTGATCTCGGAAATAAACATGTAAACATGTCTTATATACCATTGTTTTCTTTTCAAAATTCCACGTTTGTCTATGGTTACATAAGACCTCATCAAAGCCATCACTCATTTGACACTTTCAGAACTTCCGCCTATGTTCAAGAATGAATAATGGATGGGGAATGCATACGAAATAACCACAAGTTATTTATCATAATTTGCCAATGATTGTCGAGACTAAGTTCATAAATTACCCAGGCAGCTGTGTCGCAGGCAATTAAAAGCTGGTGTTGTCGTCTACATCCTTTGGATTCTCTTTTCTGGATATTTCTGGACCACTTCTATTGGCCATAATTCACGTAAATTTAACAAGTGCGTGTGAAATTAGGGGCAAAAGACTGGAATGAATTTTATTTGGGGCTCGCCGCAATTGGCAGCTGTTCAATAACACAGTTCCTGACCTGAGTCAATGGGAAAACTCTCCCGAAGTCATTCAGCCGGGATACAAATAATGAGGGTGCCGAGATAGACACTCATTCCGGCAAACGATCGGAGCAGACGGCGTGTCTGCCGCGCGTCTTGGAAACTTATTGGCAAAACTCCATGATCATAAATTATGTCGGCTTCATTTGTTTACGCATCGGCCGGCAGGTGGCGCTTTAATTACATGACAGCATCGGCATGGGGGATTCCCCCGCAGAATCTCATCGAGCAGCTTGCCAAGATTCTGCATTACGCAATAAAGTTCATTGCCATCCCGCCCGTCTTTCAGATGCTTTCTTTCTTCCCCATCATTTTTCCCACCATTTTTTTTTTTTTTTTGGAAGCGAGCGTGAGAAAAATTCTAGGCAAGATTTTGGCAAGCTACCATCTTGGCAGAGGCCCATTACCCATTCCACCACTGAACACCACCGTCAACACACCACCACGCTGGCACAGTGGCCCAGGTCCATAAAAATTCGAGATAAGAATAGATGACTAAAGTTTGGGGAAGCCGGCCTCGTAATGAGTTGCCATAAAATATCTTTAAAAATTCTAATATGGGTTTTAGGATAAAATCAACTGAGGATTGTGGAAGTTCTTTTGACTTAACCGTAGTCAAAAAAAATTGGTACCTAAATAGCAAGTTAACTTAAAAAATTAATATTAAAATTAAGACAAGTTATAAGATCAGGATTATTTCACAAATTTTACAAAGTTAAGTTTTAATTCAAAGTTGAGCTAGTTTTTGAGAAAATCCTAACTAAAGACTTATTTAACCATTACTTTATTAAACCGCTTTTACATAATAAAGAAAAATAAAATTTAGTTTAAGGAAAATAAATGAGAATAAAAATGTAGTTTTATATCAGTAAAGGTGAACAGAGAATTATTTTATTAAATATATAAAAATGTATCAAATAGATACATAATATTTAAAGAACTGGAAAACTTTCGTTACTAAACCACATTATGTTAATGAACTTATAAAACAAAGAACTTTAATAACAACTTTGCGACTTATCTAACTCTTTGGTAAATTCCCAAAAATGTTTCTAGATTAAATCTAAATCCCTTTCCATCCTAAAAATTATTACGTAGCCGTCTTTTGGCAGCCAAAACTAATGTGCACACCTTCTACCACTCTCTTTCCAGCAGCTGAAGGCCCAAAGGAAGCCTCGTTGGCCAATTGAGGAGGAGAGACCCAGAAAGTCGAGCCGATTTTCCGCTGCAACCGCCGAAGGTCTGACCAACCAATGGCAACGCACGGCGGCGACGAAGCCCGGCCAAAAGGGGGAGTTCCCGGGAAATGGGGGGAAAACTAGCCGCCCTGCAATGCATTTCTTTGGCAACGTATCAAGCGGCCTCTCACACACACACACACACACATACAATACGCAAGGACTCTCTGCCCCGCTCACATGCGCATCGAGTGGTATAAGTAATATATCAAGTATACGCCTGTTGGCCGGGCAAACAGTTCACAGTGTGTGTGTGCGTGTTTGTGAGTGGGCAAACAGAGTGCTGCCAACTGCATTGCTGGGCTGCCACCAACTTCAACCCCCGACCAGAGGACACCACCCTCCTCCCAGCCAGGAGGCCAACGACGAGTCCTTTGCAAGCAGCGCATTGGCTGCAGGACGACCGGCGACAGGACGACCAATCACCAATCACGTCGGAGCTTGTGCGCACTATCCCGGCCGTACGAAGGACCAAAGGCACGGCAACCAGGACCTCAGCCGGAGACCCCCGGGCCGATTGCCACTCTTAGACATTATGCCACCAGTCTCCTATATTTTAGTTCTCTAGTCATAAGTCACATGCCCAAGCCAACGCCCCCGGAACAACACCCGAACGGGGGCGTGTCACAATAGTATATCGATAGAGTTCTTAGTTTCAAGCAGAAGCTATACGAAGATGATTTCAAGAATGCATAAGAGAAAAAGGAATAAAAACTGTAAAGCTTCAGAGCGGCACAACAAAAGCATTGGTGGTTTTAATTTTCTTTCCATTTACAGATTGCTTTAAACTATTTTTTGGATGACTTAACGAAATATTATTCAAAACTTTTATTGTCACTGTTTTTTTATTTAGAAAATATGCCAAAGAAACTATCGAATTGATGGCATAGTTTTTAAATGGTGTAGTATAAAAATTGTCAATCTAAAATCCTTAAGTCCTTACAATAAGAAACCACTTCCAGAACTTGATAAGTTCTACCAATTTTACGTTCACGCTCATAAGATAAATCATAGTTTCAATATTATTTGTAATTTTAAATAGATTTCTTAGTGCCTATACTGGTTAGTTAAATCTTACAAAAATTAATCTTTTCGATTACGTGAACCCATGAATACAGTATCCATTAAAGGACTCCGCTTTCTATCAATCATCCTCCGCTGGGATCGAAAAGTGAGTATGATTGTACACCGCATTCCGGGCATTCTCTTGGCGCCACCTCAGATGCTTGATAATTAGATAACTTTGGACTAGGAAGATGGCTATATTGGCGCCCATATAATTGTAGTTCTTGGGTATTATAACCACTGCGTAGCGGGTCCAAATTAAGCATGTAATTGCCAAGGAGGCGCTCTGGTTAAGAGAGATGGCCGAAGCAGGACGATTCACCGTATCGCTCAGACCTGCCACTGCTAGAGTCTGCAAAAATAAGGAGTAATAAAGAAAAATATGATAAGACCAATTTTCAACCAAATAATTTTTAAACCGATTTGATTGGCCGTTTTTGTTTTTTCTTTAACATTCTACTTTAAAAGAAAGATAAAAGAAACAAAAGTCACTGCAGAGTTAAATGTTTAGATTGAGTTTACAGCCAGCGAACCAATCATAGGATATTCTTTAACATGGAAATCTAAGGAGCTCAACCATCTCTTACCCATTTAAACATCGGTGCCCAAAAAAAAACCGTGCGGGGACCTAAACAAAAAATACGTTGCATTTATTCAAAGAAATGAAAAACAACTCACCTACTGGAGACTGCCATATTGGCTGCATAGCATTTGGGACGATCTTATCTATTGCACTAATGGTGGCATTATACAACTTCGAAAGAGGCCCTATCCCTTTAGGCATTTTTGTAGAAAATATTTTGAAATTTTGAATACGAAAAATTAAAAATAATAAATTTTTAAATATATCACATTTTTAGGTGAAATAAATGTCTGGGTGAACTTGGATAAATATTTAAAAAATAGAATAGGCGCACAAACGTATAAAAACTATATGAAAACAATTTAAATCTGCGCGCCAGGCATCAGGCCAGTGATATATCGATAACAGCGATAACAGCAATAAAATCTTTCATTATATATGGTCACCTTATAACATTGAAACAGCTGTTTTCGGCATAAATACAAATTTAACAACAAAGTAGCTTTGACGAATAATAAAGCAATTATAATGGATCGTTACAAAAGAGAACGTTCACCATACAGGGAAAGGAGAAGGGAACGCTCACCGCATAGAGAAAGAAGAAAGGAACGCTCACCATACAGGGAAAAAAGAAGAGAAAGGAGCCATGTCCTCACGTACAAGAAACTTCAGAAAATGCCGCTAAATCTGCGCAAAAAGGCGGTACGAGAAGCCCGGAATCGGAATGAGAAAATCCAGGGAAAGCGTAAGGAGCGGAAAAGGAATCCTCCGGATGTTCCCACTGCACGTCGTCTGCGCAACGACTTTGATCGATCCGAACACAATGCGATGCTGGCCAGCACTTCGCAGGAGTTGCGACGAATCCTGCAGGATTTTGAGACTCTTTCGGACATCCCCCATGATATAACACCCACGGAGCTTCGTGGGGAGGTAAGATGATCCTTGTGGAAATCCCTTGGACCAAGTGTTGATAGAAACCCGACAATCTTTAAAAGTTCCTTTCTGCTCAAGAAATTCAAGTTATAAGATTCTCTTATATTAAGTTTTCAAACTGCATTTAAATAAGTAGATATTTGGCATTTCCTTTAAATGTTTTATAACAATTTCTCATAAATTTAGTCTATAATAATAATCATTGAGATAATTAAGCGTTTTAAATAAGCGTTTTAGAAATCACCAAGCAAAACTATATCTCCCCTTCACCAACCATTTTAAAACTTGGTTAATGCAAGATATGTTTACTTCAGATTTTTTAAGGACTTATTATTTGCAACTTGTCTTGATTTATTCTAGGTTTTGCATAATTTCACCAGTAAACATTCCGATGATTAGCTAAAAATATTTTTCACTCTTTAGTTAGTTTTTGCCTCAAGACTAATCGTACAATTTCAATTTATTCATCATTCCAAATTTATTTATTACCTGTACTGGGGAACTCAAAATGAATACCAAAGAATTGCGCTAAAATTGTCCGAAGAATGCAAATCCATTAAATGCATTCTCTTGTTATCAATCATCCTCAGAGTAAATCGGATAGCGATTATGATTATACACCGTATCCCGTGCATTTTGATTGCGCCATCTCAGGTGCTCGATAACAAGATAGCCTTGGATCAGGAAGATGGCTATATTGACGGACAGAAGACTGTAGTTCTTGGGTGTTATAACCATTGAATACCGGGACCAAATCAAACACGTAGTTGCCAAAGAGGCGCACTGGTTAAGCGAGATTGTCGAAGGTGGACGATTAATCGTATCGCTCAGACCAGCCAATACCAGGCTCTGAAAATAAGAAGAATTTATTTAGAAAAAATCTGCAACCGAAACAAAAAAGTTAAACCGATTTGATTGCTGGCAATTAAAGCGGAAGCTTTTTAATTACTTTTAACACTATGTTTAAAAAGAAAGAACAAAGGAAATTACTTACAGAATTTAATATTCAGATTGAATTTTTAAACAGAGAATCAGTTAACATAGATTTTTAGCTTACCCATTTAAACATTGGAGCCCAAAAAAAAACAGTACGGGGTCCTAAACAAAAAAGATACTGTATTTACTTAAAGTAATGGGAAATAAGAACTCACCTACTGGCGACTGCCAAAGTGGCTGCATTGCACTTGGGACAATCTTATCAACTGCACTAATGGTGGCATTGTACAACTTCGACAAAGGTCCCGTCCCCTTAGACATTCTTTTAGAAAAAAATTTTGAATAACCAGTTTAACAAAAAAAAAACAAATTTTAAGGTGAAAGACAGGCCCGGGTGAACTGAGATTAATATTTTTAGTTAGGGCAGGCTTTAAATATAAAGTAATTATAATGTAATTGGTGAAATATAATATATATTATATTTAAACGTTTAAAGCAAAATAATAAATAAATAAAAAAAGCGCACAAAAATTATTTTTAAAGAATATTAACCATTTTTAATAATTTGCCTTGATTCGCCATATTAAAATATTGTTAATCTAACATTTAAAAGACAATTTAATGATTGATAGTTTTCCATATTCTAAAAGGTTTTCTAATTTTGAGGCTAAATAATTTATTTAATATATGTACCTATTAAAACTTCATGTTTTTAGAACAAATAAAACATGTTTGTAATGGATTTACTTACACACATCCATTTAGATAGCTTTCAATTTGGCGTCACAATAATTTAAACAAAATTTTCCGCTATACCACGCTCAATACACATTAATCTGCATAATAAAAGCCCGACTGCAAAATTGTATTACGTTGATAGGTTCTCAAAGATTGAAGTGCTAATGCTGATTGACAAAACTAGATCGCTCCACAAAACCACTTACTCCTCCAACCCGCTAGTACCGGTTGCAATTAGCACATTGAGCTGTTCGTTCTTGCAATGCTTTCGTCACCGATATTGGCCATTGCCCACTGACCTACTGCCGAACACTCAAAGTGCTAATTGATGGACATCTATTATAAAGAACTCCCGTTACGCGTCTTAATTGCATACTGGCTGTACTGTACTATATATTTTACAATTCCAGATAGCCATCGCCGAGGGTCAGGCCACAACGATCCATGTGCTGCGGGATGGACTCAGCACCCTCAACGTGGTGGTAGGTATATTTCATTGAACTGATTAAAATCGCAGCTGCTTGCACTCACTTTCAGTGGACTCATCAATCAGCCTCTCACAAGGTTGGCTTCTGACCGAAAGTAATCCAATAAATAGGCACGGAAAGTGGGTCAGCAAACCGTCTTTAAATCTTTGTTAGTTTTTCTACATAGCCAAAAGCTAATTTATTAGTTATTCTAAAACACATCAACACTTCAATAAAAAAGAGTATTGTGCCCAAGACTTCTTAAGAGACAATTAGCGAATAAATTTAATTTATAATAGTTTATCTGTTATTATGGAAGTATCCGCTTATTAATAAACCCTTTTCTATTTATTTTTTTGTTTTAGTTCTTATTTTCTAAATAAAAATACGATGATTTATTTTAAGTCAAACACTTTATGTATGAAAAACTGGTATAAAGATCCTTGTGACTCAATCTTCTAAGTAAAAACATAAACTTAAGCCTCTCTTTAGCGAGTTCACTCTTTTTGATGCTCGCCTATATCTCTTAACACATTTTTATTCTCAGACTAACTGAATTTCGTTCGCTTTCTTGTAGCTCCATCAGCGCGAGCCTACGATCGCGCAGCTAAAGAGTGCCATTTCTTTGATCTCTCGCGCACAACACAAGCGCAAGCAACGTGAGCGGTACGAGGAGCGTCTTCGGCGTCGGGGAATCGCCGACGACTCCGACGATCGACAACCAGTTGTGGTGGCCAGCTCCACAGGCGAGTTAGTTCACTCCGCTCAGCGCAACGGGCATGATCATCGCGCGTTCGTCTCGTGGCGATTTCTATGGCGCTGTTTTGGACTGTTAAACGTGGACACCAATCAGCCGATCGACGACCGACGCTCCGGCGGCAGGGCCACCTTGAAAGAGCTTGGCATTGAGAACGCCACCACCCTTAAGTTCGTCCACCGCGTCAAGTATTTCGGGCGCCAGCGACAGAGTTAAAGTCATTTAAACTCAATGACAGTGTCCCCAACGATCGTCAAACATCCGATTCGAAAGTCGGGCAGTGAATCGCGGTCAATATGGATCAACTGGTTTGGCTTTCGTTTTGCATTTCACTTGGATTTTTGCTCCTGGCCAATTTCACCGCTGGCCTACCGTTCGAGGATGGCAACAATAACAACGTCAAGATCACCCGCCGCAGCTTGGAGCTGACACAAACCATCAACATTCAGCGGCAGGAGTACATGCAGCGGCAATGCGAGCTTCTGGGGGAGAACACCCAAACGCTGGCGGATCTCAGCGAGCTGCAGATGGACCACATGATCGTGGACAGGGAGCACAAACTGCTCTACTGCTACGTGCCCAAGGTACGGGTGAATCTAAGAGGCAGGGCAATATTTAAAATGCTGAACCGGAAAATTAAAAACCGAGACAGGAATATAGTTTTTTTTTTTTCTTATAAATCGGCCTTTCAGCACTAAAGTTGTTTGCGGATTTTGTTTGCAGTGATTTTTATAAAAGGTTTTGCTTTAACTAACAAGCTGTTCGAATTGTTCTGATGTCACTTTCCGCCACCATTTTATTTTTATTTTTCTTAAAAACACCCATATCAATCGGAAATCTAACATCAGTAATCACTACAAAATAATTCTTTGCTGCTATTTTTTTTTTGCGGTTGCCATGTGAAGTCCAAGCAACAAACTTCAACGTACATAACACAAAATTCGGCATCTGTGCCTTAGATTTGGATCGCCATCAGCTTTGTTTATAGAAACATGTTTTTCTTTCGGCTCACTTTTTCTCATTCTCATGAAGCACATGCTGAGCTTCTGACGTTCTTGCGGCTTGTGGTATGCCATATCTTTTGCCATACATTTTTACTCCAAATTTTAGAAATCCCAATGCAGACGGTTCTCCAAATAATCAGATTTCATGCCGCAAAATCTTTATAGTGCGACTGACTTGAATAAATTTATGGAGGTTTTATTACGAGTGCATTTGATTGCTAAGCTCGTGCCACTTCTGGCTTATCATAAGGGGAGTCAATTCTCGTGTCAGCTTTTTATATGTGTATGCAATATTGTGCTGATTTCACGCGATTTAACGATCAATTACAGTGGAGAGAATTCCACCTCGAGTAGTAATAACGACCTCTTCCAAATGGGCGGCAATTATAGGGTAGTCATTTTATAATTTGTTGTTCATTAATTGGCATTTGTCAGCAATATTAAGTCGCAAATCTTTTCATTTCATAGTTCAAAGATTATGCTCTTGGTTTAGTTGACTTCAGTTGATAAGCGTAATTTAAATATATTTTTATTTTACTGTGACGCACATAATAAAAGTTAGAGATAATCTATTTTACAAATTAAAAAGTGGTTCTTCACTGGAGCCTCTTATTGATTTGATTAATTGGATTAGGAAATTAAGTTTTGGGAAATGTTGTTATAGGAAATGAGCTTTACAGTTTTCTGTTATCAACCAATTGGAAAGCATCAAACCCGAACTACAAGATTAGATTGCCATGTGCCGGCTTTTTTGGTGTTTGAAGTGTGACAAGTGTGGGCCAAAATAACTTTGTGTTTCATGTTGGCCTTGCCCTTTGAACCTTTGCTTCAGCAAATTTTGAATGATTGATTTTTCATATCTCAAGGAAATCCAGTTCAGTTTATTATTTATCTATTTAAAAAATACATTTCTAATTACATATGTCAAGAATTAAATGCAACATATACTGTTGATATGATCACATTATTCATGAGACTGAGCGTTACTATTTCATCTCGGAGAACCCACTTTCCGATATTGTTAGGCACACAATTCAGGTAATTCACTTGCCAGGGGGCGTGTCTGTGGAACATGCCACCTGAATGTTATCTTGGCATTTCTTCAATGACTATCATCGGACAGAAGCGCGACTGGTTTCGGTTTAACCATACAGCAGGGGTCAGTTAAGCGTTTCAAAATTTCAATTCCCCATTTCGCATTCCCATTCGCCACTAGCCGAGTGGGTAGCTTTACATGTTCCCAGCTCGTTCTTCTATGAAGTCGTAAATTGTTTATGTTTACCCTTGGCCAATAGTCCCCCTTCAACCAGTTCCTCCCCTTCACCGCCTAAAGAGGGGGCTCGCCACAATGGTTGAACATTTTATGCGAGCATCGCGTGTTGCTTTAATGGCCATAAAGATATTGCGTTAGGTTAAACTTGCTGCGTTTATCGCTGCTTACATATCCAGAGGTTGTCCAACATTATGCTGACCTTTGAAACATGTAATCTATATGAGAAAATATAACTAAATATTTAAAACATTAATGAATGATAATAATTTTTGAAGAAGCATAACCTATTTAATATATGGCCAAAAGTCATTTTAAAACATCTTGTTTATGATACCAATTCATGTCAGAAGCCTTAAACAAATGGCTTTAACTTCCTTTGAAAAAAAGATCGAGCTGATCTGTAACAAAAAAACAACAAACTAAGACTGACATTAAAACAAACATTTTACTTTAGTTGGCATATTGACAGATCCTCAAGTATTGAAAGTTGTTTAAACATTCAAGAGTAGACAGTCACTCTCAGCGCTGTCTTGTTTAAAAACGAGTAAGAAATGGAAAGGAACTGTGAAGTTAAGTATTAAAAAAAATAATCCCAAATAGCCAGGGATGTGGAAAATTAAGAAAGTTTGTTACAAAAGAAAAATTAAGTGACAAGGAATGTTTGATTTAACTGATAGACATTGTCCATTATTTGTTTTATAAACATTTTATTCATTTCACTTTAGACCGACAGTTTGACATATCTTAACCTTGCCGCTGATTTTTAGGTGTATTTCTGTTCATTGCCTCACATTTTAACCTCATCCACTCCTAAACGTAGATTCACTGTATATGGAATTGTTTGTTTTTGTAATGTGAAATGTTTTTGCGGTGTTTAATTGGGCTCGACATTGCCCGCCCAACGAAATGTTTATATATACTCGGCCACGTATTTATGTGCATAGTTTTCCCCTGTAGTTTTCGTTGTGTCTAGTTTCTGTTAGTTGACTTCAACAACTTGACTTATTGCCCAATGCTCCTGAGTATGGAAACCCATCCGGCCATCTCTCTTGGCGAAAATTATAATTTATTGCACTTGGCAATTAAAAAAAAGTAATTCAGCTCATCAAAAAAGCAGCGAGGTTTTTGAGGAGATTTCATTTAACGAGTAACCTTCGCCAGTTGCATTTAATACAATAAAAATGAGATTTTTATTTCGCGGACACTTGTCTCTTCTTACTTAAACAAGATATCTTGTTACATAGCTTTCTTTTTTTTTATATCGTATATCGTCTAAAATAGCTTGGCTTTCTCTTCTTTCAATTGATTTTATTGGATTTAAGAATTGTCTTTGTTCAAAGTTTAATTTGTATCTTACCTTAAATTATTATTAAATTATTACTTGAATAGTCAGAGTAGGCTCACATTTAATTTGCATGCTTAAAAAGATAAAATATTTTTATTGCCCTTTAAAATAAATTAGCAATGCAAATTATTAACTCTTCATTAACAGTTCTAATGACTATTAATAAGTGGTTAATAGTTTTGAAATGAGTGTACAGAATGACACCTGCACATAGATTTATCAATTCGTTATCTTTTCGAACCACTCATGTTCAGCTCTATGGAAAAAGGTTGATGTATTCCTACCTATCGGTGGTTCCCTATAATAATGTTTACTCCTGATATGTATGTATGCACGAAAATAGGTGATTCACTCAACAGCCCCTAAATCATTACATTTCTTTGAGAAAACCAGAGCTTGTAAATAAAATATTTGATAATTTAAACAAAACGAAACTATTTTTCTTGTTTATTTGGTTTAATTGGCAGCAAACAATCTAATTTTTTTTCCTTGGATTTCCAGGTTGCCTGCACGAACTGGAAACGGGTGCTGATGATGCTCACGGACAAGTGGCACAACGGTACCGATCCTCTGCAGATCCCGGGATCTTTGGCTCACTCGGTGGGGATGTTCACCAAGCTGTACGATCTAACTGAAGCCGAGCAGCAAGAGGTTCTCAGTGAGGAGTATACGCGGTTTATCTTGGTGCGACATCCCCTTGAACGGCTTCTCTCCGCTTATAGAAATAAGTTGGAGGGGGATTCCCCCAGTGCCCGGTACTTCCAGTCGCGAGTGGGTCGGCAGATTGTGAAAGAACTGCGACCGGGAGCCAGTAACGCTTCACTGGAGCACGGTGACGATGTTACCTTTAAAGAATTTATCCAATATCTGGTAACTCCCGAGCTAAGTCGAGCCAATCAGACGGATTACAACGAGCACTGGGAGGTTATAGCCACGCTATGCAATCCCTGTGTGATGAAATACAACGTAGTGGGTGAGTTTAAATGTCGGCCAACTAAGAAACCAATGATTAACATGTTGTTTTTTCTCCAGGCAAATATGACACTCTGCTGGACGATTCCGCATTGGCTTTGTACTTGGCTGGAGCCAACAATCTAACATTCCCCACTGGCCATAAACCATCGAGCACGCGGGCCAATCTGCGCAACTATTTTGATCCCCTACCCATCGGTGCCATACGCCAGTTGTACGAAATCTATGAGGAGGACTTCCGTCTCTTCGACTATGCATTGGATGAGGTTCTAGGTTTTGAGTTCGGCTGATTGTAAATCTCGCTCTCTCTATATTTCCAAGTCACCACCATAACGCTTTCCACTGGAAAAGATTGTGATTTTAGGCTAGGATTCGTAGAATTTAGTGCACTCCAATGCGAATATTAGTTTAATTAATTATGTATACCTCCCCGCGCACAAATGTTTCCAAGGGTTTATTTTGTTTGACTTTTTAATGTTTGTTTGTCTAGCACTTAAATAATTTTAGAAACTTCAAGCGTCATTCAAATAGGAATTACCTAATATTAGTTACTTAGTATTTAACTTGTATATTATTGATCAAATATAGCATAAACATATTAAATGTGCTCAAACTGCCAATTTAATAACCTTATTAAGTCCTGTTATAAAAATTGAACTTTAGTGATAAATCTTAAACAAATTGGGTTTAATCTAAGCAGTCAGGGTTAAGCAACTTTCATATTAAAATTTTAAATGCACATCCGGTAAGTCTATATTTGAATGTGAAGTGGGTAGAAGTAAAAGGCATGCACGTTTTCATACAAATCATTCAACCCAATAATCAAAAATAAAAGAGTTTCCTGCCAAATATTCATCAGGCTCTACAGTATCTATTCCATATCTGAAAAAAAGGTTTAGCTTAAAATAATGTATAACATTTTTCGTTGATTTTTTTCGTTAGCGTAAACTTGTAAATCAAGCAAAGAGAATTGATTTTTAAAGATCTTATCAATCAAGCGAATTGTGTTTTAATTGATCAATGTAGCTTAAATTGATATACAAATTGTGTCGTTGATAGCGTGAGTATGAAATTGTAACTTTGAGGTAAATAAAAACGAAAAATAGTAAAAAGTCTTAAATGATCAAATAATCAATATATAATAATATTTCTTGTACCAATTTAAAAGCTAGCTAAGAAAATATAACGAAATTATATTATTCTGGGAATTAATTGTTTATTCAGCAGACATAAAATTTATATTTTTTAAAATACCTACAAATTAGCTTGCTTACATAGAATCCAATCATCGGTTGAAATAAATTTTGTATAGCCAAACTGCCAGGCGGTATCCCTTAGTCGGGAGACTCCAGAGACCATACCAGACAAAGCCTACGTCAATACAAAAATTACCAAGAGCTTATCATGTAAAAATCGAGAACTATTTCCAATGAGAATGCATTTTTTGCATTGACATTCCTGCTTTGTGTTATCAGTAGAAACAGTGATAAGGTAGCATTGAATAGAGAATAGTACTAAATCTCCCTTTGATTGCATAGAAGCTTTTACGTTTTCGTCAGCGCGAAATAAAAAGCTTAATCAACTCGTCGGCGTCGGAGGTTGTTTATCACCAAGACATGGACAATAAGTGGTAAGCGTGTGCTATATATATAGGGGGCGACCCATGATCAGCGGTCAGACGAATTTAAATACGCAATATTGCCTATAAGCAACGGCAAAACGGCGCCCAACGCATTCAGGGAATGTTGGCAGACGTGGCGAATATCTGATAGATACTTTTATCACAGCGACATATCCGAAACAAGCCGAGATAAACAAGCACCTGCCAGGCCCCCTTCCGGCGGAATCGAGGCAAGGTCACAGAAAGAAAGTAATGATCCATTTGCTAAATCAAATTGAAGGATATCATACAAAAACCGATCATATGTTGTTAAAACGGACTAGATATTTTAATATCTTAAAATTTGTTGTATTTTATACATAGTCCAATCAAATTTTAAGTTCCTAAATATTTTAGTGACTTCTTAATTTTTTTTGCAAATCTTTAGATTTGTATTTTTTTCTTTCCTTGCCTCTCACTTAACTTCGTTTTGGTTAGATTGGTTTATTCAATGACTGCTTCGTTTATTATATACGTCCGTTTTTCGTTTTTTTTTTTTTTGCTGTCTCAATAACAAACTTTAAGTTAGACATTGACAAGACATTCGAAATTATTATTGTGTGATTTTTGCGTGTGTTTCTTGGGTTGAGTTTGCTTTGGCCGAACAATATGTATAAATGTACGTTGTATTTTTGTGTGCGACAAGCAAGGCAATACGTATCATATTCTCACGATCCCCTCTTTCGCACTCCCCGGTCATCAGTCCTTGAATTTTCGCAACGATTTCCGCATCGCAGCCACTCCTCCTTTTCGTTCCGCCCGCTTAGTCATTGTAGCTGTAGCGCTGCTTTACACTCCTGTATTTCTTCAAGGAGTACAGGGCCTCCACTTCCTTGGCCAGATAGCGTCCTTGGGCCAGCAGGGCCACGATCTTCTTGGGATCCTGCTCATCCTTGTGGTTCATGAAGGCATCGTGTATCTGCTTCCTGAACTTCTCCGGCCCATTCAGGCCGGGATATTCGCGGCCCAAATACTGCAACTGCAAGTGTTTACGCAATGTTAAGTGGGGTTGGTCTCATAATTTATTTTTGGGTGGGGGGTGCACGTGCCACCCGGAATAAAAAAACTCCAGAACTTACGTGCTTGTAGAGGGTAATGACTTTCGAGCGCAGCTGTGACATCACCAGTGGTCAACGAGATTGGTTTGTTTGTTAAATGCAAGGTATCAACTAATTTGCAGCGGTTTTTTTCAGCTTTCGAAGAGATTATTCCAAGCGAAGTGAATCACACGGCTGTTTGAAACTAAAGGTGGACTTTATGGTTTTTCGGTACTATCGATTGTCGTGGCAAATCAGCTGTTGCTATTTTTGAATTTATCGAATATACGAGGAATATCGATAGGGTTTGCCATCTTCAAGACCACATTTACTGCATATTAAATCGGGTCTTCGAGACTGGGGGTTTTTGATGTTTAATATTGGTTAAATATAGCGTATTTTACATTTGTTTTCGCATCTTATATAAATTGTGAATGTAAATTTCTTAAATATTATCTGCCCTAACATATTTATTCTAGCCCAAGTTCTCTACTAGGAAAATAACATGCTTTAATCTCGCCGATATCTCTGGAACCACTCGTCTTTTCCGAGAGGGGGTTTATCAGCCGTTGTAAATTAATTAAAATAAAAATCTAACACAGAGAACCAATATATGCACAATTTATAACCATTTTCTTTATTCTTCGAAAATTCTCGTCACGAGAGCATCTCAAATGCATTTTCTAAAGCCTAGTATCCAGATCGACAAACGAGTATGCTAGCGTAAAAACTTTAATCTTTCCAGTGTGACCAAAATTTCGAGAGTTCATCGGACTTAAGCGTGCTACGGTCGTACTGTCAATCAGCTGGGTTTGTTGACAAGCAGTTAAAATTCAAATATCGCATTTGCGGGAAAGAGCCTTTAAAAGATATTATCAAATACCTTGGCAAGACAAGTCTGCCGGTGTACAAAGAAATTAAAAAACAATACAATTTAAATTTAACAGTTGTTTTTTTTAATTTACTGATAATTATTTGCTAATTAAAAGTTCATAGCTGCACTTTTGTTGTGTTAAATGTACATTCTGGACCTAAAAAACATTTTGCTCTGACAAGAGGCACCCCAGATAGTATTAATGTTATTTTGTCCTCACATGTAAACACCTGCAATCGACTTTTGTGAGTTTTTTGAGTTTTTCCCTCCATTTCTTATAATGTTCACTGAGAAGCGCACGCCAAAAGATTAAATTTTTTAATCTTTTCCGCTAGGGTTCACTCAAAGTTATTTTCCGCAGACTGGCAACGCTATGGAATTTTCTGGTATTTTTTTCGTAGATCAGGAGACCGACGTGAAAAAAGGCCCGACGAAAAGTGAACGCCAGCTATTTGCCTCTCGCTCTCTCTCATGACTGGCGTACGGTTTACGTCGAAGTGGATACTAGGCTTAACATCGCACACGGCTTGGTGCTGCCAGACCGCTGAAATCAGCTACCTGTGTATCCCTGGTCGGTCAGCTGTGTGCAAAGAAGAAGAACGATGGGAGTGTTTTCGTTCGAAGCAAAATTATTTTTATTATTTTCGCGATAAACAGCAAGCCGTTAACGAGCAAATCTAGCTTAAAACGCGACCGAGTAGTTGCAACTCTTGCTGTGATAAAAGGCAGAACGATGCCTCAATGAAAAAGCGTGAAAAAGCAAAACGAAAATTGAGACACCCGCGACCTCCGATACAAAGTGGGAAAAATCGAACCTGTATTGTATGCGTGTGTGTTTAGTCGTAGTGTGTGTAGAATAGTAAATTTAATTTAAAATTTAAAGCTGGATGTGGAAATGCAATCCATAATATGTATATAGCCAGCGATCGGTGAGAATATGAGTGCGGCAATGAGTAATCGATAATCGCGAGTGCGAAACTTGAGTAGCAGCACGAACAACAACAACTGCAGCAGCAGGAACACCTAATCCGCCCCGCCCCGCCCACACACACACACACACAGTAGCAGCGATGGAGGCGTTGGAAGTGGAGGACACCAGCGATGACAGCCTTCCCATGGGATTCCCAGAAGTGGGCACCTGGAACAGCACCCACAATGTCTCCCTGAACGACATGAATCTGGATGCGCGCATGGTGAGAATACGCTTTAATATAAAATGTGATACTTTAATACACACACCATGAGGGCATATAATTCGATTAATACGCCTGGTATGCCCGTGAATCAACCGACAAATGGCTTTATCTCCCCGCTTAATGGTCAAAGGGAGAAGCAGAAAGCTTATCAATCAGCGGTATTTGGTCATTGACACACACTGCCTTGTCGTTCCCATTTTGCCTCATTTGCTCCCCCCGGTCACTGATAAGACTACTAAATTCTAGGCTGATCTATAGCTTATTCAGCTGAAAACAAACTAAGTGCTTTCATTCACTGATACTTCCTTTCCAGATTTTTAAAGTCTATTTACATTCTTTATTGCACAATGTATGTTTGATAGTAATAAAAACAATGGTTATCTGTATTTTTCAAAATTGCTACAAAAAAATATAAAATCCATCGCAAACGGATGTATCCGTGTCTGAGTTAAGCATAATTATAACAAAAATATTTTGTACATTTATTTTGACCTCCAAATCCCATTTTGCTCTTATAATCCAAACACACTAAGTTTTAATTGTTGACCAAAAAATCTAAATGCTTATTTCTTTATTAATAAAATGTTAATTAGGGTTAATTACTTAATCTTAGCAATGTGTTTTAATTTCCATTTCAAAATATATTAAAGTATATATGCTACTATTAAAACGAATTAATGTCGCTAATAAGGGTCTGTCCATATAATACGAGCTTAATGTAATTAGGGGAGTCCAATTTTGTACTTTAATAATCCGAACACACAAAGTTTTAATTGTTGACCATTAAAACACAAATAACAAATTACGAATCTAAATGCTTATTTCTGTATTAATAAGAGGTTAATTAGTGTAAATTACTTAATCTTAGCATTGTGTTATTAGTTATATTCAAAAATATATTATAAAATTATATTTACCATAAAGTAAAGAATTTACATATGCTTCTATTAAAACGAATGAATCTCGCTAACAATACATTGTATATACATTAGGGCAGACCAAATTTGTAAGAACATTTTAAGATCGCTGTCCGCTTATTCTATCAGCTTTTTTGTCTTTCAAAATCATAAACAAAAAAACAATGTTTTTAAAGAAATTTCTTAGTTTTTGAACAAATAACAATATTTATTCCAGATTTAATAACCAAAATTTTTGTTTTATATAAATATTTTGTATTTCTTCTTGCTAGTTGCTAAATCTTTATCGACAGCTGGCCATGCTTACAAAGTAATCTTGTTTACTTATTTGCCTTCACTTTTAAGAAGTATGAATTACTAGGAGCATATCAGCTATTTAATAAATAACAATACTAAAAAATTCTACCATCCATTTCTTAAATTAACAACTTTTTTTAATAAAAGGTTTTACGCTGATAGTATACCGAACGAAATTGTTGATTAGTAAACCTAGCCTTGCCATTCAAAATTATTTTGTGTTTATGTTTAGATTCTTTCGAAAACTCGTACCTTTCAGTCTATTTTCCATTATAAACGGTTTATTTATTGGATCTTCGATGTCCAACGTTCATTGCAATTTCACAATCGCTGGTAGACAATACATTAATAAGGCAATCATAATAAAGATCCAGGGCACTTGAGAAGCATCGAACACGAACAAAGTACCAGAATCGCATAGGCAGACAGGAAAGCTGTCAGTTAATCGGAGCTCCAAATCAGTTACGAACTTTACATTGTTTTTATCACACAATCGTCCCATAAAATCTTCAAAATTTTCATAATTCGCCAAGATATTGGTCAGCATCCAAAAGGAATACGAATACTTAAAGAATCGTGTTACCGGCCTAAATCTTCCAAATCTGATTAAAAATCCTGGACGAAGGCGAGAAATGCAACCGTTGCGATTAGTGATCCAGTGCCTGGTGACGCGCCAGGCCCAGATGATGACCCAAATGCGCCGGGCCAGCGGGAGCAGCAGCTTTCCGGAGCTGGTCTTCCCGGACGATCAGGACATCGAGCCGGACGATGAGCAGGGCGATCTGGAACCGCAGTATCCGATTCTGCACAGCCGCCACACCGATCTCTTCTACATGCCGCACTGCGTTGGTCCGGCGTACCAGGGGCTCATCTCTTCGGTGGATCAGCCATATGCCACCGCCTACTATCCGGCGGACTCGCAGGCGCTGGTCAAGGGGAGTGATAACGTCCTGGGGTCTGTGATCTCACCGTCCGACATGTTTGTGGTGGCTTGCCCCAAACTTCTGGTGGAATACATGCGTCGCCTCTTCCAGCATCCGTACTCCGGTTTTGGCAGTTCGATGAACTTCAGCATGATTGGCTTGCGGTTCCAGGACGTGGATGCCGACAATGCCCTCCGCTCCTTTGTGCTTATGGCCAGTCACAATTCGCGTGAGATTATGCACAACGGCTACTGGGCGGACTTTGTCAATCCGCTGACTGGCCGCGCCCACTTCCGGGCCGCCCACTCCAGCCGGAAGAAGTGCCAGGAGGCCCAGCTCCTCTGCCGCGGGCTGACTTTTACCAATGCCAATGGCTGCACCTTGATCGAGGAGGAGGAGCAGAGCGATCAGTTCACCGGATGCATCTTCACGGATACACCCTGCAAGGTCCTGGAGTCGTGGTGCTCGTAGATGGTCATGAGATCTCCGCCAGGCTGCTCAATTCCATGTCTCTGATTGTGTACGCATTAAAGTCCAGTTGAGAAATCATGTTCCCAACCTGACGAGGCAAATTTCCAAAAATTTTACCTAGTACATTTTGGTCATTTTATTTTCGATAAAGTTTATAGCGATCCTGTAAAGTAAATTTAAATTTAAATTTGATGTTATTTATTTTACTAAACACAATTGATCAAATGTCTGTTGGATTGGTTTTTCATCTCGCATTAAGGATAATGAGTGAATAAGACCAGTAGCCGAACTTCTTGAGGATTTATTATCATATTGTTTTATAAATTTGGAAATATATTTAGAAGATAACAGAATGCCTTTGTGTTTATTGCTTTGTGATGGGTGAAAAGTAATCTTTTAAATTGTTAAATTTGCTCTTTGATCCCTTGAAAGTCGACAATTATTGTAGCACTTAAGCAATGATTAAGTAAATGGACGTGCTTATAGTTAAGAAAATAATGAAATAAAATATTGTATATTAGTTTTTTACGGCATATAATTCTGAAAGGTTTTCAAAAACAAAAACCAGTTTGTAATTGATTGCATATATATGTACATAAAGATAATGATTATTAGTTACGTTAATGCATTAAGTCGGTACTGAAATTAATATAGAAACATCTTGAATTTGTATAACATAGCAGCTGTTACAAATTGAAATATGTTACAAAAATAGCTATAGCAAAATAACTTTTATACTTAAAGGGTCGAAGATGTCTCCTTCGCTGCGTGACTGAAATTATAATACATTCTATAATACATTCTGCAAGGGAATAAGATTTTTAAATTTAGCTGATTAGGGTTTAATCCGCTTAATTCTTGAGACTTAATCGGATACATCCCTTTTCAGATATGGTTGCTCGCGTCGCTGCTAACTACGATTACCTGGGTGACGTATATCACATTCTACAATTCCCGTGTGATTGGGATGCTGATCACAAAAATCGCCAACCGATGGTTCATCAAAGGCGCGTACTTTAAGATTGGTTCGGTGGCCCTAAATCCGCTGGCTGGGAAGATAATGTTTAGAGATTTCGTGTATATCACTTACGACTACACTGTGCGGGCACAGGACGGATACTTCATATTCCGATGGTGGCGCTCTTATGTGCCCAAGGATGTCTCAGAGGGTGAGTTGGAAATTCAAGTTAATAAATATTAAAAAAATTTCTTAATTATTGAATTATTTTTTATAGATCTTTCGCACTCGGACACGCGACTCTCTGTGCAACTAAATGGCTACGAGCTGCACATATACAACAGATCCGATTTGTACGACACGCTGGAGAAAACCTTCGGATTGGAGCCCTCGCTACTCATACCAACGGATGTGGTGAGCAATGAGGAGAGAAACAAGCTGAAGGAACACCACATGAACCTGGAAAATGCGCGGCAAAGCCAGAGGATTCAAAATGTGAAAAACTCGGAAGCTATGCAGGCCACCACTTGGCGGGATTTAATCCCAGTGATAAAAATCGACGTTTGCTCTGGGCGTTTTGTCTTTGGTAATCGACTGACACCGACTACTCTCTCGATTTCTGTGGAGGAGGCCCACTGCACCTACAGTACCAAGCCTGCTGTCTGTAGATTGGATCACTTTATGCACTTTGTGAAGGCCAAAGTCGAGAATGCCAAAGTGCTCTTTTGTCCGAGTCCCAAATACACTGGTTTAATTGATGAACCACCTCGATATATGGGCGAAGGATTTGTGGTGATGATGTCCAACCAAATGGATTTGTATTTTTACATGGATGAACCAGGCGTTGTGCCAGAGCAGCCAGTACAGATTGTCCTGCCCAACGGCGATGTGGTGGAGCCTTCTCCTCCAGTTTGGGGCATCAATGCAAGGTGCCTCAAAGGCACGGATTTTAGCTACGGACCCTGGGCAGATCGGCAAAGAGATCACCTGTACAGGTACTTTTACCCTTCGGATTGGAAGGAGGCGGAAGTTACTCCCACTCCTCAGCCCGGAGAACTGCGCAGCTATCAATCCTTTGATGTGACCTTATGCGTGCTTAATGAAGCCACCATAGACATCCTGTTTTCCAAAGAAAAAGAGACAAACGCAATGCATATAACTGTGGGACCTGCTTCATATGTAGAGGTTACAATTCCCTGGGTTACTCATCCCGATGGTTATACTTCCAAGATCCAGGGACAGCTCTTCCACGTGGAGGCGACCACTTCCCTACAGTATCGCAGTCTGGCAGAGTTTGAATCCCTTGAGTACAAAGTGCGAATCCACTATCCCACCAAGTGGAATGCACCACAGGACTGGAGTATCTCACTTTCCGGCTGCAAGACGAGTGCTTTCATTGTGTACAAGCACAAGTGCTTCTTCCAGGACCTCATCGAAGATTGGGCCAATAAAGCCAGGCCGGATATACTCAGTTTTGTTCCATATACCTGCAACTTTAGCATCCGGCTGCACGAGTTTGAGATACTAATGCTGTGCAACGAGTACAACTGGATCGATTGCAGTAGTGCCAACCAAGAGAACAATCATTTGGCCTTCTGTGGAGATGTCTTTGAGATGAGTTTCGCCCTGCCTTTTGATGATTTCCTACCGAAGACGGTTACCCTAAAGTTCTGGATCCACGGTGAGGGCTTGGACTTGAGCCTGTACGTACCGGAAGTTTCCTCGGTGCGTCCTATTGTTTTAGCCATAGATGAGAACGCAAGACTGCTGACCAGGGAGGGCAAGTTAATCCGACGCCCGGAGTTGTACTCGAAGAAGTGGCGCAAGATTTGCCAGCGCTCTGCCGGTTGGATCGACTGCTGGGCAGTTCCTATTTTGGCGCTGTCCATACAGTATGTTTATCATCCGGTTCCTCCGTTAGGGCCAGATCCTCAAGCGGATATCACAACGCCGGAGAAGGAGGAAATCCTACTGAGTCCTATGCGGATACCAAAAGTGAGGAAATCACCCGTGAGCACCTGGCAGCAACCACCCGAGCAGTATAGTAAGTTTGATCCCGGAACATTGGCAGCGGATCATGTTACTGTGGAACTGGAAATTGGTAGTTCCGTTCTTATGGCCTATGGAAATGTGCTCCGCAACTTTATCAATCTCAAGGAGAATATTTTCGGCGAGGATCAGAACTTTACCGATATGGAACAGTCGAATGTAAATATGAAGGAGCCCGGAGCTGCACCGCTTAATCCCAAAGATCAACTGTTGGCCAAAGAAAAAGAACTGGCCAACAAATCCATTTCGGAGACTCAAGCGCCCGAGGAGAAGCGCAAACCCTTTGATCCCCGTCTGTATCGCCCACTGGAGGTGATGGTATCTGTGATTGTTCATGACATTCAGGCGCATGTGATGAAAAACTGCAATGAAGACGATCCGCCGTGTCCGGTGGTGCTGATTGAGAGATTTGGCTTCGAGATGAACAAGAAATATCATGAAACCACTTTGCAGGTGCTAGTGAGTCCATCGTATTTACTGACCTCGGATTGCCTGCAGCGTTCGCAGCGAGAGAAGCACATCAATCAGGGTCACCTGATGCTCTCAGCAGTCCAGGTGAGAGGTCATGCCATGTTCAGCAATGAAGGCTGTGCTCTGGACGAGGATACGTTGGAGTTTAGCTGGCTAGTGGAAGTTCAGCTGGGCAAACTTACTGGAAAACTAACCCTGCCACAACTAGTGAATGTGGTCACCGGCTTGGAGACACTTATCCTCCTGGCCATTGACCCTGAAAACTGTCTGAAGTCACCTAAAACAGTAAGAAACTGCCATCACGGAGTGCCCAGCAATTTATGTCCCCAAACCAAGGAGGAGAAGAAGTACAAGTGCCCCACCTCCGAGGACATAAAATACAAAATGACGAGAGTTTCGGTGGATGCAGTGGATGTCTACCTGATAGAGAGTGGGACTGCTTTGCACGCTTGGATCTCGCCCATCCGTTTGGCCAATTGCAATCTTCACGGCAAGCGGGTTAAGTCGGGTATCTCTGGCTTGCTGCCCTCTATTCTGCTACGCTTATTTATGCTGCACACCACGAATTCATCTTTCAACACCAATACCACGGGCAGCAATCGATCAGGTAAACTAAGGCGTGCGGACCAAGATTCTTTGAAATCTCAAGATGCTGGAGGATCACACTATGGCACCCATGGAAAGGCAGGGAAGCGCAGCTCGAACTCCTTTTCACGACGAGATTCTAGAGAGGAGGCGACACGAAAACTTAGAGATAGCTTTTCGGAGACACATGCTAAGCGAACACCGGAGACATCAGAGCTTTGCGAAAATTGGGTCGAGGTTGGCTGCACTTCGCTGGGACCCATTTTGCTGGAAGGAGCTTCCGCCCTGCCCATTCCAGATCACGAACTGCATCTCGTGCAGCACAAGTAAGACTGAAAATCGTATAGCAAACTAAATGTATTATTTGATTTAAAAACTGAAATGTTTTACTCTTCAGTTTTCTACGTGAGCACGATGCCAAATTCAAGCGGCTTTGGTTTCTTTGGTCCCATAATGGAAGTGCCCTGTCTTCCGGCAGTGAGATCTCTCGTTGTGGTTGCATCGGTGGATGTGTCTTCTTTGGAAGCAATAGAAATGGTCAGAAATTCTTCAAACCGACGGCACAGGATGTACATGACAACTATAACATTGCGCGATACTTGTGAGTCTCAAATATTGAATTTTCCTAGACACATAAATTTTGGAGGTCTATTTTTACTTCTTCTTAATGTTATGTTTAAATTACTATTTTTACATAAATAATATAATTTTTTTAACTGCGCAGCCATGAGTCAATCTTGTTATCAGCGGCGATACCGGTTTGAATTCCAATCGGTTGGAATGGCAGTAATTAATGTGTCAAAGCGAAGTGCTATCAGTTTTTCTTGTCATTTGCGATTAGCGAAATTACCTATCAAATTTGAATTATAATTATTAAAGAACTCACAATCAACAATTATTTTATTATTATAAAATGTATGTTTACTTTTGTAATTGTTTAAATAAATCTAATGAAATAAAATTCTTATTACAGCATTATCAACAACAACAGGGACTTCGGTTTCGGCGAGAGCATTCTCCACCAGGGACAACTAGTCTTCCACACCCCGCCCTACAGTCTCCATTGCGTTTCGTTGTACGACACAGCGGACTTTAATGGCAAAGGCCGTCTGTACAGGCCGACCGGAGATCAGCGCAACGGAAGTCTCAAAAAGACGGATCTTTGCTCTTTGCCCGATGGGACAAAGTTTAAGATCGGTGCGTGCGGAACGGCCGGCGTTGAGAAACCGGAGCCCAATTGTCGTAACAAATCCCGAGAGAGCATCGGATCGCCAAATACTTTGGAACGGAGGAGCAAACGGTACCCTTGCACAAGGCAGACTTCCGTCGAGGTACCCTACGCTCGCCTACTGGATAGTCCCTCCAAGAAGCTTCAGCTGCAGCATGAAGCGTCTGCCGGCGAAATAGGAATCGGTCATCGCCGAGGATCGGATTCCAACAGATTGCGGGTGTCACCACCCAAGACGAGCATATCCGACTCCAGGCTAACTGGCGAAGTCCAGGATGTTGAGCATGAGGTGCGTTTCAGCTTTGATAATTTGTATTTATACTTAACTAATTTTTTTTCTGTGTTTCTCTGCAGATACCAGACGAAATGTCACACTCGGCACCTCATTCACATCCCCTGGAGTTCGAGATTGCAGATATTGTTCAGGCATTCGGAGGAGATAACCTCCCTCGCGAGGTGCAGCGCACCATTTCGCTGACATCGGAGAATCCCTCGGAGATGTTCTTCTCCGCCGAAGAGGACATATCGAATGTGATGTCACAGCGAGGGTCCATGAAGCAGCGAAATAGTGCAAACAGTGGGTCAGTGGTGCTGTCTGGAAAGAAACGGTTCTTATCGGATCTAAGGTTAATATATGCACATTATTCTTAACTTCAAATTATCCAAATAAACCCTTTTGTCTTTATACCTAGCATTGGCGCCCAAAACGACAATGGAAGCCATACATTGCCTACTTATCGCAGCGATCTGGAGATCCATGCTCCCGATGGCAACAAAACTCTTCCAAAACGCCCGCAGAGCACCACAGAACTGGTAAAGCTAAAAATCAAATACGTAAAACCTTGCTAGGTCGATTTACTCAGAAATCTATGTACACCAAGCGCGATTAGCTTTGCTGCTTTGAAGCCAAGTTTATATTTTACTATGATTCTCACTAAATCCAATATCACCCAAGTATTAATCAAAGCGGCAATAAGAACCCATTTCGAAAAATTATTCGATTCGAGTCTATTTCAGTGCATGCTTCGCTCTTTAAACATAAGTCTGTCTATCCAATTACAATATACATATATATTATTAATAACTTTCAAGCAACGATTTCTCATTGTCCGATTATAATTAAAGACATTCAAATCAGACACTGAGAGACCGTTTCTAATTCTGTAAAGCTGTATACCACTCCTAAAATGTATTCCTCTCCTTAAACTCGACTCATCTTAAATCGAAAACAAAAATCAATCAATGAACTAACCAAATCGATATAAAAACCAAATCCTAAATCAAAACTCATCCAGAACGAAGACGCTAGACGCATTCACGGTCTTGCCACACCAATAAGAAAAATAACAAATATCTCATCACGACCTGAGTACCGACATTTTGTTCATGATGTGAGTAGTTCTTAGTACCAACAACAAAAACCAACCAACCTCTTCTAACTAACAAGTAGAGCAACTTAACCGAAATTTGTATGCTAGTCAACTCTGGACAATCTCAATGTATCTGTAGATCTTTCTTACTTTGGTATTGGACGAAATTTCTGCAAATATTTTAAACCTGGTCTGGGGTTCGATATTTGCATGAACGTTTAACATTAGTGCATGTTTATTGTTTTTTAACTGGTATAGAGTTAGTTTAGGTTATTAATTCTGACACGAAGATCTGGCTTAAAATGCTTATAAAAATCATTCGATTTCGATTTTTTGGTCTTTTTTGGTTTAATAAATATAAGTTTTAAATTTGATGGCTATTTCAATATTATAAAATTATTTATAAATTAATATAAGTATTAAATTTAAACCCTCTTTCCATATTATAAAATTATTATATTGTTGCCAGCTAACATTTTTTAATTGGCTATTCATAAGATTAAATCCGACCAAAATCTTTGCTGCACTTCAACATTAACTTTTCTCACAATTTTCTGCTTGTGCCCTTTGATCTGGCTATTTTAGTTGTAGCAGCCGAAAAGAAAACCTTGCCATTGCCTATCCAAATTCACTCTAATACATTAAATCCCTGTTCATTCTACAGGCTGATTCCCGTGGCTCATCATCTGGCACTCCGTCACTGTCTTCCAACTCCTTCATATCGGCCATGTCGTCGCAGGAGGATGTGGCTCTAGTTAATCTGCACCAGCAGGTCAACAGACCAATCATCGATTCGCCTTTGCTGATGGCCAGCTACCTAAACCACCTGTCGCAGGTGAAGTGCTTTAACTGGAATGGATGCTCCTTTCCCCTGGGTCCAGATGTTTTCTCAACGCCCCTCTTCTCAGAAAACGAGGATGGTGGATTGACATATATTGGCAGTAAGATGCTTCCCCACTTTGATCTATATTCGTGTTGGCGGGAGATTAAAGTGGTTCCTCGATACGAGAACGCCACTGGCAGCAACAGCTCGGCCACATTTATGGGTGGACCTAAGTCGCATCCCTGGGATCCCAGTGTGCTGCTCAAGGAGGAGGAATCGGACAAGACCACCAATGGTTTTGATGATGGGGAGTTTATGAGCCTGCAGGCGGAAGGTGGAGCAGCCTGCACATCGGTGGTGGCCAGGCTTAAAGGCCAGCTGAATGTCTTCCTTACCCCGCTTTTACTGGAGGGATTGCAACGGTAAGTGATAATATGAAACAAAAATTACAAACAGTTTAAATCTTAAGGTCAACAAAATTGCCAGACATATACTAAAAAAGAGTAAAACTGGAATTTTTGCTTTTATCAGGGCGCACAAAAATATATGTACATAGTACATGAATCAAAGCGAGAAACATGGGGAATAACAAACACGCAGTTCTCGTATTTCTGGATTATCAATTTATGGTTGCTTATAAAATATACAAGGACAGAAATTAAAAATTGATTGTGACAAAACAAAATATAACTCAACTTCGCTTGATGCGCAAATGGGCGAGATTGGAATCCATTAGCCCTGCATTGGCATTGATCTGACCACCCTGATCTCGCGGGAATGAGTCCATCAGCTTCTTTATATATGTTTCTTTGGAATTCTAATTGCATACAAATATATATTCATTTAGGAGGTATGTGGTTACACACTTACCTCAGGGGCATCGTCAGTTTCTTTATTCTCTCGCTTGCTCCTCTTGAATTCTGATTCCAAATTTAAATCCTCCATGGGACTGCCCTCTTCCTCTTCCGCGAGTTTTTCCAGGTTTAACGCCTCGCTTTGGCTTCTATCTTCACGCAATCTACGTTCGCCACGATCGTTTTCACTTTGAATGCAGTCATTCTGCATTTGAATTAAATAGCGAGGGGGATCGCGCGCATTATTGGCAATAAAACTATTGTGCGAAATAGTTTACAAACATTTAAAGAAATGAAGAAATTAAAGGTAGATTACCTGTCGCTATCAAAGAGAGGTTCTTGTTGGGCCAGATCAGCGTTAAGTGGCTCATCCTTCATTAATGTCTGCTTTTTCTCATCTTCATTGTTCATTTGTTCTTCCATTTTATTTTCCGCTTCGGCCTGTTTTCTCTTTCGCTGGTCAATCATGGAGAGCTGTTGACGTTCGTTGGAATCAAGGGGAGCCGGTTGCTCAGCCAATGGTTCGCATTCCGCTTGCTTTGCTCTCTCTATATTAGTTGCCGATACTTTCTGGTCTCGGTATACCTGCTGTTCTCCTTGATTTCCATGATCCAAGGTTTCCTGATTTTCCTGTTCCAAGTTTAACTTTTGCTCTTGCTCAAAATTATACTGATTATCCAACTCCATGTTAGCCTGATTTTCCTTTTTAAAATTAGGCTGATTTACTAAATCCAAGGCGGCCTGTCGTTCCTGCTTAAAATTTGGCTGATTTTCCTGCTCCAAACTGACCTGATTTCTAAGTTCAAAGTTAGCTTGTTGCTCCTGCTCAAAGCTTGGCTGATAATCTTGATAAAAATTTACCTGATCTTCCTGTTTTAATTTGACTACATTTTCCTGCTCCAAATTATCGTTATTATCCACTTCCTTGTATTCGTGCCTCAAGTGTTCTTGAGGTTCCTGCATAACATTTTTGTGATTGTCTAATTTCAGGTCCCTCAAATTCGCTTCACAACTTTTCTTTATATTCGAGTGCTGTTGTTCTAAATTGATCTGATTTTCCTTCTCCAGGTTGGATTGATGTTCTTGGTCCAGCTGGGCCCGATTTTCTAAAACTAAATTAGCCTCTCGCACAAGTTTCGACTGACGATTCTGCTCCGAATTTGCTTGATTTTCAAGCTCAAAGTTAGACTGTTGCTCCAACTGGGAAGGTTGCTCCAATTTGACCTCCTGTTTGGGTGCCTTAGGAAAGTCAAAATTTAAAGCGTCATCGAGTGGTTCCCCCTGATCATTTAATGCGGGTATGGCCTCCTCGCCCAGCTGCTCTATTCCAGCTAGCTCTTTCCCCGGCACATATTCCTCCGAATCGGGATCTTCATCTTCTTGAAGATTGTTCTTATCCTCCTTTTTTCTGTCCCGCTTCATGGCGTGACACAGAAAATCATCTGCGTCGCATTCCAAGTCATCTTTAGGCTTCTTGCACTTCTTGTTTTTTGGCTTTGGACACTTTGTGGTATCAGAAATCAGATCATCTTCCATATAGCCACCTGATTTCGACTTGCAGTTATCGTTAGCTGGTTTAGTAATGCATTTTTGTGTGGTTTTAGGCGCGCAAGTGGTTTTCTTAGGGCAGCGCTTGGTGGACTGGCAATTGGGTCGTTTGGTACACTGATTTGACTTGGTCTCATCTAAGTCATCCTCATCCCGGCAGCCATCATCGAGAGCTACATCCAAAGATTGGTAGTCCTGCTTCTGCTTAAGGTCCTTCGCTTGCCTACTCTGGGTTCTTAGACTCGCTTGCTTTTAAAGTTTACAGCCAGTGAAAATGGAAGATAATCTACTTTGATTACTTACCGTCTGAGTCCACGTTTTCATCTTGACTGATGTGCTCGTCGAGGAGCTTATTTAATGAGTTTAAATCATCTAAGGTTAGATCTTCAAGGCTTTCCTGAACCTCTGCGTCGGTGAGGCCATTCGTTAGATCGGGATAATCGGCTGGATCAGATAAGTGAGCAGGTAGAGCACTGCGCTCTTGAGAGTCTACCTGGGATTGCAGTTCCATGAATAGCAGGCTGCACTAAAAATGCAATGCATTTACTCACCACAGGATAGGCCTCAAGAAAAAAAGGACTAGCACTGCATAATAACCAGATCACAAGCAGTAGCATTTTAGTTCCACAAAAAACTAGTTTGTAGTTGATTTGAGCAAATTTTCTAGGCCTTTAAGATACCATATACTTTTATCAGTCGGTGAAACCTCCGTCACTCCTAAATTTGTATAGCTATGAGGAATAACATTACAGATTTAAAAAATTACACTTTTTATTTTAATCTTTAAGGTAATCCTTCAACGATTACTTCGTCTACATCAAATTGTGTATCCTTCACAGGAACTAAACCGGTGGTCAACTTCGTAACAGAAAGTCCAAAGAATTCCCTTCGATTAGATTGCAACTTATTTAAAACCTTAGACCTAGTCCATATCTAAATTAACTCTTGGGCTTGGGGGCTATCTTTTTGGCCAGAGCAGTCTGTTGGTCGTTGCTCTTCTTTTTGGGCTTCTTGGCCTTCTTAATGCCGTCGACTTTCACGCCCCGATACTCAGACTTCTTCTTCTGACCAGTTCCTGCTGTGTTGGTTTCCTTTGCTGCCGTACCATTCTCCTTGCCCTTCTTCTTGTCCAGTCGCTTCTTAGCACCCGCCGAGTTCTGTTTCTTGGCCTTGGTCTTTGAGGATGTGCTGGATGCAGCTGATGCGGCAGCAGCGTCGCGTACTTGTTTGGCTCCCAGTTTCTTAACCTGATAGCGTTCTACATTTATGGGTCTGTCGTCCAGAAGGGTCTCATTCAGCTCCAGAGCCAAGCCTACGGCATCGGGTTTCTGGAAGCACACATAGGCCACGCCCTTGCAGCCTTTGTCGCCCTCCTGGAGGCAGCGAATGTAGTCAATCTCTCCGCAGCTGGAGAAGATCTCTCGCAGCTTCTCTTCGTTGGCCGCTGGAAGGGAAGATATCTTATATTAGCACTTAGTTTAGACAACTATATGTTTTTTGGCTTACAGTATTTCAAACTGCCCACGAAAATGGTGCGTTTGGCATCCGTGTCATTAGGCTGCTGGTCCTGTCCCTGTGCATATGATTCCGCCTTGGCTGCCGGTGTCACTCGCAGGTGATTCTCTTTGAATTCGGAGCCATTAAGTGCCAGCGCCTGTTTCGCAATCTCTGCGTTCTGTAGGACGACATACGCGTTGAGGGAGCCCGCTCCCTTGCGCTGTTTGTGCTTGAAGAGCTGCTTGCCACCGGCAGTTCGCAGGCGGATAGATTGGACCACTCCGTAGGGCTGGAAGAGCTTCACCAGCTGGACGCGCTTGGTGTTGATGGGCAGATTGCCCACAAACACGGTTGCTGCTTCGTCCGCGGGATTGCGTTCCCTCTTAACACCTTCTGAGGGTGGCAAATCAATGGGTTAATTTACTTAATGCAATTTTAAGTATTTGAATTGCGATGCAACTTACCTTCATTCTTGTTGTTGGCTTTGGCTTTCTTAGTCACTTTTGCTTTAGGATTTTCCTTGGCAGCGGACTTGGTTTCCGTTGTCTCCTTTTTAACGACCTTTCCCTCAACTTTAATTGGAGTTTCCGGTTCCTTCTTGACCTCTTTGGGGAGCTGTTTATTCTGCTGCTTCTTTAGCTTTTGGGCCTGCTTTTTAGCTTTCTTTTTCTCGATCTTGGCTAGGTCTATTTCCGACAACTTCTTGGGACTCTCCTGGACGGCGTTCTTTACCTCCTCCTTAGTCACTTTGACCACCTTCTTTTTGGGCTTGGATTTTCCCTTCTTGACCACTTTGCCCTCCTCCGCAACACCGGGCTCCTTCTTTATCGGCTTTAATTCAGCTTTTATAGATTCTTTGGGTTTTGGTGTTTTCATTTTGACTCGATGTTTTTTCACTTACACGTGTGGAACCGCAGTGTGACCGTTGAAGTATACCACGAAGACGCGTGAGAAGAATATACTGTTATATAGAAATATTAAATATACCAACAAAATACTGTTATATTAGATTTTAAATAATTCACTTAAACCGTCGTTACCTCTTTGTTCACTATTAAAATATTATTTATTTATTATGGTTAAAGATCGCCTTTAAAAAGTAAGGACATGTATTTATATTACGTATATAAATACATGTCCTTACTTTTTAAAGGATAAATAACATAACTTTTTTATTTTAAACAAAATTAATTAAAAAACATATTTTAAAATTAAAAATTAAAAGAATATATTAACTTTAAATTGATATTTAATCAATTCCTTTTCTCTTTTTATTGTATTTTTTAATATCCAGAATGGTGGAGGCCGCCGTACCAACAATCCAATCGATGCATCTGCTCTCGGTGGTGAACTTCATCCACACCTCTTGCATTGCCAAAGTGAATAACGACAACATTCTGAAGCGGGATCAGAGTCTTAGCTACTGGTCGCAGGTGCACTCTAACTCCAAGCGATCCACAACGGAAAGGCACCTTCAGGGACCCGGGGATTCGTTCCTCAGCGATGTCTACGAGGAGAGTATCTCGACTAAAACCCAGGGATTGATTGTGCTGCCCAGGGTCAGCATTACCATGCTGCAGTCATCTATTGTAGAGGAGGTCATCTCAGTGGCTGCGTTGGATAATGTGCAAGTAAGGATTTTTGGGAAGAAATCAAGTATAATAAATTTAAATCGGATTCATATCTTCTGAACAGGATCTGAGCTGCGTCTCTCTGCTCACCTTTTACATGGAGGGCATCTCCACAAAGTTTCACCTGGGCAAGACGACGCGGGCCTCAATGCACAACGTTTATATCCAGCAAACGGTCCAGTCGGGCAGCAGTAACAAAAAGGGTGGCATCATGAAGGGCACTCGTGCCCTCTTGGCTCATCTCTCATCGCAGACACGACCCGACAATGTCCAAGGAGAGCCCATTCTTATCGAGACATCAGAAAAGCAGTTGGAGGAGCTAGTGATCACACTGGATATTGGGAGAGCGCATGCTCAGCTGCGACGTCTGAAGACCGAGGGCCAATCCTGCGCCCAGGACTCGCCCATCATTGTCACTGCCATTCCAGAACACAAGAGCAAAGTGCTATTTGAGTGCCTGAAAATGCCGGAGAGCACGGGCATCGAAAGCATTGGCTATATTATGTTCGAGTGTGGCTTGGAGGGCGTGGGCGTGAAGATAGTGAAGCGTTCGCACTTCGAAAAGTCCGAGAACAGCAAGGAAGAGTTGGCCGAAATGGCGGGAGCTGGTGCAGCGGGTGTAACATCCACCGGAGGCTTCAATCTCAATGATCTGGTGGGGCAAGGCGACGGGGCAACTGCTTCCGGAGATGGCGGAGCCACTTCAAAGGCTGAGGCTGCCTGGAGATTGATAACCAAGAAGCCCCCCACTCCCAAAACTCCCAAGGAGAAGTTCCAACCTGCTTCAGACAGTAATATTGCAGCAGATAGCTCCTCTGCAGCTGAACAAAGAAAATCGACACCCAAACCCCCTGATGAAGATGTGGAAAAGGGAACTAGTACAGCACACATTCCGTCAGGAGCTCAGAAACCCACTGCAGGGACAGCAAACAACTCCAAGGATGACTACGACAAGGTTCTGTCCAATGTTAAAGAAACAGATAAGACTTCCTCCTGTGTGATCGAACTGAAAGCGGTTTGGTTTAACTTTGCTGCCCCACCTTGCGTGCCCATTACCCGCAAGATCGATCTGACCCGACTGGATTGGAATCTGCTGAGCACTGCCTCGCCGGCTATCACGGCATGGATGAATCCCAGCAATCGTCTGGCAATGAAGATCGTATCCCTAATGAAGGTTCTTCACACAAGGCAGACGGCAGTGGCTGCTTGTCTCATGGCGGAGGCCATGGATAACGAGAAGATCCAGAGAAATCCGAAGATCAAGAAGGTAACAAAAGAGGTATAAAGGTTTTTATACTTATGTTTGACTGAATACAGACCAGACTATTTGAAGATTTGATGTTAATACATATATTTTAATACCTCTGCAGAGTCGATATGCCAATAACTATACGCTGCTCTCTAAGACGCTGCAGGAGGATCCCAGTTGCCAACTGTGCTACATTATGCAGAAGTTGGTCCTGGACGAGGGTGTTCAGAGGATTGAGCCGATCTTTAAGCAACACGATGTTCCACATCTGAACACTTTACGACAGGTGAGTGAATACTCTACAAAATATATTCTAAAAGTAATTCGTTTGCCATCCCCTTGCAGGGCATCATTGTGCTGAGTCGACAGTGGAAGAATACTCTTTACAATCCCATTCTTTTCGAGCACCAGTACAAGAACAAGCTGGCCCGACCCATTAACGTGACCTTTTCGTTCCCGCAGAATGAGGAGGAGGCGGAAAACGATGAGTGCGAAGGTGATGTTGAAATGGGCGCCTTTGCGGGCGTCGGCGAGAATCCGGAAGAGAGTGAGAATGCATTATTACTTGGGCAAACACAGCATCATCGAACTCACATTGGTATTTTTTTAATTAACGCTCTCCTGTCCGCCGCCTGTGGCGGGTGGTTATCTCCTTTTAACCTAGTTATATGTATAGTTATAGACTCTCTATATTTTCTCCTTCCTGTTTGATGCACGTGTTGAATATTTGCTAACAAAGTTCACAGATTGTATCCGCGTGTGTATGTTGCTTTGATCTACCCTCTATTTTCCTGCTTTTCCTTTTCTCTCTGTAAATACTCTACCACACAATTATATCCACCGCTTTGAGTGTTCACCTCTTCATATTGTTTGATGCTTTGCGTTTGCATTATACTACAGAACAATACAACTCTTCTATCCTTTCTGGCTACTACTATATCTATACCTATGGAACCAAATTTATACTTAAGAACGTTGTACACTGAACGAAGAATGGAATGTAAAGAGTCTATTAAAGTCTACCTTCGATTTTCTAAAGATTTATGGTCATTTTCATTGAACTATTTCGTTCAGTGTACAACTTCCCAAGAAGAGTGCTTTCTGGAAGAGTGCTTGAGTAACTTTCTTAACTTTCCCTTATTTACGATTCTTCCCTGAATTTCCTCTATAGAAAACAATCAGTACGGGGGCGCATCATATGGTCATGAAACCGGAAACCATGGAACTGCCTCCCAGCGATCGACTTCCACATCGCCCAATATACACCACCCTCGGCGCGGGTAAGTTTTAAATTTTTGCCTGCTTATCCCCATCATCACATCTCATTAATGCTTGTGATTTGTTCTTCTCTTCAAAAACATTCGTGTGCATCAGCCTAAATAAAATGCACAGCAAAGCCTCGAATTATTCACATGGCAATTCATCTCGTTCCAGCATTCAGATGCTGCCCATTATTTCAGGGCTGGTGGAAAAGCAGGTTCCTGAATTCGGTATGTATATTTTATTATTCTTAAAGATTATATTTTAATTTTTTTCTTGGCTACAGAATACGGTGCCTTGCAAGAGGGTTCCTTGAGCTCTACCAATTCAGTGAATAAGTTTTGGCTGGGAGCCGAGAATCACAAAGAGGATTTATACTTTTGGATGGCCAAGCAGCAGGATAACAAGAAGAAGCACTTTGCCGAAAAAGAACACGCTCGCCCCGCTCCGCCGAAAATGCATGGACATTCAGGACAATCCCGCAGTGGCATTATGCAAGATTCCATCAAACTGCTGGATGCCCATCTGATTTTTGAACCACTGCTCACTTGTTTGGGTGTGATGCCCCAACAGATGATCAATAAGTTCTCCAATGCCGACATCTCATCGCTGGAAAACTTTGGCACCAATCTGTCCCTGATCGGAACTTTTGATTCCATTCGAGTGGACATTGTGGTCAGCGAGGCGGGTGACAAAAAGAACTCAGCCCAGAAACCAGCCAAACTGAACAAAAAGTCAAATGGTGGCAGGGCTTCCATAATGATGGATACTCCATTGTTCTTATGCGAGCGCGTTGGTGTGGAGTTGGAAGTTCTGAAAATGTCTGATGGCATGGTGGATCAGGCTCGACAAAATGTCATCTATATGTCGCGTCGCCAGCTGAAAAAGCACACAAGTACTGTGATCAATTTCAGCCTCAATGTGAGATTTATCTCGCAGCAGGTTAATATGCCGCTGCTGAGGCTGCTTCACCAAATCTGCAACATGTATCAGAATGTTAAAGACGCCCAGAATGAGTTCCACGACCAGCCTGAGCTAAGCAAAAAGAGCCAGACCAAAGATGAGTGCAGTTTGGGTAAGAATCGATATTGTATTGTTATTAAATCTTCGATACTCACTTTATTACATTTTCTATAAAACAGCATCCGAGCCTACGGACATCCTGCCTTTTAACTCGGTATCAGAACGCTTCGGGCATGGGGAGAATTACTCAGATGAACGATATGACAAATTTAACGAAACAATGCCAACCATGCTGGCAAGACCGCGTCCTGGAGGTGTAGCCCCCATCATTCAACTGACGCCGTCTCCAAATGCCAAGAACAGACCTCAAAGTTTCGCACAGAAGCTTCGATCGACTGGGAAATCAGTCAAAGGCAAGCTGGGCTACACGAATCTGAACGAGTCCAGCTCGTCACCTCTAAGAGATAGTCCTACCATATCCCTCCACGAACAGAACATCCTCAAAATGTCGACGGAGTCGAAGGCCTCGCTTAATGGAGCCTGTGCCACCAGCGTCAGCGGAGATTACCAGAACACTCTAACCAAGGCGGGAATGCCAACGATGGCTCCGATGTTGGATACACCCAACTGCTGGAAGACCATTTACCACTTGTTAGAGTTGTACGGCACAATGCCGGAAACCAAGACGGTGGTTCAAAGAAGCTCCATGAACGAACACAAGAGCAAGCCCGCGGGCTTCGCTCACGACGAGGATGACTTGGCCAGTGCTCCAACACCACTGCCTCAGCATCGCGAAATGCTGCTGGTGGATACACCCTCCAATGAGCGAACGCGTCTGATTGTATTTGGGGTGGCCAAGATCCACAAAACTCGGCTGCTGGCCACACTTTCTGGTCTCAAGCTGGAGTCGGAGATTACCACATTGAATAGCACAGCAACGTGGAGAAAGAAAGCTCGTCCTGTTTCCTTGGAGTGCTCTCTCACTGGCCAAGTGGGACGAGCCATGATTGTGCTGCTTGAAGGAGTGGCTCCCAGTCAACAGTAAGTTTTATTTTGGTTTTATTTTCTTCCCCCAATTATTTCTAATTCCTATTGTTATTTATTTCAGGACCGTGGTAAAAGTGACCGTGGGTAAAAGCCAGACCCTGTATTCGAGCCTTTCTAAGAGAGGAAAGGATAAAAACAGTGGCCTTCTCTCAATTGGGGCTGTTAATATAGACATCCCGCAACATCCGGTTGCTCTTCATGGAATGATGACTCGGAGCTCCAAGCAATTGTCGTCCACGCTGCAGGAGTTAAGAGTAAAGCGTAATTCTGGTCGGTCCACGATACGTTCGCATACGGCCGAGGAGCCAGAGTCCCCGTTCCATGCCCGCAACTCTGGAGGAGCAAGCAGCGGAACAGGGGTGGCCAGCGAAATGCGGGAGCGCACTGTTTCCGGCGGAGCAGGAGCCCAACAGCAGCCGCAGCAGTCGGCTCGCCGGGCTGCCCACTTGGCGCAATCGAGAACGGGGACGGCTCAGCACCAGAATGGATTGCTTCAGCCCCTTGTCATGCAGTTCAATGTGCTCCTGCAGAGTTTGTCCATCAATGCGGCTCTGCTTCCTTCGCTACAGGCCCAGTATCGCATGAACCACGTTAGCTCGATGGGAGTGACCGGTCAGAGGGCCAAGTTTGTCATTGATCTGCCCACGCATACGCTTAGCTTTAATACCAAGATTCAGGTGAGTTCTAAATATTTTTTTATTCTTTAATATTTTAATGTGAGAAATAATCAGTCAGACTGACTTTCATCACACAAATCAGTTAATTAAAAATATGAAGCTCTTTGTTTTTAGTTATGTAAAAGCAGTTTTAATAGTGTAGTAGTCTCAAGAAAAGAGTATATGACAGAATAATTAGATATGAATGACAAAAATAACAAGTATAAAATCAATTAAATTGGCTGAACTTCCTTCTTAAGCCAGAATAAGGTAAATTCGTCCCCTTCGCGAGACAAGATGGGTGAAAGGGTGTCCCAAACTTGCTGATGGTAGCTATTGAGCAGCTTTACTTCCACATCGGATAGAAGCTCTTTTTTGATCATTTTAGTTTGCTTCGGGCACATGGTGATAGTCTTGAAAGTCAGGGCGCCACGGTTTGCAAAATTGTTAGCAACTTGAGCTGGCACAATTTGAACAATGTCCTCGACACGTATGCCAAATTCTCCGTCCTGGTAGAAGCCAGGCTCATTGGAAATGAACATGTTCGCCTGGAGACCGGGATCATCGGGCATCAGACGAATTCCCACACCCATGGGACCTTCGTGGACATTCAAAAAGTGTCCCACTCCGTGGCCAGTGCCATGACCGTAATCCAATCCAACGTCCCAGAGGGCCTTCCTTGCCAGAGTGTCCAGAACCTGCCCCTTGACCTTAGCCGGGAATACGGTGGATCCAAAGCTGAGTTGGCCCTTCAAAACGCGAGTGTAGGCTTCCTTCTGGAATTCGGTGGGTTCGCCAAAGTGAAGGGTCCTCGTCACATCCGTGGTGCCATCCAAATATTGAGCCCCCGAATCGCACAGATAAATTTCCGTGTCGGTTATCTTCCTATTGGTTTCTTCCTTGGGATGATAATGGATAACAGAGCCATTGGGCCCTGAAGCACTGATTGTGGTGAAGCTGAGGCCCATGTACTTATCCTTACAAGCACGGAAGGATTCCAGCTTATCCGAACCAGATATCTCATCAACCTCCACACCATTTTTCACTTGATCTTCAAGCCAGGCGAAATACTGACACAGAGCGACTCCATCGCGAATGTGACTGTTGACGAAGCCCTCGATCTCCACATCGTTTTTAATGGACTTTAGCACACAGACGGGCGTCACCTCCTGAATTCTACGTGACTTGGGTATCAAGGCAGTCAGATAGTAGCTGCTGGTCGGTGCAATCCAGATCTTTGACTCCTTGGTCGACACGATTTTACTGATTTCCAAGCCAATTGAGGCGTAGGGCAATACAGTGATCTTTACATTGTTCTCCGTTTGATGCTGGGCAAAATCAGAGGGTAATTTGCCAGAGTCCACAAAGAGTAGCAGCTCATCGTTTGTCACAATCAAATAGGAGAAGAATACGGGGTTAAAGTCGATATCAGAGCCGCGAAGGTTCAAGAACCAAGCGATTTCATCGAGGGCACTGACCACCAGAGCATCCACATTCTTATCCTTTAGTTGCTTGCGAACCACCTCCCACTTTTTGGCGACAGTCACGCCGGAATGCTCCAGTTTCAGGGTGATAATCTTGTTGGAAGTCTGCGGGGGCTGATCCTGACCCCAGACCTCGTCGATGAGGTTGTTTTCAATGGGCACCAGCTGGCACTCCGCGGAGTTGAGCTCCGTTTCGATGGGCTTCCAGACGCGGAACGACAGTAGGCGAGGATCCACACCCACGGAGCTGCCTTTGGGCAGATTCTTGGCCAGCCAGGCGCCAATCGAGGGCGTGGTGGTCAGACCATCCTTCATCAGCACCCAATTAGAGTCGAGCTGTTTCTCCGCCTGCTGATAGTACCGTCCGTCGGTCCAGAGCAGGGCGGAGTCGGTGGTGATCACCGCTGTGCCCGCTGATCCGTCGAAGCCGCTGACAAAGGAGCGCCGCTCGTCATGCTTACACTGGTACTCCGACTGGTGGGCGTCGTCCGAGGGCACTATGTACGCCGCTATGCAACTGGCATCGCCCACCTGGGCCCGCAGCATCAGCTCCCTCAGCCTGGCCAGAATCTGGGTGGTACTCCTCTTCATCGTGACAGAAAAATAACTGGGGGAAATAACACAGAAACTCTAGTCAGCTTAAGTCGATAAGATAATCAAACGTAATCGCGTTCGCTCTCCCATAAATACATAAATAATCGGGCACATATAAGTGACAAACTCACAGCGACTGTCAAACTATTGTTTTAACTACAGGGTGCAATTTATTTTATGGCCGCCTCTTTTTAATCTTTTTGCAATGACACATTAAATTTTGCAACTAATCAAAAGGGGAAAATACTGGGCACACAACAATATGAATTCATATCGCCTTCCAGCTTTTAGTATTTTTTGCCTTCGTTCAAAAAAGGTAACACTAATAACTGTAGCGTTTTAAATTACGGCGCGAATTTTAAAAAAAAAATTTAATATTTATTATTAGCTATTAATACATATTTTGTTATGTGTTTATTAAAAAAATGTATATATAAATGTGGTCATTCAATTACAAAAGTGCATATAATCAAGGTGTTTAATTTTTCGAGGGCAAAACTTATTTATTCAATTTACATTAATCTATATAATTTATAAAGAAATTGTATTTACTGAAAAGCTTAAACTTTCTTAATAATCCCTTTCAGAACGAGATGAATCTGCCATCGGAAGCGTGTATTGGCCTGCCGCCTGTTCATGTTCTGGCGGAATATATTCCAGACCATCGACAGGATCACACTGAAAATGTGGAGGGCATCGTCTTGCGCCAAGGTGGCTACGTGAATGCCAGTGCCGAGATCGGGGAGTTCGAGCGCTGCCTGACCACAGACCTCCTGAACCATCTGGTCTTTGTGCAAAAGGTGTTTATGCGAGAAATCAACGAAGTGTTGCAGAAGGTTTACGGAGGCGAGAAACCCGTGCCCTTGTGGACAGAGGAGAGTGGCGATAGTTCCGGAACAGTGCAGGAGTCCTCACTTAAACGAATCCTATTCTCCATTAACATTTCGATGAAACGCATCCAACTGACGGCCACCACACCCTGTTCTTCAGCAGTTCGTTTTGAAACCGGGATCCTGGAGCTACAGCTCTCAAATCGTGTAAAGAACTTAGGGGACCTGAGCAACCGAAAGCTTTTCTTCAAGGCCCACATCGATTTCAATCTATCGCTGGGCCAGATCATAAGAAACGTGATCTTCGACGAGGCAGAGCCGGAGTTCCAACAGTACGCCTTCTTCCACACAACCATTAACTTGAGAAATGCCTTCCAAGACGAGCTGCTCAACGAGGATAAGGAGTTGATTCTGCTGACTCTTAAGAGACCGCTAGTCTACGTCCAGCCAATTGCCGTGGACAAGGCCATTCTCGTGTGGCTCAACTACAAAAATGCCTATGAGTACTGGGCGGAAAAGAGGGCAAATCTTTGCAATGAACACACACAGCACAGCCAGTTCGGCCAGTATGCGGCACAACATCAGAACCAAAATCCGCAGGTGTTTGATCGAGTTGCATTTGGCCAGATAGCAGGATCCAACCTGTCCACGCTTTTCCTACAGCTCACTGTGGAGGACATGGGCATCTGCCTTCCCCTCAAACAGGTTAACACCACGGTATGTAATGAGTTCAATTTATTATAAAGATATTTAAAGAAAATAAAAATTCGTTTGCAGACATTTGGTTCCCGTTCATATCAGGACTTTGATGCCAAGGGTGCTGTCGTGATCACTCTGGAGAACACAATCATCTCGGCCTGCAACTCGGGTGCTTTGGTGTCAAAGGGCAAGTTTCAGGGTCTGTGCCTGCGTTTTGCCGATGACTTTGAAACCAATCTGGATGACTGGAAACCCAATGGTGCCGAGCCCATCATGAACGTGTGCGTGGTGTCGGAGGGAACCTTCGAGGTCTGTTCCCGCACCACAGCTGCTAAAAAGGGTGAGAACGCCAAGTGGTTGCTGAATGTCAAATGGCAAATGGAGGGCGTAGACATCCACCTGGATGTGAATATTGGCAAGCAGTTGAGTTCCCTTGGACACACTCTCACCATGCTCACGGGTTTCGAGGAGGACGAGACCCAAATGGAATCACCCGACAGCGATGAAGGAGATCAAAGCTGCAGAGATACGTTTGTGCGAAGGAGAGGAGACTTCGACAACTTGCCAGCATTTGTTTTTGATCCCACAATCGATTCCAAGCAGCGTTCGTTTATGATGGAGAAGGAGATGGCCGAGCAGCTAAAGATCATCAACGATCTGCGCACTCTGGGTGCATCCCATAATACAGTGGCCCATGAAGAGAGACGACTTCAAGAACTCCAAGCCATCTGCTACAAGTATTTCCGCAGAGATATGATCCAGAAGTGGAAGAGACCCTCGCTTAGAAGATCTCTGAAGAACTACGGTCGTTCGCATTCGTATATTGGAGCGGGATCTTCGGTAACTGGTGTAGGTGTCCCCCAAACCTTGGACAATGGAAGCTATGCAGGCAGGAGACTGGACACAATAGCCTCCAATGATGAGATATCTAGCTTGCAGAGCACACCGGCTTCCTGTCACTCCCGCAGTGCTTCCTTAAAACACACTGGAGGAGGAGGAGTAATTGGAGGAGGCATTAATGCCCTTGGAAGAGTGACCTTTACTGAGGCCATGCGCCAGACTTCACTACCCAATGCGGACACGGATACAGAGACGGCGGACAATGAGCTCGATTGGAGGGGTGACATCACTCCTAGCGAAATAGATGTTGATGGGACCTCCGTGGAGATGCGACGCAAGCCTGGTCATGGTCAAAAACAACCGGAACCGAACATTGATTTTGAACTGGACATTAAGGTTCTGGTAAACTCTGGAAAATGCGTGCTGCACACGAAGGATACTGGCGAGGAGCGCGCTCAGGGGTACGCCGGTGGATCAGCAGCTGCTGGCGGAGTTCCTGCTTCAAGTGTAAAATCCCATAAGCGAGAAAGAAGCATAGGCAACGATTGGGGCAGTCCAACTCCATCAAGAAGACAAAGGGACAAGAGCAAGTTACGCTATAATGCCAACGCTTTGCTGGCCGATCTTACCATCTTCCACATACCAGGCTTGGATATTAAGCTTCACTACCAATCAAAAACGCTAGCAGAGCAATTGACTGGTGACCAGGTGCCACATGGTCGCCGTTTGGGCAGCAAGCGAGCTACTCTCTGCGCCTGGATGACCCTGCAAAGTATCCCTGAAGAAACTATCATATCACCTCATATTCTGGAATTTCTGGAGCAAACTCTGGAGCCCATTCCCGCCCGACAATCCAGTAGTGTTCCGCCAACGCCCTCTCATAATACAGCCGTTAATCTGGACATACTGCCTGCCAACTATGTGACTTATGCCTCTTTCCCCGTAGATGTTATAGTTTACTTCCACATGCAACCCTCTACCTTCAGATTCAGTTGCCTGCCGGTTTCTAGAGTTGAATGTATGCTGCAATTGCCTAGTTTGGATATTGTATTCAGTTCAAAGAGAAGCAGCGACGAAGAGAACTCAGCACAGCCAGGAAATCATGCCCATCCTGACCAGCAGCTGCCCACTGGTGGACTGAGTGTCACCGGCTGTCTGGCCGACTTCAATGTGTTCATCTTCCATCCGTATGGTGGCAAAAAGACTTCCAAGGAGACACAGTTCTCACCCCTGAGCGATAGTGAAAGGAAGGATTCGTTGAGTATCAACGTTGAGTTCGTCAAGTTCCACATTACGCGCTGCAGAAAGGTCTACATCGAACCTTTGCCCAGCTCTAAGAGATCTCTCGATCAGTCACGAGCCGTGATACGATTCTCCACCATTGTGGATATTGGAAGTGCCAGTTTTAAGTACGACATGAGGCGATTGACGGAGATCCTAGCCTTTCCCAAGGCTTGGTATCGCAGAAGGATTGTGAGACGTCTCTTCCTGGGCGATCTCAGCGTGCAACAGCAACAACAGCAGCAGCAGCAGGGAAATGGAGCAGAAACGCCAACTGGTTGTCCACCTGCTACTCCAACGCCCAGTGAAGATGCCAATAGGACTAAAGACAAAATGCGTCTGGACTTCGATGCTCAACCGACGCAACAGCAGCAACTGGGTCACTTTGGAGCTGTGAGAAAACTTAAGAACCTGGGCAAGTCCTCCAGCGCGGAATCCTCAGGAACTCCACCATCAGAAAAGAACCAAATTACTGCCTGGGAAACTCTGGTCATCTTTGCAGTTAACTTCACCAAACTAAATGTCCAAATGAACATTGGCAATGTGTGTGGCAATGTTGTGTGGCTCACAAAAGACTTCCAATCGGATGGACGCCTCTCCATCGGCAGCACCGGCTACAAGAACATGTATGCCGGAATCTATCTAGGAGGATCAGCTCTAGATGCCAAGGGTGGCATAGTGGGTGGCAGTTTCGAGGTGAACAAGATCAACAAACGATTCCACATCAAGGAGGAGGCGGGTATGGAGCCCTACCACACCTTGGGACTGAGTTTTATGGCTCTGGAATTAAGACTAGACTACATGGGAACTTCAGTGCTGATGACGCGGATAAGCAGCTTCTCTGCCGCCATGAAGGATGAGTGGCGCACTGCCTCGCAGGCGGCAGCGGCTCCGTCACATGGCAAAGATCAACCAAGAGCTCTGATCTTTATCCATGGCGATCTTAGCTGGGATCAACTGCAGATCATGATTAGCAAGTCCACAACAGCAGATCTGCTGAAGATGTACTTCAAACTGGAAGAGTTCTTTACGCAGCAGTTTAAGTCATCCAAGAGGGTGTTCTCCAGTCTGGAACCACGCCTCCAAGATCGCACTGCCAGTATCAAGAGGCGTCAGCAGCTAAAGAAGAAGCCGGCAAATGGAGAGCTTGTTGCCCCTGTTCAAATTCACGGTTTGATTGGGGAAAATACAGACGCAAGGCACCATCGCCATTGGCAGAAGCCATTGGCTCAGGCCGTGGGTCTGGTGGTGCCTTCACTGGTGACACGTCTGCCACGCCATGGCAATGTGCTAGGTGGCACCGTTGAGCTCCGGGGACAAAACATCTCACTGGCCTGCTTCCACGGCATTAACTTTAAGTCTAAGTCATGGGCGCTGTTTAGCCTAAGATCCCCCTCCATCAACTTTGCCACGGAGGCGCGGCAGAGTGAGGATGAAGTGCTGGTCACGCAGACACTCACCTCTTCGTTGGGTCAGACGACAGAGGTACAGCAGCAGCAGAACCACTCGATGGCGATCGTCAGTCGCATCACCAGGAACATCATCTTTCCGCCACAGTTCAAGACTCTTAACGAGTGGTTCCACTACGCATTCGCCAACAGCGAGATTGATGGTGAGTTACTAACTAATTCTGTCTGGATCCTGTGAAATAATCGTGCTTTTTTTACCCCCCACAGCTGTGGATCGCTTTCCCATGCTGGAGTGCGAACGGGAGATCGCCTCCAATTCTATAGAGCGAACACGAGCCTCTGGCAGCAGCAGTGCGGCCAAGGCGCAGGAGCACAACCACAATCGGGAGGTAATCTTTGCCCTCCCCAGCCTCCAGCTACATTTCAAGACTGAGCACAAACAGGGACCAACTACACCAGAGCCAAGTGGTAAGCATTAGTAACTTCATGATCATACAATAGAACGTTTCTCAATAATGTATGTTTGATTACAGAAAACAAGCCAGAAGTTTTGTGCAGCTTCATCACCGAGTTCGATGATCACATCTTTGTGACCGTTGATGCAGACGCCTTCTTTTTCCTGCACGATCTCATCACCTCCTATGTGACTGAAAAGGAGAAGGTGGTAAATATTTTATGCCGTTTGTATGTGAATTTTAAATAATATATTTGTATGTTATCCACTAGATTGGAGCTCAGTCAGCGAGGGCAGCTTCGCCGAATCTCTCGCAAAAGGCCAACCTGAAGCCATATCTGACCGACGAGATACTCAAAGAGAGGAAGGGCGCCTCCAATACGAACCTGACTGCCCAGGGCAAGCAAATGAGCGCCAGCAAGAGCAGTCTAGATCCGATGCAGGGCAGCCACTCGAGTCTAGCGAATGCTCCGGCCAACGTGTCGGGAGCAACGACAACGAACTTGACGACGACGACGAACACAACATCATCCTCAACCTTATCACCCGAAGCGACAACTGGTGGGCCATCAAACGACGCAGCCGATGGCAAGCAGCCGCAACAGGAGAGCTCCCCGCCCAGCTTTGATCTCGAATCGTTTGTGCGCGACTGGCGGCACTTTGAATGCCAGACCTGGCATTTGGAGCCCACAGTGCGCCTACTCTCTTGGGCGGGCAAGTCTATCGAGCCATACGGCGTGGACTACATCCTTAATAAACTGGGCTTCAGCCACGCTCGCACTACCATACCCAAGTGGCTGCAGCGCGGCTTTATGGATCCGCTGGACAAGGTGCAGGCCCTGATGATGCTGCAACTACTGCTGATGGTGCGCGAGAACAAAGTGGAGCGGGATGGTGGAGCCAGTGGAAGTGGCAAGCAGCAACAGCAGAACCATCGACCACCAACAAATTAGCCATGGCAGAGAAACATCTATGACAATTGACAATTTATCCAAAGTCGTTCGGTTTAGTTTAAGTAGCGATGTATAGATTTTTCACCGTGTAAAGTTTTTATTATTTATTACCCTGGTTGACCTATCATGCTTTAAAGTCGAAACTCGCGGTATTATTTGGCCAATAGGGCAGCTTCTGATATAATGTAAATGGTTTGCTCTCGTTCCCATACTTTTTAAGCATATATGTATTCTCTTTTTATAGGTGTAAAGTCAAGTGCTTCGTGTAATTTGCTCAATTTTGGCGCTTTGTAACTATCATTACATGGTTTTGTTATTCTAGGATTTACTATGCAACAATGAGCAAAGCAATTGTGTTTAAACTATAAGTAGCTCTAATTGAATATACATGATTATACCTATACAAAAAAAAAACGTGTAAGTCTATCAATAAGTAAAGTGAATAAACTTTCGGAAATGCGTACCAAAAAATTGGAGTAATAGAAAATTTCTAAAGAAAAGGTAAGGTTCAGCCTTGGTTGAGAAACATTTTTGAATAATCCTGTCCTTATAGAACTCAAATCAGTTTCCCAGTTAAAAGGTAATACTGATTTTCTTTAGATAAATCCCTACAACAAGTCTAAATGTTGGCTAATTCCAAAATAAATCCGTCAACCAAAATTGGTCGAACGCTAAACAATATAACATTTTCGGGTTTCGCTTTAAAAATACGAGTCTATTCTTTGGGTAATTAAAGCAGGATTAATTCAATGTACTCGATCCTTTGTGATTTAGGATGAAATTGCTGCTGTTTTTGGGTTACTTGGTTCTCTCGTGACTGACTAAGGAAATGTTCTGGTTAATTTCGGCCCGACTTTGGGCGATGCCCCGCCTCCTTCTGGCCTTGGCTGGAGTTCCTTTGACTTTCCTAGGCATCCTACTTGCCATTTTGAATTTTTTGTTTGTTTCTTTTTTTTTGTGCCTGAGTAAACTTTGCATCCGCAGCGCGTATCCGTTTATGTTCTCGTTTTGTCCCGCTGGCTGAGCAGTGCAAATGTTTTCCTCGACTTTCTTGGCGCCTTTCACCGTTTTCTTACGCCTGTCACTGGGCCTTACTTTTTGGGGGGCTGAGGTTGAGACTGAGGCTGTGTCTTTGTAAACATTTCATTTTCCATCAAGGTTGCGTTTTTAATTATCTTTCCTTTCTCTAGCTGCTCTCGATGGGTTCCTTCTTCTTTTCTAGCATATTAGGTTCGGGTTTTTTCTTCAGTTTCTACATCATTTCGCTGTCTCTCTGAAACAGTTGCCCCAAGTTGATGAGCTTTTCACGCATTGTAGGCGCGCGCGGAATAAAAAAAAACTGATTCTCGGTGGGGTGGGTGGAAAAGAGGGAGGTGCTTGGAGGGTTTTTAGGGGGGTTCCCCCTTTTACCAAGGGTCGTGTCAGTTTAACTTGGGCCCTGAATGCGAGTGGTTTACTTTGGAGATTAGTTTATCTAAAGTTAATGAGGGTTAAAACTAATAGGCGAATGGCTTAATTTTTAATTATGAGACTTGCTTTTCTTTTGTGGTTTCTTTTCTTTACCCCCGGTTTTTGGTCTTTGTGTTCGGGTTCATCTTGTTTTGATTTTCTTACCATTTTTTGTGGGCTCCCGTCGCCCTTGACGTTTTGGTGGCACTTAATTTAAACCGCCAGCAGCATAATGGCTTTTTCAAGAGGGATTTTAAAACGACAGTAACTTTAAGACCCTCAATGCATAAAGTTGATCTCATACAACCAATGGACTTATCTTACTTGGTCATTCGATACCCATTTCGTTATTAGTTTTTCCCCCAAAAACGCTTGCGGAAAGTTACTCATGGAATTTTCGTCTAACATTTCATGCGGCATCTGCCCCATAAATTGTCAACGCATGTTGTCAAGGTGTCTCGGACACTTTTTCCAATTAATTGGCAAAACTTCAAATTCCGCTTTTTCTTTATTTCTTGTTTATTTCTTATTTGGCAATTTATTGAGTGCGCACAGGTTTGATTTACACTCATCGCATATTTTTTACCTACATCTGATTTCATTGGCATTCGTGTCTGGATCCTGTGAAATATGAGAGAAGCCCTAAAAACACTGGCATATGGCTATATAGTATATACAAGTACTTACACATACGATATGCCTATGTTTTCGTTGGCAAAAAACAGAGAATGGGTATTGGAGGATATATTAGCAGATTTCAATTTAAGAATGAGGATTTTTCCCTTGTGGATAAATAATTATCCAAAGGCAACAAAGGTAAGGGTTACCTAAGAATTGTTTTGATGACAATATTAAACGAAATGGAAGGATATATAAGCAGTTTACATTTTGGGAATCATTAACTTTTCCTGGTTGATTAATAATAAATTGCCAATAATGCTGGCATTTATATAATAATTGGTTTGATAAGAATATGAAAGGAATTAGTAGGAATTAAAATCAGAAGAAAGTTATTACTAAATACAGGGTATTAAAACCCCCCTAGGCTCGATCCCGAGGGCCTAACTCCCCCGTGTTATTTATTAGACCAGTCGAAGGCAATCAAGCACAGGCTGTGCTCCACAATTTATGCCGCTCAACCCTTGAACCCAGGCTCTAAATTATTTTTTAATTTCCTCTGGTGGGGCCTAAGAAAACTTTTGGCTGGCCGAGAACAACAAACAACATAATAATCAAGTCAATAAAAAAGTCATAAAAAAATAGAAGACAAGAAACCAAACCGAAAATATCGCAAAGGGCCAAGGAGGCCATGTCCTGTGGCCAAGTCTATTTATCTGTGTGTGTGTTTGTGTGTGAACGACTTGTGGCATGACCAGGACATGCCATAGACAAATATCAGACAAGACAAGTGGCGGAGACAAGGACTTGTAAGAACGATAAAGCAGACAATAAAAACCACCAAGCCTAATAAAAATTACATTTTATTTTATTTACCGCCCCGTCCCCCACTCATCCTGTTCGTCCTTGTCCTGGTGAGAAGCAAACAATTTTAAATAGTCAAAGGCACGCACGTCAACAGGAGCCGCCTTAGTCTCGTCCTGGGAGTCTCTAAATTACAGCCAAGATATTTGGCTGCCAGATAGCGTGGGCATCCGCATCCGCATCCCCATCCGCATCCCCATCCGCATCCGCATCCCCATCCGCATCCGCCCCTCAGTAAGTAATGTAAGTAATGACTCCCCCGTGTACCGGCCAGTGTACAATTTGTGGACATTTAACTGTTTCTAATAATTATGTAAATGTCCGCCACTTGATGCGGCACTTTTGTGGCCAGTGTCCCCAGCTTCCTTCGCGACCACTCCCCATCCATCCATCTACATTGTCCTCGCAGCAATTCCTCTTAGCACAATTATGCACAGTCCATGTCCATGGGAAAATAAAATGAAAAGCCTGTGGGCGGAACGGGGCAGTGTCAAATTTAATGATGTTCCGGGTCTCGTCCAATTGGGAATAGTACCCGGAATGGGTCTCGAGTAGATTAAATTGCAATAAATTTTAAATAAAAATAACTCTATGCGAAAGCGGAAACCACTGGATTTGTTTTGCGTGTGCACTTAAAAATTACCAATCAAAGTATAGAGTTTCCATTTTATTTATTTGAAAGTTTCGTGTATTTGATATTTATTTTTATTTAAATATCTGTTGACCATAGCCAAACGATCTTTACATAATTTAAATGCTTTTGTAAGCTGTTTAAACAATCATACTCTTAGAATTAAACTCAAGCTGATCTCAGTATGCAGCTTCTCAGTGCAACAACTTTTTATGAGTAAAAGCTTTGATAACCATCATAGACCCGTTCCACCGACCGATTGAGAATCAGTTTAGATTAGAACTTGTTCCAGTATGTTGGTCCGCAATCAAGCGTATTTATTATTGTGGGTATTACTTTACTTTTTTTCGAGTAAGTTTAAAATTTAGTGACTTAAGATCTAGTATTATTCACATAATTCGTTAACTCGTTAATTTTTTTTGTAAAAATACTTTTATCAGAAGCGTGATCGTATTATTATGACATTGCGGTCCAGAGAATGCACTTGAGTGAATGAATAAATTATTAAAGTCAACGAGTTTTTATTAGCATCTTAATCTCAATTTACATAAATTAAAACATAAAATCTTTATAGCAATTCATATGCAACATGAGTGTGGAAAGGTGCGGGAAAGCCAGCTTTACAACGGAGAGGAGATCACCGAGGCGGATGAGTACACCTGGATTGGTCGCGTTGGACACAGGGAATCGAGTAATGCCTATCCGGAGTTCAAATGCCTTTCGGTCCTGGTAAACCGTCGCTTTGCAATCCTTCCCGCCCATTGTGTAATAGAACCGGGTTCAATCGAACCCACGTTTATATTGTTCGGTGTCTGGCGAGTCAATGAAGGGACTGATCTGGGTGTTTGCCGCCCGGATGGCAATAAGCAGTGCTCCCCGGCCCCGCAGATGGTGAACATCGAGGAGCTGGTGGTTCATCCGCGGCATCGAAGGAGTCCGGCACCGGGTTTCCTCCAATACGACATCGCACTGGCCAAGCTGGTGCAAGGTGTAGAGTTGACGGACTTTGTGCAGCCCATATGTTTGCCACCTGCAAATGGAATTGAGGATAACTATGTCGCCCAGAGACTGGAAATGGCGGGATTCAAGATTCTGTCCTCCCCTGAATGGCGTTTGCAGGAGGACGACTATTGGCGCCATAAGGTGTCGGTGCATTCGGCCAGCTTGCAGTTCTGCTCCTCGAAAAATATGATCCGGGTCCAGCTGTCGGAGAATAATATGTGTGCCGTGAGAAAAAAGGAAGATAACTTTTTTCCTGGATCACCGCTGATGGGCTTCGAAGTGGTTGACGGAAAACCTAGGAACTCCTACGTAATCGGAATTACAATCGGTATTATTTCACTGCCTGACGCTGATCGCGACACATTCGCAGTGTTACGCATATTGCCATTCAGGAACTGGATTTTGAAAAACATTCAGGCAGGTCTAGCCGCTGAGTGAAATCTTAATTGAGTCGGAATAAATGAAAAGCTTTAAATAAACACGTGCATAGCTCAATTAAAAAGCATCTCAGATTGCCTCTTGAGTTACTTTTGTCAAGCGTAGAAATTATTGGAAAAACCATCTCGAAAAATTTGTATTTTGTATGATCAGATCGGTGGCTTATTTCATTTGTATTCTAAAACAAAATGATAAGTCTTCGAACCATTTGTACAATTGAATGTGTTGTTAGATTTAACATTTAACACTTGTTAGCTTTATCTTAACAAACCCAATTTCAAAATTGTACAAATATCACATTTTATGAAAATAAAAGAAATATTTTTAACATACAGTTAAGAGCCATTTTTAAATATTTAAGAAACTAAGATATGCACAAGAGACCAAAAATGGTAGATATATTTTTCGCTGGTCGGAGGCTTTTACTTCCATTAATGGCCTGCTACTTTGCCGGCAACAATGGCTTTTACGCTGGTGTTGGCCCTTCGTATTCCTATTCCACTGCAACCAACCATAAAATTATTATGCAAATACGGTGGAGAGAGGGGCGTGGCAGGTCGGGGGCCAAGGGTCAGGAGTGTGCACATATTAGGGCTACAAGCCGTTAATATGCAAATGGCACCGCGACTCATTCATAAAAAGGGATTTTTCCATAGCGTAGCAATCCTTGAATGCCGTCGCAGTCGTCCTCGTCTGGGTCCTGGCAACAGGATGTGCCGGCCATTCATGGTGATCACGATGGAAGGCGGAGCAGGAGCAAAAGTGGAGTTTCCAGGAGGAGGAAGAGTACGGAATGGCAGGACAATGGCGAAGGTTCGCATGTGCATAGTTTGTAAGACTAATGAGCGGTACCAAACGGAGTGGGGAATTAAAAGTGAGCATTAACTTTGGAAAGGAAAAGTTGGAAAGGAATCTTAGAAAGAGGGGCCTTCTAAGGCGTCTCGGATAGAGCGAAGTTTTATGAGATGTAGAATCAAAATGAAAAACTGAAGGAAGAAATTCATGACTTTCCTTTAATCTTGATACCCGCAAACGCTCCATATAGTAATCCTTTAACTTTACTTACTTAAAGTTATATAAAATTCGTGTCAAAAAAATTGAAAAACTCCTGTACAGTTGAAAATTAAATTCCCCACACAATAATTTTTAAATGTATTGAAATCAAATCAGGCGCTCAATACAAATATATTAGAATATTCCGAATTTTATTACTTTGCTAAACGAAAGCTGACCTGTAGTACATTATTACATCCCCATCAAATATAATAAAATATTTCTTGTATATTTATTTTGCCGCGAAATCTCTTAATGTCATTCGTAAAATTGCACAAAAGAAGCCAAAGAAATGCAAAGCTCTGGAAAAGAGGAACTGAGTAAGGAAGTGCACACACAAGAATTTCGCCACTTGACTGTGGCAGAGTAATTTCATAATTATGCAAGCACAAATGCCATTGTGTGACCTCCGCTTCCAACCCAGTCCTAGAGCACCCACCACACCATATACCTCCAGTTAACACCCATCCACCCGCAGTGTGTGGCAGCCTCAAGTGCAGGGGCAAAGTGTATAATTATTTGTTGCCTTGTAATTTTTCACTTAATTTCCATGGTCCGGGGCGTGACATCCGTTTTCTGCCGGCGAAAAAAGTGTGCAATTATTTATAATGCTCCTTAACTGGCGAAAGAAAAGAAAGTTATGCATTTATTTATGTTATATTGTACATAAATGCGCTTGCTGGAAAATATTTATTCTATTATTCAAGATTATTTATTACATTCAACGTATTCTAGTCTAATAAAACGTTTTTAGAGAATGAACTATTTTAGCATAAGAATTTATACTTGTTAAACAATTTTAAAAGTTAATTTAAATGTGATTAACCCAGTTTCCAAATTAATTTCAACTTTGAATTATTATTTTAAATTACATATTAATTAATTTATTAACATATTTACAAACATTTTTAAGGTTTATTTAAAAGTACTTTCTCCCGACTTCTTACGAGTACATTTCTCTTAAGTGAGGTCCAATTCTTGGCTCATTTTCCCGTCTTCATTCCATTACCAAAAACACTTTACGCTAATCATCATATAAATGGTTTGTAAAATATTAGATAAGAGCCAGAAAAAAATAAACTGTTAAATGTTTTGGAATTAAATGCGTGATTTACCCCGTTGCCGGTTCCCATCGCTATCCTCTTGTCCTGGTCCTGCTTTCCCCCACTTTCCACTCCTTTCCACTCCACCTCCTGCTCTCGGCTTTTCCTTCAGCTGGCGAACGCCAACGCGATTTTCCATTAAATCCTTGAACAGCTAACGCGCTTAACTCTGCTAACCAACAAAACCTCCTTGCCCTCAGTACTACTCCCTTCCTCCTCCTTTTTTTGGGAGGCAGCCCCAACAGAGCTTATGCAAAAATTTTGTTTTATAAAATTTTCAAGTCAAGCGCCTAATCCCAACACTTATTCTTATACACTTCAATGTCTGGCACTAGAAGAGGGGGTGATTTAGTAGGTTGGGTTGGTACGCAGCGGGTGGTTCAGCGAGGGGGTGCACAGAGAAAAATATTGTTTAAATTGGTCAGTGACAATTAAATTTAATTCTTTTGTGAAATTTTTTAAGTTTTAAAACACATTTAAAATGGCTTAAAAATATCAAAAAATTCTGCTGCAATTTACAGTAGTTTAAAAAATTGTAATAAAAGAACATGTATTTATTTTAAAAACATATCAACTAGTTTTTTGGAGTTAAATAGATTAACAAACAAAATGTGACTAAGCGAGTAAATTTTTTCAAAAATAATATAAATTTAAAAACATTAAAAAATTACAAGAACATGCATTGTTTTTTTTTCCGTGTCGTTACGTTTTGTCGTCTGGGGGCAGGGCATTGAAAAAGTTTTTCTTTTCCCAACCAGACAATATTTTATGACAAGTGCTAGGGAGGGGGGTTGAGGCAGCAAAGGGGAGATGGGGAGAAGGGGGATGGTGTTGCGTCTTTAGCTTCTAAGATGGTTTGGTGGATTGTGGTTTAAAAGGGGATAGGGTGCGGATGTGGGTGTGGCAACACATTGGCACATTTTGGGATTATGCCACTGAAAAATTCATTCATTTCCTGCTTATTTTTCACGACAAAACGGGCGAGACCGAGCCGTCTTCGCACCCGCCTAAAACCCCAACACTTTGTAATATATAATTAAGATTACAAGCTTTCTGGTTTTGGGAGTTTGAGGCTGTGGTGCGCGGCTTTTACGACTCGACTTGACTGATAACCGAAAGCGAACTGTGCGCGGCCGCAGGAATTTATTCATGGCTTGGGTCCAAGGATGGGATATCCTTCGGATCCTCCAGCTTACCGGGTTGTTTATGTCCGGGCGCGACCTCTCCCAGATTAATTTATGCGTTGCGTAATTATTAAATCAAAAGTATTAATGCCCGGGCCAGCCATCTTATCACGAATTGAGTGACCCAAGTAAAGGCGCTAATCAACATTTAACAGTTTCATGGCATACTTACGGGGCTGATTAAAAGAAAAGTGTAGAAACAAAACATGAGATAGATCTAGTCGTTTTAGTGAGGAATTTATTTAACTTTTTTCAATAAAGAGAAAATGAATCATATTATCAAGTTTCAATTAATTTTTGGTAAGGCGCTTTTTTCATTTATTAATGACTTTGTGCATATTATAAAGAATTATAATAAACTTTTTTTGAGAGGATGAATTAAAAATTATTTAATTAAAATAATTGCAAAAATTATTTAACGCGTATTCTTCCAACTGACAAAATGGCTTTCAACATAAAGAAAATTTATTTTATAAAATTTTGTGTGACAATATTTAAGTTTCTTGTTCTGTTTTCAGTTATGAAAATTAATTCGTTTAAATTTGTACTTCCGAGAGAAAGCTTTAATTGTTTGTCAAAATAGTTTGTTCATTTAAAGTAATTCACATTTTCATACTTAAAAATAAATAAAGCTTCCGGCTTTGTTGAGTCTGATTTACCACACATAAAGTTGAATGTACAACGAGCTGCTGCCAGAAATAGGATGCTGAAAAATCACGGCATCACCCATTCACTTACAAGAGATTCATTTGTATAATTTGCCACGCACTGGAATTGGAGCGAAATGTGGCAAATTGTCAACCATTTGACAGGGCGCATTAACAAGCCACTCTGGCCGTGAAAGACGATATCACTTCAGTTTCAATTTGCATGACGCATTAATCAGCATTCGATTTGAATCTCGTTATCTCCCATCCGGCCTTTTTGCGGGGGCCACTCCCTTGACAACCTCACGCAATAAATTCGAGCATCAAATGGTGAGTAATTTCTTTATGCCGTCGGTGTAATGAGCCGCCATAACTTAGCCCAGGACCAACAGGACGATAAGGATGGAGGGGGCAGTCGAGAAAGAGGTGGAGCCGAGCTACCTGAAGACAATTAGTATGCCGAGACATGAAAATCATTAGGCCAAAGACAAACCGCTCCAACTGCGGCTCCATTCGGTCTGCGTGGGTGTCACTAATTAAATTATATACATAACAGATCCACACGCAGTAGGAGAGCACCACTTGGCCCCAGATTTGGTTTAACGCAAACCGCAAGGTGTAATTAAAAAGCTCCTAGTGCCATAAATCTACCCCATCACACTGTATCTGTATCCCACAGTGAGAAAACAGTTCATAAAAATCAACTAAACGTTTCCTGAAAATATTAAAATTATTACACATACGTTTTGATGAATTTATCACTTAAATATAAGCAAAAAACAATATAAAATTAAAAAAAAACACCAACTATTACTCCAGTGTATCTGTAACCCACAGTGGGAAAACAGTAAATAAAAATCAACTTAACGTTTCCTTAAAATATTAAAATTATTACCCATTCGTTTTGATGACTTTTTATTCTAAATATAAGAAATAAAACCATAAAAAAAGGGCAGTAAACCAATTAACTATTACTCCAGATATTCCCATACACCTTATCCCGCACCCTCGAAAACAAAAATCCAGCTGTTTTATCCGCATCATTATACTGTTCCCCGGGGAGTTCATTCGACTAATTAAAGGATTCCACCGAAAGGTTATACCACTCAAGCGTATGAGATTGTTTTCGATAAAGATTATGCACAAGTTTTTCCACTCACCGACCGCAATTGTCCCCTACACTAACTCCATTAAGTCTGCCACCCAAAAGCGGTAATTCTATTTTATTTTTTATTTTCACATTTTTAATTTGATGCGAGGCAACAACAACTCGATAAAAAAAGGGGCCATGGAGCGGGAAAAAAAGGAGAAAGGTTCCGTTTCTGTGGCCCTTTGGCAACGGGTTAAATCGC